ATTCCACAGCTTGATAGTCTTATCGTCGAGCCGGAGACGACAGTTTGGCCATCAGGCGAGAAGACTACGGCCTGAACCCAATCTGAATGGCCTTCTAGGGTCTGTTGCAGCTCGCCCGTCGCGGTATTCCATAGCTTGATAGTCTTATCGTAGGAGCCTGAGACGACAGTTTGGCCATCGGGCGAGAAGGCCACGGCCTGAACCGAACCTGAATGGCCTTCTAGGGTCTGTCTATTAGCGCCCCAAGACTTCTCCACCTCTGGCAGCGCATGCATCCACGGCGAACGATATTTCTCAGATGCTCTTCTAACCAAACTCGATGTTGGCGTGAATACCAAACATGATGCATATAGTTGAAGCGGAACAATGCTAGCAATTTGAGCGTGTCGGTGGATGAATTGTATGGCGTCGGATAAAAAGTTTGTAAGACCAGGATTCGTGTTGTTCTGTTTCGCGATTAGTATTGATCTGAATTAGATTGTAGAGGCACAGACCTGAATGCTTTTCTTCAGTGTGACCATCAATTTAAGGGTCTCTGATAGCACTCCCATCAGGCTCATCACCTCTAACCAGTGAAGGAAATGTTTTTCTAGGAATGAAATGATCTCCACATCGGGGATAGAAGGCTTGCTTTCCGTCAGATGGAACATCCAGTAGCGGCATGAGTATCGGAGTTCCTCTGGAATGTATTGCTCAGTCGTCTCACTGCCTATGTCCGCACGTCGGGTCGAAAAGCTATTCAGTTTGCAGATATCGCGCTTGAGATACTTGCCCATAACGCGAAAGCAAAGCGATGTTATGTCATTGTGCATCATCCCCACGTCCACATGAAAACGTGATTGTGTGGTAAGGAGATATTCTCGGAAAGACAGATGCAGAATACGAACTGGGAGATTTTTTTCGTCAGGTATTCTCAGAACCGAGTGAAACGAATCCAAATGAAATTCGACGGATCTAGCGCCGATGCCGACAAATTCGGAAAGCGCGTTGATTGTAAGAGGGGCAGGAAGGAGAATAATCACACCAACTATTCGCTTGAACCGCGTGATTTGTATCTCCTGGTCATCTAGGTCCCGTTCATGAAGTGTTCGGTCAAGAATCGGGCCGTATGTTTTATCCATTCTCGTCACATATCTATGTTGATTATTCATAATATCAGCAAGGCGTTCTACCGGGTCTTCCCCTGGCTGTTCGACAAATCGGCAGATTGTAGCGGCGGAAATAAACAACGGTATACACACGGTCGCCAGGGCTTCAACAACCTCATTACCCGGCCAGTCTTTGCCGGTATTCGCTTGTGCTCCGATTTCTGTGAATCGGTGTTCTAGAAACCGCACAATGTCTTCTCTAATGGCTTCCTCAGCAACCTTTTCAAGGACCAAGCGTCGATGAGAGCTTTCCTTCTCGAAGAATCGTCGGACTGGCAACTCGGGCCGGCTCGTCAGGAAAATTTTCTGTCTCATATTACTGGACTGGTGTATCCGCGGAAGAAACTGAAGGATCTTTTCAATTTCTTTATCATCCTCACACTCGTCCAAAGCATCAATCACAAGCACTAGTGTTCTACTTTGGTACATAGCAACACTTTTCAAGGGTTCGAGAAGCAGCTTGTTGAATTGTTCCGTAACGTCTTTCGCGGCGATCTGTGGGTCTTGCTCAATCACTTTAAGAACACCAGACGCGAGGTCCTTGTTTTGCTTGATAAGTTCCTTTGTAATGGTGGGTATAAGTCGTTTTGCATTGCAACGGTCGGGTTCCCCTCTTTTAAAGAAGAAGCTGGCCCCTAGCTGTCCCTTGGTTTCGAAGCTCTGAGCAACAGTCCGAGCGATAGTAGATTTTCCAGTTCCCGCCCCGCCATTCAACCAGAAGATACACTCGCCTTCAACTGAGTCTGCCCACTGTGTTATTTGGGAGCGAGTCTGAACTCTGGTATCTTCAAGGCATAGACCCTCGTGTTTATATGAGTTCCAGAATGCATTCTCAGCAATAGGTAAACTGAAACGTAAATTTAGAGCGTTGAGGGATTTTGATAGTTTGTCATCGATGGCAGTCAGGATCTCCTCAGTAGCTTTCTCGTTCTGTTTTCGTAGGGACACTGTGATTTTCTCAATTGCCTCAAGTGATTGTAACTGAGTAAAGTGGAACAGCTTTTGTTCCTCTTTCCCAACAGAGCACCGAAGCTCCGTGATAGTTTGAACAGTGGTTGCCGTAACACTGTCGAGCAACTTGCCCCTGGTACTCATATTGTGGCTAGCCATGACTTTCGATGCGTACTGAAGGATTGTTTTATAAAGTGTTATTATGGCTTGCGTTACCACGTTGTCTTCGTCGGATTGATTGCGACAGATCTTCTTTTCGATATATGCGCATCGCGCGAGAGCCTCCGCAAGGTACTCTGAGGACTCGAACAAGGCATCTCGACGGTCAGAATGATTTTTTGCCATCTGTGCGTTAAGGGTCAGCTCTGCTGCCGAAAATAGCCAACAACACATACAGTCAGACCAAGTGACACTATTGCCCACGCGCTTGCGGCATGACCCGTAGGATCACAAGCTACTCCTGCGCTGATAACCTCCTTAAAAGAGAGGGTGGCATTAATGATTTTTTTGGAAATCTTTCGAATATTGACTTCTTCTCCCGTTGACTTCCAGATTCTAATGCCTCCTTTCTCTTGGTATATCTCGTACTTCTCCTTGGTGGTCTCGATAACATCGTTGAGGGCATCGGTAGTAGAAGAAGGAACAAGGCTCGTTCGCAAAGCATTTTGTTCCTCTCGACTCAGCAGATCAAAGGCAGACTTCCATAGGTCTTGCGAGGGCGGTGGATTCCGTGGCTGGAACTGACATTCACTGGCATAGGGAGCTGACGCACATTCTGAAGCGGGAGAGTGGTTGGTACAATGATCCGCTTGGTGGAGTGGAGGAGTGGTATTTTGAAATCCGCTGTCTCGATGAAGCCATTTTTGCCAACGGGCCGACTTGAAATGGAACATTGTAGCTATGCTACAGGCTTGATCTGTGAGGGTTCTGTCGTCACAAAGTAATGTGTGTAGACAGTGTGTACCGACAACCAAGAGGAGGTAAGAATCATTTACGCTCACCAAGCCTGCCCGCTCAGCTGAACCTGCGTTGTCCGTTTCATTTACAACTGACCAATCATAATGGAACATGTGGTGGACTTTCGGATCTATCACTCGTTGATTATGCATGATCTTAGGTAGCCAAATTTGTTCCGGGTACTCATGGCCTTCATACAATCTCTGAGATACTGTTCCTTTTCTCAACTTGTGCTGTGCAATAGACATCTACAAAGCCCCATAGGAGTACCACTGGTTTCTGAGATCTGGCTCTCTGTCTGACCAGTAGCAGACGCCGAGTGGGGCCATGAGACATGGGTGCCAATTACACATTATCTAGCCAATAGTCATCTAGATCCAGTCATCCTAGCACAATTGGAATTCTGTTTATCATAATTAGTGGAACAACATGTTCAGACACACCAAGTAGCTTCTAGTAGCCGCCCCATCCCACTTTCGGGAGTTAACCACATTGAACGTTCTCTTGGAGCAGGGCACAAATTATGCACTGCATACGGCATGTATTTTAGTGGTTGATACGACCAGGAAATGAATCAATATAACCTACTAAGCGGAGAATAGGCTAGTCCGCGGGAGTGGCGCTGATAGAACGTTAATGAATGTACTCCGTAAGCCATGTAGAAGCCAAACGTCAGTCACTGTAACAAAGTTCTTGACAAGATTTTTCTGCGAGCAGTTTTGTAAGGGCTAAATCAACCCTTCCAACCTTCGCGTATGATTGCGAAGGGAAATCTAAATAGTGGGCCTCAGGCATAGGTCACGTGATAGCTAAGCGAGCAGACCGCGGACCTCCCATTTGGGGGGCGGGTGACTCGCGGACTAGGCAGATCAGCAACAACACCTTAAGGCAATAGATTGGCACCTTTGGCCTCGCGAGAGCTATTCGTTCATCACGCTATTTCACCACCTTAGCCCTTATATAAAACTTGCTTGGTTTTACAACTATATTATACTCTATAATCTTATATCTGGATTAGCTATTAAGAGTTACTTTCTACTCAATCAAGTAGTAAATATAGATTGGTGGCTGTTTAATATATTTCTTTATCTTATCCTAAGTCGCTAGAGGGATGAACTGTAGTTGGTCTTTTTGTACTGGCTGTACAGTATTTTTATCAGATATCCAGCCCGGGGGGGGCTACAAAGTAATGGGGTGGGTGAGTGATTTTAGTTATTGGGGGTAGGAGCATATTTAAAGGTTCTATTCTATGGTTTGGGTTTACTGAAATTGTGAGCTGTTATTTATATAGGAGGGACTGTATGTTATTACCTCAGGATGATAAGTAGTACTAATCAATCTAATGTTAATGCTATGTTCATGTCAGCTCTATACACTCAACGAATACGTCACATTTGGGGAAGCTGCAGCTGATAGAATAAGTATAATGATTAGTGATGATATGAGTCTATACTACAGTACTGCCTGTTACGCTCGGGTTATAAATTTTTCCTCGAGGTGCTAGAGACTTGACGGGTGTGATGTGGAAAAGCAAAAATACTAGTATGTTGATAGATGGCTAAACCTATCGCTTATAATATCTATTTGTCCAATTTGCATAGAAGATTCCAGAGAACATTGTATATCATTTACGAACAGTGTATGTGATTCTGGTAATTAGTATCAAAAGTACAACACATCGTACGTTGAGTTATTATACAACCTAACCATGTATATACTAGTTTGTTCTGGCACGTATTCTAAAACATCAAAGAGTGTTTTGGGGGGGCAGGCTCATTTCGCAGATTACTGTAGCACGTCATGGAGGACAAATCAATGGTCTTATAGGATAGTATTCTTTGTGGTGCATCCGGTCTCTGCTGTCAATCTGACTCGTGATGTCATTGTCAGGCTTGATTTGGTGGCAGCTTATCTCAGCACAATACGAGGTGCATGCAGGCATTCCAGGGTGAACAATTGGCTCATGATAACAGTGTGTTGTTGGCCAATGAGATCCATGATCTTGCGAGAAGAGATGCTTACTCTCTAAGTCTCTTCCAGCGAGTTTGGATGCACGCTTACCCCACTCAATCACGGTTAATCAATACGACCTCCTTGAACAGGTAATACATGCCCTCCCGGAAAATTAGATTCGTCATATACACATACAAAACCAATCACTATTGCTGTTGCTGTTGCTGTTGCTGTTGCTGCTCCTGCTGCAACTTCTTCCTTTCCTTCGCCTCCGCATCCGCCTGCTTCCACGAGCCCGCATAATGATGGCTCACCAAGACGGGACTCTGGTCGGTCGGAAAGCCATTCTGCGCCGCCGCAAAGGCATTGCCCGGCATAATTAACAAATCCCCCACGAGGGTCGGGGCTTTGATGGCATGAAAATCCCGATCATCGACCGCCCGCCCCAGCACCCTCCGCAGCCCATCCAGCAGGGCAATCGTCATGATCTTCGGGCCCGTCACGTTCACCACATCCATGGGCAGCATATCGAGCGTCAACGACTCCACCCCGACCCCATTGCGCGCCGACATCGCGTTCAGCTGGGCGACCACCGCGTCCACCACGGCCGCCAGATTGCGGGAGCCCGGGCGCGCGGCAAACACCCAGTTGCAGAACTGCGAGGCGACCTCCATCCCCTCGCCGCGCCACCCGAGGTCGAACTCCAGGCCGACGATCATGTCGATGCGCGCGTGCTGGTGCTCCGCCGGCACCCAGTGGCGGACCGCCGTGTCGCAGGTCACGTCCAGGTCGCTCCAGATGCCCCCCTCGGCCAGCACGATCAGGTAGCGTAGGAGGTCGGCGCGGAGGATCGGGATGGGCAGCTTCTCGTAGACCTCGACGATGTCGGGGCGGGTGGCGCCGTAGCGGGTGCGCACGAAGGTCAGCGCGGAGTCGTCGGTGAGGAGCTCATGGCGGAAGGAGGGGTTCTTGAGGAGCCAGCTGTGGATCCAGTCGGTCTGGTCGGAGCTCAGGATGGGGGTTTGGGCCGAGTGCCAGACTTTGTCGGTGATGCCGGGGATGGCGGTGTTGGTGTTGGTGGTGTCGACTCCCGGGTCAAGGGGGGTGGTAGAGAGAGTAGTGGGTTTGTGGTTGCTGCTACTGCTGCTGCTGCTGCTGCTGCTCTGGGGTGGCGCAGGCACCTCGAATAGCCCTAACGTGGCATCCGGCGTACTGGGACTGAATAACCGGGGCAGTACATTCCAGTTCTGCGAGAGGAGAAATAAGAAACACCCTACCGGCACCGTGAGGAGAACAAAACGCAGATACCGAGAAGCGATCATGTTGGCCAGCAACCAGTGAGTGAGGGAGGGAGTGACCATCCAGACCTCAAAGGGCGTGAGTGAGCAGAGACACGGCAGATCGTGTGGGGCGGAAGACGGCGGAGAAAAAGAAGGGTATGATGTGATATTTTAAGGGACCATGGATCCCTCCAAGCAGGGTCGGGTCTGGGCCGGGGCTATGACGGGGGCAGCACGTGTTGGTGGACGGAGGGCATTCAGGGTCCACTGGATGCTGCTGCTTTAATTAGGGTCAACGCCAAGTCGGATGTGAGACTTTTAGCCAATATCAGTTTAACCTGACAGGGTGTGTCTCATTGGCGGCAAATGAGAATCCTTGTACCCTCCAAGGCACACGAAATCTGAATCCCCAATGATGCCATCCATCATCCTTTTAGCCCCAATCCCGCAGGACAGCTTTCCCGAGGACGAATAAGAATGAGTCCCTGTCGTTTTAGGCGCCCGCGCTGCGCTGAGTGGAATCTCCTGTCGCTATTGCAGCCTTTGCCTGGTGGAGAACGGACCCCTGTCCACCACAAAGCCGTCGACTGTTTATCAGTTGAATGGATGGTTGGTGTCGTCGGATTATATGGGTTGGTCAGGGGGCTTATAGAATGAGGTACCGACGATAACCGGACGGTTTGGGGCATTGCAGGAGGGTATTTGGCTACTGTCGTCATAGAAAGGCAATACTGTATATCCACATCCCCTGATCTAGTACGCTCTACACCTATACACCTATACAGAACAAACGCTTCCACGAGATTCTACACATCTCCCGCACAGCATCCCGCATTGCACCTCGACACCGCACAACCTATCAGTAATATTCCGGCAAATCCCCAAAGCTGGGGATATCATCTCCACACTTGAAGGACGGACTATACGCCTTCTTAGGCATATACCCATTCTGCCAGGCGGTGCGGTAACTCCACTGCGCCGCCGACTCGGTCGCCCACGTCCAGTAGAACCAGCCCATCGCCGTCTCGAAGGCGGACATCTGCGCCTCGGCGTAGGTCTGCAGGAATTTCTTGTATCCGTCCGAGTACCCGACGGGCGAGGTGTTGGCGAGAGTGCACGAGCAGGTGCCCTCGGATGCGGTGGGACAGTACATGGTGGTGCCGGTGGAGGCGAGAGTCCCCTCCCACCGATTGCCGTTGCCGACGTTATTCACATATTGGGCGCAGTCGGTATCTGCCTGCGACCATTCGCCACAGATGGTCGGGCCCCATCTGTCGGCTGTCAGTGAGATCCTTCTGGTGGCGTGGGGGATCGGCCTGGAAAGGAATACATACCCCGTACTCGTGATATTGATCGCCTCGATCATGGGATACCAGCTCTCGCACATCAACTCGATCTTCCGGGTGTGATTCAACACAATCTCCCCGGTGTTGAACACCGTGTACTGGTGCGTGTCCAGCATCATGTTATCCGGCCGCGTCTTGAGCATCTTATCCCACTTGCTCAGGTTCAAGAACCCGTCGTGCACCGTCACCCAGGCCTTGATGCCGTTCTTCTGCACCAGCTCCGTCGCCTGCGTCGTCCAGTTCAAGACCTCCGCCACCGGCAGCGACAGCATCAGCGGCTCGTTGGCCAGCCCGTAGATCGTGACGACGTTCTTGTACCGGTCCTGCGCGAAGAACTGCGACAGCTGGTCGTGCATCTCGAGCGAGCGCTGGCGGTTCAGCGCCCCGTCCGTCCCATTCAGCCACCCGATCTTCCCCTGGTGGCCGCTGTGGTTCCATCCGTTCTGGCTGCCGGGGATCCCGTGCGGGTCGAGGTTCACGCGCAGCCCGTACTTGCGGCAGTATTCGATCGCCCGCAGCAGGTATCGCCAGGCGATCTTGGGGACGTACGGGTCGCCCTCGTAGGTGCGGATTGCCCAGTAGGGGAACGGGATGCGGACGTGGTCGAGCCCCGCGTCGCGGATGTCGATGAAGTCTTGCTCCGTGATGAAGGTGGCGTAGTGTTTCTCGATGGTCGTGTTGGCGTCGCTTCCCAGCCGCTCGGTGAGCGTCCACTCGTCGATGATCCCCTCGCTGGAAGAGTAGGACTCGAAGAGGGAGGGGACGATAAAGGGTTCGATGGAGAGCCACCCGCCCACGTTGACGCCGCGGATGGGCTGCGAGCCGTAGGGGAAGGTTTCGTTCAGGGGCGGCACGTTCTCGTTCGCCTGCGCGGAGTCATCCCAGGTCGAGTTCAGGCCCATGATCGACAAGCCCCCGACCGTCACGTTCGTGAATGTGACGTTGAAGCCCGTGGTGTCATACCAGGTGAACGGATCGAGATACGTTCCTCGTGCGTAGGCCTAGAATCAAGTCAACAATCTGCACAACTGTGCCTAAGCATGAAAAACACGCACTGGTATACTATCGCGACTGATCCCATCCAGGTTGGAATTCGAGGGCTTGTCACTGTCCGAGTCCGCCTTGCCTGCACTGTTCGCCCTCCGCGCCATGATGATCCCCACGGGGATCGCAATAGCTGCCATCACCAGCAACACCGCAAAGAAGATAAACGTGCCTCTCCACTTCTTCCAGAACGGCAAATTGGCCACACTGCTACGCCCCGTCCCCGTCGAGCCGGATTTACTGCTCCCATCCCAATTGTCCTCCTTGCCCAGCATCGCCTCGCCTCCACCTCCCCCTCCTCCAGCACCACCACCACCAACCCCCCGCAACCTGACCTCCATCCCCCCCTGCTCCAACTGTGCCCCCGACACAACCCTCCCCTGCATTTGTCCCCTCGGCACCTCCCCCGGAAACGGCGCCAACCCGACCGGCTGCTCACTGATAACCGGTCGCTTCCGCTGCCTCTGGCCCTGCGCCGGCTCACCAACCCCGTCATCGACTCCAGCCTCACTCCCACCGAGATGACTCAAACAATCCTCATCCCCCGCCGTCGACCCCAGCAGCTTCGCCAGCGCATCCCCGCTCAACAACTCCTGCGATGCACTGTCCCGATCCCGATTCCCAGTCCCGTGGAGCCCAAACGCCGCAGCGAGCCGCTCCCTGCGTCGTTGCCTTCGCGTCTCGCGATCCGGTCGCCCTCCCGCCGGCGGGGACGCGTTGCGTTTCCAGAACGCGAATGAGGAGGAGGAGGGCGCTCGCTGCGACTGGGGCTGACTCATGTCCACGTCCCGGGCGAGCATCCCAGTCTGCTCGTGCTCCTCTTGCTCCTCCTGCGCCATTGCCGCCGCGCGCTCGGAAGCGGTGAAGGTCATCCGCGGCGAAAGGCCCTGCGTGCCGGCTTCGGCCATGAATTGGTCGGCGGCGGGGACGTGCGGGCGGAGGGGAATCCAGTTTGTGGGTGGGGGGCTTGGGGGGCCGTGGAAGTCTTCGTAGGTGGTGGAGGTGGATTCGGAATCCTGGTGGCCGTGGAGATACCTGGCATCTTGTTCATGGGGGGGCGGGCTGGAAGGGTATTGTCGCGGGGTGTAACGGGTCCCCTCGGAGTAGATGTCCGAGGGGAGACTGGGGCTTAAGCTGGATACGTAACTGTCTTCGCCGCGATACCCCTGTCGGACGGCAGGAGAGAGGGTGTATTCCGAGGCGGCGGAGTCAGGAGGGGGCGGAAGCGGCAGCTCGCGGGGTTCCGGGCTGCTGGAGCCGCGGGACTGTCCCGCCTGACTGCCGGCGTGGAGAGGCATGGCCCGGGGCTCGTGCACGGGCTAAGCGAAGGCTTAATTTAGAGCTTAACAGCCGACGAGATCTCCGGATCCCGGAATGTTGAGATCTGGTAGACGGATGTGGCGCCGGAAGGGGGGGGATTGTGGGCTGACGGGTGGGAATCTTCGTCCCAGAGGGGACGGCAGTGGAAGGAGTGGAGTTGATAGGTCCGGGGCTTCCGGAATGCGAAGATACAAAGGATTTAATGGTGAAGGCACTCGGGCGAAGACAAGGAAGGGCCTGTCAGCGCCAGTGTGTAGGAAACTTCGGAGCTTTGAAGTACCACGGCTCACGATTGACCGTGTAGGGGAGGTTGAGACGGCCCGAGTCTCGTGGGAGAACCTCGAAAAGATCAATAATGGTGTACTTTGGGGTAATGTGAAGCAGAGCACCGGCCAAGAACATGCCAGGACCAGACATTGAGAGATGAGACGGGGACAAACGCCAACTCCAGCTCAAAACAACACATCATCCAAAACAAATGATTCGCCCAGCAACGATTCGGTTGTTGATGCTCCCGATCGGGTTAGTCTGTGGCTGAAACATCCCGCGCGTTGATTGCTGAGTCATCTACTCTTTTATGATCCAAAAATTTACCAAATACAGCTCCGTACGCAGCCGGTTTAGATTACAGTGATGTGACATAAACTTTTAAAACCTGGTGTTTTCAACGGCCATGTGGCGCGAGACAATGGCTCAAGCCTTGGTGTAACGCAGGTACGGCTTCAGCTCGCGCACCTCGCCGAACTTCTTCCGCGCCTCCTCCGTCGACACCGAGGGGGGCACAATCACATCGTCGCCCACGTTCCAGTCAATCGGAGTAACGATGCCGCGCTTGTCCGCCGTCTGCAGCGAGTCAATCACCCGCAGCACCTCCGCCGAGTTCCGCCCCGTGGACGCCGGGTACGACATGATCAGCCGGATCGTCTTGGCCGGGTCGATAATGAACACCGAGCGGATCGTGAACGGGATTCCCTTCTCTGCGATGTTGTCCAGGTCACGCTGGTCGATCATGTCATACAGGAACGCCACCTTGCGGTCCGCGTCGGCGATCACGGGGAATTGCACTTGGGTGTTGGCCACTTCGTTGATGTCGTCGATCCATTGGTCGTGCGAGCTGAGGTCGTTGGCGCTCTAGGCGAGGTAGAGGTTAGCTAGCCGTGCGGGACACGGCAGGGATAGAAGGAGATAGAAGGAGGCGGCGCACCAGTCCGATCATCTTGACATCACGCTTCTCGAACTCGTCCTTCAGCTTAGCAAAGGCGCCCAGCTCGGTGGTGCACACGGGGGTGAAGTCGGCCGGGTGCGAGAACAGGATCGCCCAGCTGTTGCCGATGTGCTCGTGGAAGTCAATCTCGCCATGTGTGGTCTGGGCCTTGAAGTTGGGGGCTGCAATTGACCCGGGTTAGCCATTCCGGTTGACTGAAGCTCTTCAGAAGAGGTTGTTACCCTTAGATCCGAGACGCAGACGGGGTTGCTCCTGGGGAATGGTGGTCAGGCAGCGGCGGGGGAGGGGCTGCACGCGGGGCTGCACGCGGGGGAGATGGCGGGAAAGTGACAGGCGAGGAAGAGGCGTAGCCCGGGGGAGCGCCGTGAGAGTACGGAAGCTGGTGCGGGAGATGATGGATGCCATTTTGATGTGATTTGAAGCAATTGACAATGGTGGAGAGAAGATGAAGAAATTCAATGAGCTCCAGCGATCCTGCTTTCGTCTTCGGGGTCATTGCATCACCGCCGACAACCGGCGCACTAACCCGTTCCGGAATAACACCTCAGGCATAAAGTCTGCTGCCTGAGGCAGAAAATAGCTCCCGGATGCACTGCGTAGTCTACCAGGTAGCCTGAGATCATTTGTTCAAGGCCTGCTAGTATCATCCCCCATCAGGAAGGTTATAAATAACATTCAATCCGTCTGAGACCGCGTGGTAATTGCGTCTCGTACTCTGTGCCTCGCTAGTCTAGTATGTGCTAAATGGGTCCAAGCACCACATAGTTAGCACACGATAAGCGCCTGTCTCCCTTGGCGCGGCTGGTTGATTGGGGATACATGTTATGAACCTACTTTTACCTCTACCAATAAACCGTGGGCGTTGACCTGGGTTCATGAGGTGTGCGATGTGAGTGGTAAGCACTAGTATAAGTTGCATTACCTGGGCGTCTAATGGAGAATAAGACAGAATAACTGAGACTTGTTGAGGCCATTATAACCCCGCCGGTAGAACTAGAACTCCTGTCTCAATCCCATGATGTCTTCATCCTTGGGTCCTGGTCATCTTCTCTCAGCGGTCCTGGCTTCTCCAATTCTGTCACCAGGTACGGCAAGTGGGCAAGATATATCAATAGAGAATGACGAGCTTAGCCAGCGCGTCCAACACCAAATTTGCAACCCCTACATCAACAGCCGTGTCTATCCCAGGATATTCCGGGGCATACAACAGGGGACCCGAGACGACCACATTCTCTCCACCGATAACATGTCGTCAATCAGCCACGATGTACACCGCCGATGATGGCGCAGGAGCAGCGGCGGGGACCATCTATTATGGACATTGGTGGTCAGGAGACATGGCTTGCTACCCAACTGGGACCATTCCTGCAACATCGTACACGCATTTCCAGTTCTGGTATTCATACTACTGTAGGTATGCGCGCTGGTACTCGAGATACAAGAGCTACCGACTGATGGAGATGTCCAACAGACAGCCCCGGCTACTACTGTCCGAGCAGCTGGCACACCGCAGCAACACTGGCTGATGGATGGGCGGGCGAGACCCTGACTGGAAGTCGCAATGGGGTGTTGTGTTGTCCCAGGTGAGCTTTTTCGCATGGTTCAGCTGTTCTTTGGGGAACATTAGTTCTAATCGGCCCTTTTCATGTCCTTCCAGCGGCCTGACACTCTACAACAACTGGACACATGCGTGCGCAACCTCCGTCTCTCCAGGGGACGTTATCACACTGGTGACCAACTTTGTCGCAGTAGAAACCACGATATCAGTCTCTTCGGTCCTCTTCCAAGATGGCATTCCGCTTATTCGCGACGAGTTCATCACAGCGACCAACAACCCGTCAACCACCATCACACCCGCCCCAACTCCAAGCTCGACCATGCCCCAAGCGACGGGTGACACAACCATCCCAGCTGCAACACAAAGCTCACCACATGCAGGAGACAAGATATCAGCTGAGCTCTCGACTGTCGCTAAAGCTGGAATCGGAGTCGGGATAGGTCTCGCGGTGGTTCTTCTCGTGGGAGCAGGACTGTTCTTTTTCATGCGCGCTCGCCGGCGTAAACGACAAACTTCGCCTCCCAGTCCATGCTCGGATCAGACAGCCTTCATCCAAGAACTCCATTCTAAACCCTACCAGAGACCAGTTGAGCTTCCCGCTCGCCCGTATGTTAGTGAACTCGAAAGTCGTGCCCACGTTAGTGAGTTACCTGGGTGATGCTTGAAGTTCGTGAGAAGCCAACATCGCGGAGAATGGCGCATTTTCCTCGAGAATCAACAAATAACATGGACATAATACACTAGAGCTCGAGATACTTCGTAAATAATTCAGCTGGATCTGGATTGGTTCAGTTCACAAAGCCATGGCCACGGGAACTGACGTGCGCACGAGCCTTGACTTGGCCGTTGAGTAAATCCCTGAGCCCCTGGTCTGCCATTGGGGCCTCGTCTAGCAAGATTGTCCTTCTTCCCGACGTTCCACCAAGTGTCGATCACTGACTGTCTATGCTGCTGTACAAGATTGAAATCGCCTACTCCGATGCTGCTCCCACCATTGCCACCCTCGCCGCCTCCCTGGGCGACTATACTCAGGCCGTCGCACTGACTCCCAGCACAGGCGGCTCCACCATCGACAGCAACGGCAACATTTGTCTCAGTGACACCAATCTGCCGGCCATTTGGAAGGTGACCCCGATGGAGTTGCCTCGATTCTGTTCTAGGATGATCGCCTGATCTGGACGGATGTACTATTAGTCTTCCGTGTTGGTGATATAGGATTGGTGTCAAGTCGCTGTTGTCTCAGAAGAAAAAGTGTGGTATAACATAATGTCAACAGTATCTGGGCACAACCTACATGCTAGTCATCTGTTAATAATAGGCATCAAAATCAAAACCCTTGCTTCTTGTGTCTGTTTTTCTTTTTTTTTTTTTCTGTGAGTGTATTTTGGAATGCATCTCATGCTCCTAGTTACAACCCGCTTGGGTCTCCTTTGGGATAACGAAACTCACCTATCTCGCTTGATTGCCATATTCCACTTTGTCTCATACGACCAACCTTCTGAACGCTGGATATATAACCGGCTTGAACAGATGCACGGAAACACACCTCAGGGGTGAGCGCTTTCAGGATTCTTAGGCATCTCGAGCGAGGAAGGACAAGTCATCAAGGCTCTATCCTGCGGGTTGCAGTGGAGAGGACTAGGCAATAACATCAGCTTATCTGGCCGATGAGTCAATCAGCCGTAGTTAGAGGCAAATATGGTGAGTTCAAAGACTCTTCCCGTGGAATAAATGCCACTTATTCTTCCGCAACGCGGGTCATGATGACGGATGAAGCCACCCCCCTGGGTCCTAAAATCGCACTCCACACGCTTTCACCAACCATCCCGCCCACAACTCAACTTCAGCCACGAGAACATCGTTGAAGATGTTCCACCGCTCAAAGACCCGATTCGCTGTCATCACCGAGCCCTACCTGATACGACTGGAAACCCACCTCGAACGGCATGGAAAATGGCGCCTGGCGCAGAGACTCCGTCGCAAACAGCACAAGTGGCGTCCCCCCGCCCCGGAAGACTGGACGCAAGTCCACCAATACATCGAGTCGAAACAAACCGTGCTTTTCGTCATCCAAATCCAAACATGGACGCAGCAGGCGCTGCATAGGTGCTACCTCGAGTTGACAGACGGTAGCCCCGTCAGCGACGAAGACGGATTGGTGAGCACGATGCAAGCCCTCCAGGAAGCTCTACCAACCGCCGGCGAAGGAGTGTGGTACGCCGAAAGAGAATGCCACAACAAGGCGCTCCGGGTGCCCGATGGACCTCTGCAGCGGGCCTTGCGAACTCACGAGCGGCAGGCTATGTCTCACCTGAGGGAATGGCAGCGGAATGAGTGCGCGGCCATGGGAGGCTGTTGTGGGCGTGGCTGTGGGTGCTGTTCGAAGCCAAGGAATCCTGACGCTTCGAGGCGACATTATGGCCATTGTTTTGCATACTGCGTGTGTTGCTGCGATGAGAGAGGGTTTGATCTCCGGGCTCAGACTATAGCCGATGATCCCACGCGGGTGGTGTTTGATTTGACTAAGGGGCCAAAAAATGATTATCATAGACACCTGTTGGATGCTTATTTCTGGGGCTTGGAACGGTGACTGTGTCTCGGTTGGAGGTTGGTTCTGCTGCTCATCCCGTCAATGTTTCTAAATCTAGAGAACTACTTCGTGTTACGCCCAGATAGAGTATTAAGTGAACGATTCAAAATCTCTGTCGCCATTAGTCCACGACGTCCCCACATTGCCAAATAACCACGATGAAGCATATCCCAATGTGCGACTCGTAGTCGAAAGTCCAACTCCTCAATGGTGATGATACACCTTACGCGATGCACGATTCGCACGGGATTCTATTTGTTTCCTCGCCGATACAACTGCATTGCCATTTTCGCGCCTGCCCGAGAGACGAAGTAGATGCCCCCAGCTTCTAGGAAGTCATCCGCACGATCTCAAACCACGAAGAAAGATACGTTCCCTCTCAAATCCGTCGAGCTGCGACCCACATGGGCAATGAATTGACCGGGCTCGACGACGTATCGCATTCCCGCATTCCACAACCCCAAACTGGTCAGACTGACCTCCAAGCTGACGGTGACACTCTCACCAGCCCGGATAAAGACCTTCTGAAATCCCTTGAGCTGCTTGTTCGGCGTGACGACCGAGGAGATCGGATCGACCACATAAAGCTGCACGACCTCTTTCCCATCCCGATCACTCGTATTCCTCACATTCACTGTGACAGTCACATTATCGGACGCCCGTGGAGCTTTGGGGATTACCTGTACATTACTATACTCGAACGTCGCGTAGCTCTCCCCGTGCCCGAACCCGAACCACACATCGGGAGTATCGAGCACATAGTCACGTCCAAATTTGAGACTCCCGTTGGCATAGCGTGCGCCGGGCGTCCGGACCTCGCGCCCGGAGTCCAGATAGTCGTAGACGACGGGCAGACTGCCCACGTCGCGCGGAAAGCTGATGGGAAGGCGTCCGCTGGGGCTATGGTTGCCAAACAGCACCTCCGCCAGCGCGACACCACCGTTGGGCGAGGAGTAAAATTGCTGAACCAGAGCGGTCGCGGTCGCGTTGGAGGAGAGCCAGGGCTCGGTGATGGGTTTCCCGGACGAAAAGACCACGACGGTGGGTGTCCCGGTGTCGAGGACCTGTTGAATCAGGGCGCGTTGGGCGCCCACCAGCCGCAGGTCATTCACGTCATAGCCTTCCCCGGTCGTGGCATTCAGGCCCTTGTCCTGCCCCTCAAGGTCCTGGGTCCATGTGCCGACAACCACAACGGCTACGTCGGCGGCCTGCGCTTGCTGCACGGCTTCGCCGATGCGCGATTCGTCGTTGCTCCAGGCTTCGCAGCCTTGGGCGTACGTGACCTCGCCTCCGTACTGGGTGGCCAGGTCCTGGATTCCTTGCCTGGGCGTGATGCCGTTAGGTCGGTAGGCGATATAGTCTCCGTACTACGAGAGGTGAATATCAGCTCTGCGGAGCGGAAGGAAGAGGATTCAGGATGGAACGAGTTACATTCATGGTGTCGGCAAACGGTCCGATGACGGCCAATCTCTGCGGCTTCTGGGCCAGCGGCAGGATATTCCCCGGGTTCTGCAGCAGCACAATCGACTCAAGATCCATCTCCGTGGCGAGATCGAGCGCCTGGGGGGTGTTGATGCGTGCGGGCCACTCCGCCGGCGGAGCTGCAGGGAAAGGATCTTCAAAGAGGCCCATGTCGAATTTCGCCCGAAGCACACGTCGCACTGCTTCATCCACAATCGCGACAGACAGAGTGCCGTTGGAGACGAGGTCGGGGATTGTATCGAAATTGCTGTTGAGGCGCATCAGGAACGCGACGCCCGCGCATCATGGGGAATTTGACAGGAAGAGGATTTGCTCACAACGAGCCGCCGCCTTCTGTGTCCCCACCAGCTGGCAGCACCATCATGGTCACTGCCTCCTTGTCGATAGGATTGCTGTGACACATCTTGAACGTCCCACAGAGCCGATCCGGTCCCCCGTAGTCCGAGGTGACGAAATATTGGAAGTCCCATTGCTCGCGCAGCACCTCCGTGAGTAGGTACCGGTTGCTGACGGAAGGGATACCGTCGTATCTGAAGCCTCAAGTATCAGAGTCTTTCTTGATTGAGACATCACCGTGCAGTGGGATGAAGTTAGGAGAAAGGGGGGAGGGAATACGAATTGTATGAGCTCATCACGGTGAAAGCGCCGGTCTCCTGCAACGCTCGCTGGAAGGGAGGAAGATAAGTGGTACGCAGCTCCCGCGGCCCTCCATGAACAGGACCGTTATAGATCCCCTGCTCCGAGTTCCCATAGCTTGCCAGATGCTTGATGGTGGATGCAACCTTGGACTTCCACAGGCCGCGTACAAATGCGGCTCCAATTTCTCCCGCTAGGTATGGGTCTTCGGAATACGATTCTTCAACCTGGGTTCTCTGAAATTAGCAGCATAGCCGCTCAGGTTGTTCAATGAAGCAGCTTACCCTTCCATTTCTCGGGTCTCGGGCAAGATCCAATGAGGGGGCAAAGAGTTGCGTGATGCCCAGTGTGCGAGCCTCTTTGCCGATCGTTTCAGCGACTCGCTCCGCTAACTATGCGGGTTGACCGTCAGCTCAGATCTGATGTAGCAATTTCCAAATCAAGAGTCGTACTTCAATGTCCCAGGATGCTCCCCATCCAATGGGGGAGGTGAATACAGTGGCATTCGGAAGTCCCAGTCCATGTAGCCCTGCATGCACACCACGGATCAGAAGAAGAATACAGGCAAGATGGCTGCCAACTATACCTTCACATTGCACAATCGCGGGAAGAGACAGACTCGTGTCATTCATGATCCAGTCCTGCAGCGCTTGAGCTCCCCGGTAAGCCAGGTCAAGCGTAGTGCGTGGATAGCTGACTGTGAGGGACCGCATACGGTCCGGTATTAGTGAAAGGGACAAAGGAGATGGAGGTCCAGAAGCCTACGAACCCCGAAGCATGCTGGAATGATAAAACATGTGATCCTTCATGGCCGTCTGATTGACATAACCGGTGTCGAAGTCGACGAAGCGGTCCAACTCTCCTGTAAGACCGGTTAGCCCTGAACATTTCCGGCACCTAGTGTGGGGGTCTTCAAGATCACCTTGCATAAGCTGAGCCATCTTCTCCCGCATGGGCATCCGAGAGAGAAGATCCTCTACGCGAAGAGCAGTCTCTAAGTTTGGATCCTGGTATGGCGCACGAGCAGGACTGACGATAGGGGGATCTCGCGGAGGAGATCCGCTGCAAGACGTCGCGCTTCCCTCCTGAGCCACGCCACTTGCGATCAGGGTTCCCAGGGCTAGTAGCAGGAACCTCATACTCGGCTTGTTAAATGCACTATTCCAAGAATTCATCAAAGAGAATTCGAACGTAGATATATGAGGAAGCGGGGTGAGCCAGCAACCGCAGGAGATGTTGCCCTTATCATGTAAGTAAAGCGGTCAGCGACTTGAGGCAAGAGTGCTTTCTCTATCTTGTAGTCCCACACCATGAAGAATAGATCCGCTCGACGATTGCAGGATCGTGGAGGGCCTGCGCCTCATCCCTTGCCGCCATGCTCTCGACTCAGATATTCTTCAGGTCGATCCAAGTGTGTGAATGAGGTATTTACGGAGCCGCCATAGCGTTTAGGAAGCCCTAGATAAGCAGGGAACTCTGAACCTGGAAAACCCAATCTCGGAAGGTTCTGCAGCGAGGGGCTGAACAGATTTCCCGGTTGTAGTAGCAGGCGCACACCCCGAGGAATGTGACTACTGCAAGCCAAGTTCGGAATTAGATTTTCGGCCTTAATACTATGTCAATACCAGAAAGCAATGTAAGGGTCCTGAAGAGTCAACGGATCACATCCTAGGCCTTGTTCTTCACTTCGGCGACAACATCAAACTGATTCGTTAGGTGATCGATCTCAACTGATTGATGATTGAGTCCTTGAGGTAGTACCCTATGTGGGACCACTCACCGCTGCGGTTCCAAAGCTGCCAACTGGCTTATATTTCGAGTGCAATGGTGTATAAATGCACCTTGTGAGAACAACGAAATCTCGCTCACATATTTCCTTGGCCCCATAGCTAGCAATCCATCATCAAGACGCAATTCCGACCAGATGAGGTTGTGCCGTGAGCCAGTGTGGTGGATTGCTGGCCTTGTTGTAGCAGCAAGCAACCTAAGATTATCATTCAGCGCAAGAGGCTCTGAGTGGCACCCAGCTCGTTGGGTCACAGAAAGAGAGCCGAATGCCACAGAACCAGGAAATGCCAGAAATGAATGCGTATCTCTGGTATGTTCGAGCCCTGCGCAGCTGACAAGCAAGCCTGTTGGGTCATGAACAGCTTCTCAGATACAGATAGTGTCATGATCTCGCAATCACATATCCTGACACCATCACTTGGCCGGGAGAAGACCAGTTCGTGGCCGAACAACAGGATTATTTCTCCCGCCAACAGTCGGAACTCAGCCCCGCATGCTTTTATCGACCTTTTGACGAGCTGCAATTATCGTACGCCGTGGCCAGAGTGAAGATCCACCCACTTTGTCCCATTGCCGTCAAGGGAGGAGGTCATGCATCATTTGCAGGTGCTTCCAATACAGCCAAGGGCATAACCATTGTCCTTCGACACTTCGACCAAGTGACCCCGTCAGCAGACAAAAGGACCGTGCGAGTAGGCGCAGGAAATCGCTGGAGGAACGTGTACCAGGAGCTGGAAAGATTCAACCTGACCGTGACAGGCGGCCGAACAGGATCTGTCGGAGTCGGGGGATTTACTCTTGGAGGTGGGTTGTTCCCGTCATACTCCCTTCCCAGCACTCTTTGCTCCCAGAACCCTTGTAACTCATGGGTCAAAATAGGTGGAATCTCTTTCTTCTCTGGCTTGTATGGCCTGTCTTGTGATAACGTAGCCAACTATCGGGTACGTTCTTTCAAAACCTCCCAGTCCATTGGAGCCCACTGGAAGCAGATCTGACATCTCCGTCGCCAACATGTAGGCGATCCTTGCCAATGGGTCTATTCTCGATGTCAACCGAAACTCCCAACCCGAGCTCTACTGGGCTCTAAGAGGCGGGGGCAGCAATTTCGCCATTGTCACCCATTTTGAGATGTACGCGATCCCTCATGCCTACATGTGGGGGGGAACACGGAATTACACTAAGCAATGGATTCCTCGACTCATCGATTTCTATGTCGAGTCGGGATTCCTCGCCTCTTCCCAGCCCTCGGCCTCCCAGATCACCACCCTCTACTACCGGGACGGCGAGTATACCGCGACAGTCGATCTCTTCAATGTCAACCCCGAGCCTAGCGACATGCTTTTCAACACCACCCTGCCCCAGGTGCCCTACACGTCCGACACTCTCGCCATCACGCGCCAGTCGCAGCTGGCCGAGTCCAACTACCTTGGCCAGCCCGATGGACTGCGTCAGACATATTGGACCGCCACATACCTCCTCGACCAAGCACTTGCGCACTTCATCCACCAAGTCTTCGAAGAGGAGACGGCCGCTCTGGGGCCACTCGATGATCTAGAGGCGCGCTGCATCATGCAGATATTTGCCAACAACACCCTGCAGGCCATGACGAAAAACGGGGGCAACGCGCTCCCCATCGCGGGTGGTGAGCAGCCAGTCATCATTCTGAACCCGGCCTTCCGATGGCAGCAGGCGAGCGACGACCTGAAGATTCTGCAGGCTAATCAGAATCTGTTCACCCGCGTCAAACATTACGCAAGGGAGCGCGCCCTCAATGTCGATTATCTGTACATGCCGTATGCAAGCGAATTTCAGAACGTGTTGGAGACCTATGGCCCAAAGAATCTCGACCGCTTGCGTCAGGTAGCGAGCACCTACGACCCCGAGGGCTTCTTCCAGACGCAGACCCCGGGGTATTTCAAACTCAACGGACGGGTTGGCTGGTGAAGGGAATGCCCCGCGGGATGCAGCTACGTTTTTTTTTTTGTTTGATTTAAGTTCACCTTTTTCTTTTTTTCTGTTTTCTATCTTTCTAGTTAAACATATCGGTCACCGAAGATCTAATTAGCATATCAACCCTTTTTTCTCCGTACTGGGGGGATTCAATGAACCCCTTCTTAGAGGAGACAAACATGGATTTCTAGAACAGCAGGACATCATGGAATAGATAATTAATATCTAGTTTTACACTTCCTTCATGTCCCGAGTTCTCTCATTTCTACTTGCTCGCTTTCAGCCCCAGTGAACTATAAAACCAGTTATCAAGATATTGATAACACACACAGAAGCCCTAGTCTCTAGTCCCCTCGTTTCAGCCCAAACTCAAGTAGCTGAGCTCTAACAGCTGTCTCGTTGCTGTCGAGATTCACACTCACAGCCACTGACAGTGACTAAGATAGTGTTCATCTCAGCCTCCCCGCGTCTAGAAAATACTCCTTTCAATTCTACAACCACTCAGGCCCTCAGCCCCCGCGATAATTGTCTTATCTATAGCCATCCTATCCTTTCTAAGAACTATCTACTGAATAGGATTTTCTACTATAGTTACGAGATGGAGAGCATAATACTTACTCATGTAAGTAGAAGTACAGATTCAGGTAATATATTGTAAGGGCCTCCTTATATTCCCTTCAGGGAAAATCATATGCACACCTTCAATAGAAGTAGGTCTATAGTAGAGCTACTTCGGGGATGAATCAGTAACTGAGGGTAAATTTTGCCCGAACCGCTATTGTTTCCAATGAATCCTCTTGTCATTATATATGGCGCTGAAATGCTTGGCTGCGCATAGTGGTTGGACAACAATGTACATATCTTGGTTATTGATTGAAGCTGCTATCGTGTACTACCAGGTAGTATTGAAGTGTATAGTTCGTTTGGGAACCGAGGCAGGTTTCCCCCGGAACGACCTTCCTATCCGGATCCACTCCCCCATGTATCCCTCCATTTACCCCTCGTCGCGGGGTCTCGCTCTAATCTTTCTTCTCCTTCACTCCTAGATACAACATAACAATTCAGGTCATTTGACTTACTGATTTGCTGCAACACACACATCCACAATGGCAAAAATCTTCTTGTAAGGACCCCTCAATCGCCGACGGATAACCCTGCTCATTGGAGTCCAGGACAGGAGCTTCAGGCTACATCGGCGGAGATGTCCTTCACGCCTTGCGATCCGCTCTACCTCAATGCGACTACAGTGTTTTACTGCGCGACGAAGCAAAGGCGGCAAAAATCCAAGCTGCTTACCCTGATGTGCGGGTGGTAATGGGGGACTTGGACGCCACGGCTACCATCGAGAAGGAGGCCAGTCAGGCCGATATCGTTGTCCGTAAGTCTGGTGCTTCGCCACTCAATGATTAATTGGCGTTTCAACTTCGTTGTCCCCTATAGACGCTGCCAGCACGAACCACATCAAGAGCGTCGAAGCCATCGCCCGCGGTCTGTCGGCAGAGACCAGAGCGAAACCTGGTCAGTACCTTAGTTCTTGTCGGAATGGACTGCGCCCGTACAACTGACCAAATTGCAGGCTACTGGATACAGATGTCGGGAGCCAGTGTTCTATCTATGCCCGACATTGAGAACAACACTTTTGGTCAGGCTTCATCACGTATCTACAGCGATATAGACGGCGCGGAGGAACTGTGTGCGCTCATTAAACGTTACTCGGCCCAGCGCGTTGTGGATAACTTTGTGACCAACCTTCCACCGGCAGCAATCCGACCCAAGACCGCACTCATCTTCGGACCGATTATCTATGGTCGCGGCCGGGGGGTAGTCAAGCAGCGGAGTATTCAGATCCCGGAGCTTGTCCGGGCGAATTTGCAGCGTCGGGAGGGTGTACAGGTGGGGAAGGGAGAAAGTACATGGAGTAACGTGCACATTGCGGATTTGAGTACAATCTTCGTGCAGCTAGTGGAGGCAGCACTCATGGCTGCCGAAGGGGATTTGTGGAATGAGCATGGGCTATATTTCCCTGTGAATACTGGGATGCTGGTGAGTGGAAGCGGATTCAGCCCTCGCGCGATACTGCAGCCGCTAACACAATGCAGTCCTTCAAGGAGATTTCACAGCGTATCGCGCAGGACGTCTATAATCGGGGACTCTCAGACACGGCTTCAGTCAAGGAGGTCGACCCTCGTGAGGCGGATTCCATCATTCCCCATGCGGCAGTTATCCTGGGTACAAATGCAAAGCAAGTGGGACAAAGAGCACGGCAGTACCTGGGCTGGGTGCCAGAGCATCACACTTTAGCAGAGGAGATTTCTCTTGCTGTCACAGCGGAGATGGAGATTTTGGGCCTGGAGAATGTATTGCAGTAGTCGATAGAACTTTATTATGAACTTGAAATAACCAATCTACTTGTGTTGATTTGTGCCTCACAGCACAGCGGATACCTGAGGCATCAACTCTTCTTTATGGAGGCTGCACTAACCCAAGCAGGCAAGTCCTTCCGACCGACAGCAACACCAAAAAAGCAAGTGGTTCCGCGGAGCAGGAGGGGGTTTTGCGGAGAAGATCCAGATATAGCAATCCATCCATCCTCCGATCATTCTTACTCCACCCCAAATGACTCCATTCCATTCACCAGCAGACTCACAGACCATCGCCATCACCCCACTGCTCCACGAGTCAACCGCTTCCGCTGCCATGGCAGGATCCAAGGCATCAGGCAATCGATCCCGTCGCACCCACGTGCTGGGCGCCTGCAAGACCTGTCGTCGCCGACATGCCAAATGCGATCAACGACGGCCCTCATGCCAGATGTGTCGCGCCAGCGGGGTGCTATGCGAGGGGTTTGCCGATGACATTCGCTGGGTCTCAGCGCGTCCGCCGCGAGGGAGGGAGAAGAAGCACCGGGATGCGGCCAAGCACGGTCCGCGACGGCTGCTCTATACAGGTGATTCACTCCGTTGGCTCTTTGGTGTATGGCGTCTAATGGGGTAGACTAGAGAAATCGCGGCTGTCTATGAGCGATGCGTTGAGTGCGGACCTCCTGGCGGGGTCTATCGATGCTTCGCTGGCGGAGATCGATCTTCGGACGAGGGATTCAGAGCGTGGTGCTGAGAGAAGTCTCGTGGTCAGGCCTTTTTCTGTCCTGGACTTGTCGGATAAGATGCATCAGGATATTGCTGCGCAGCCGGCGGTCTCGCCAGACAAGGCCATTGTCAGTTCGCCTCGGGGGGCAGCACCTCCAGTCGAAACCAGTTTGGTCGTCAGCCCGTCACTGGCGCAGGAGTCGATTGCCTCCATGAACGATCTGCTGCAGTGGTCGGACTTATTCAGCATGGATCTTCAGATGCCTGACAGCATGATGTCGACCGCTTTTGACACCGGGGATGCGCTTTTCCTGGAACCTGATGCGCAGGCGGCTGTGAACGGTGGCGCGATAGGCATGACAGACTCTACTCTGGATGCAAATACAGCGCAGGAGATACATTCCACGGTGATGCCACAGATATCTGCAGACCTGGGCAGCGAGCCAGCCGACGTGCTGGTCCACGCCCACTTCCTCCTCCGCCACTTCCAAGATCATGTCATCTCACGTATGTCCGCTATTCCACTGCAGCAAAAGTCTCCATGGAAGATATTGAACGTGCCATCCGCCGTCGTCACATACAGCGACCTGACCTTTCTCAGCGCGCAAAACATCAGCCATGCTCGCCTGGCGAATCTGTATTGTCTTCTCGCATGCGCGGCACACCATCTCAGCGTCGACCCCTCAACGACTACGAGCGACGACTCCAGAGCAACCTGGCATCCCATCGCCGAGCACGCCTACCGTCTCGCCAGGGAGCACATGCAGACATCCCTGAGAAACGAGATCCAGCCCAAAGTCGCCAAATACAAAGACCAGCTAATGGCGATCTGCGCCCTGACTGAATACGCCGTAAGCCCCTCCCCCCCACGACTTCCTGCAAGAAGCAAAAAGTAACCGTCACAGATCATCAGCGGCCAACCACAAGACGCAAGATGCTACATGGTCGACGCCGAGCGCCTGCTGCGTCTGCGCGGCCTCTCCAAACGCCGCATCTCGCAGAAAGCCCGCCTGCTCCATCATGTCTACACCTGGCTGCGCATCATCAGCGAAAGCACCTACACTCTCCACGACTATACCCCTTCCGAACACTTCCTGGATGCGCTACGATGCTCCTTCCGATGTCCGAAATCCGATACCATCGCCAAACCCACCACCACCACCACCACAACCACTCCGAACGAACACCCACCCCGCCTCGACGACTTCCTCCGTCTCGCCCGCTGCCCCTCCGATAGCGACCTGAACATCCACGAACCCAAAAGCCAAGAGGTAGGCCTCCACGAAATCCACCTCCAAGACTCGCGCAGTTACCCCGACACCCTCTACCACCAGATCTACGGCATCCCGGAAACCTGGCTGAGTCTCGTCTCGCAGACCACGCGACTGGCCAACGTGATGGAGACGTTCCGGCTCGCGCGACGCACCCGGTCGGTCAAGCAGGCGAGTAGTGAGGCCTGGGATGCGTTGCATCGGCGCAGTGCTCGGTTGGAGAATATGGTGTGTGCACTGGCTTCACGGAAGGGGGAGCGGGAGGGGGGGACGGGGACGGGGACGGAGCGAGCGAATAACCGTTCGGAGCCCGGTGTCCAGGCGCATGCGTGTTTGCTTGATGCGTTGAATGCTGCGCTGGTGATTTTTTTCTACAGGCGGATCCGCGAGGTGCATCCGCTGGTCCTGGAGGGGTTTGTGGATCAGGTTGTTTCGTCGTTAGGGAGGTTTGATGCCGCGTTGACGGAGGCGGGATGGACGGGGCCGGGGACGGCGTGGCCGCTATTCATTGCCGGGTGTGAGGCGATGACCGCAGAACGACGTGGGGAGGTGTTGCGATTGTTGGAGAAGGGGGAGGCAAGGTGCGGGTTTGCGGGGTTTCGCGTGGCAAGGGAGGTTCTGAAGGAGGTGTGGGTGCAGCAGGATGAGCATCTCACCTCGAGTCGCGGGGAGTCGGTGCCGACTTGGTTGGACGTCACGAAGCGAGGGCAGATATGGCCTATCCTCGCCTAAATCCATCCCCCGGGTATCTGCTTATGGTGTATGGTGATGAAGTAACGACCCAGATGCAACCAAGCATTTAATCTTGTCTCTCATTTTGTATCTGTAGTTATATCTTCTAACTTCAATGAAGATATACATACCATCTACCGCACAACCTTGACCCCAGCGGCCTCGATCAACCGCGCCAGCTCCTCCCTCAGCTCCCCCTCCAACAGCGCAAACGGCTTCCTCAACCCCCCCGTCTTCTGTCCCCTCAACTCAACTCCCGTCTTGACCGCCGCTGCGTAGTTATGCGACTCCAGGAACTTGCAGATCGGCCACGCCTTGCGCCATAGCGCCCGTCCCTTGTCCAGGTCCTTCTCAACCACAACGGCGTTCCACAGCTCCACACTCAGCTCAGGGATGATATTCGACGCGCCCCAGACAGCGCCCTCGGACCCCGCGGCCAGCCCGTAGAACGTGAGGGTGTCCCATCCGTTGAAGGCGGTGATTTTGTCATTCAATCCAAACACCAGTTCCGTATAGGCTGGGGCATTGCCCGAGGTATCCTTGAGGTACTTGACGCCATGCTGGCTCAAATCCGCGAGTTGCTGGGGCGTGAGCGTCAAGCCACTGGCGGAGGGGATGTTGTAGTACACGATGTGCAGGCCACTGGCCGTGTGGATCTCAGACATGAGCTCCGTGAGCTGGGCATAGCTGAGAGGGTCGTAGAAGGGCGGGACGACCATCACGGCTGCGGCGCCGGCTTGGGCGGCGTGCACCGCCAGGTCGATCGCCTCCTCCGTCGAGGTGGAGCCTGTGCCTGCCACCACCGGGACCCGGCCTGCGGCGTACTCGACGCACAGCTCGGTGAGTTGCTTGCGTTCGGAGCGCGAGAGCGTGGTGAATTCGCCGGTGCTGCCGCCGGGGACGAGGCCGTGGACGCCCGAGGAGATGAGGTGGTCGATGTGGGATTTGAGTCGCGGAGCGGAGATGCACTTGCCGTCGTCGGTGAAGGGGGTGATCAGGGCCACCATGATGCCGTGGAGGCGCTGGGAAGAGGCGGCGGTGGTGTTGGTGGCTGTCATTGTGTGTGTGGTGGGCTGTGTGGGATAGGTGGGTGAACTTGGCGATATGTTGATGGTGTTGCGGAGTGTATTGCTGCTGGTCCTTGCAGAGACGACATTATTATAGTCATGTCCAACGGGACTGCCTTCTTCTCTGAGAAGTGTAGAAGCGTCTGGTATACCTCTCTCACCACCACTTTGTCGATGCCCTAATCGCCTGCATTCACGGCCGACGGAATCACCTTCCGTTCTGGTGTGCAGCCACTGCGCCAGGCAGGCAGTTCCGGCCAGCGCTGACTGTGCGGGGAATCCCCTCGGCCGCACTAGACATTAGTGCATGATTGGCGTAAGCACCAATTTGCTTTCTTATCGGACTGAGGGGTCAATGAGCTGTACTATAAATCGTGTTATCAGTTATCGGAAGTGCAGAACAGCTCAATCCCCAATTCTATCTGTCCAGCCAAAGTGTCAAGTCTGGAATAGGCAGTTCTAGCCTGAGCTGCAAACCACAAAACCCCACCCACCAGCATTCGAGACCAGCATCACTTTGTTTTTATTCTTTTCTGCTTCTCTTCTTCCTTCTTCCTTTTGAATCAGATCGTTTTGGATTTTGAGTCAACATGCCGGACCTCTTTGTCGAACTTACCACGCCCAACGGTCGGCAGTACAAGCAGCCCACGGGCCTGTTCATCAACAACGAGTTCCGACCGTCTTCTGGAGGGCAGACGATCGTGTCGTTCGATCCTGCGTGAGTTAGTCTCACGCGAGACCTAACGGCAGCTTACTGACAGAACCAGAACCGACAAGCCGATCGCGACGGTGCACGCTGCGACCGCGGAGGACGTCGACGCCGCAGTCCAAGCCGCCAAGGCAGCCCTGGCCCATGCATCGTGGAAGTTGCTGCCCGCCACGGAGCGCGGTCAGCTCATGGGTCGACTGGCAGATCTGATAGAGCAGAACAGGGAACTGTTCGCGGCGATTGATGCCTGGGATAATGGTTGGTTTGGCTGAGCAATGTCAGCAAGCATAGCTAACACAAACCAGGGAAACCCTACCACGTCGCATTGAACGAAGACCTGACCGAAGCCATCACCACAATCCGCTACTACAGCGGTTGGGCGGACAAGACCTTCGGGCAGACTATCAGCACGACCCCCCAGAAATTCGCATACACCCTTCGCCAGCCACTCGGGGTCGTCGGTCAGATCATCCCCTGGAACTACCCGCTTTCCATGGCGGCCTGGAAGCTGGGCCCTGCGTTGGCTTGCGGGAACACCGTTGTCATTAAAGCTGCTGAGCAAACACCGCTCAGTATTCTGGTTCTGGGAACTTTGATCAAGGAGGCTGGGTTCCCAGCTGGTGTGGTGAATATTATCAATGGATACGGTCGGGAGGCCGGTGCGGCTCTCGTGCAACACCCCCTGGTGGACAAGGTGGCCTTCACTGGATCCACCGCCACCGCACGCGAGATCATGAAGATGGCGGCTGGCACATTGAAGAACATCACCCTGGAGACGGGCGGAAAGTCGCCGCTGCTGGTGTTCCCTGACGCCGACCTCGAACAGGCAGTCAAGTGGTCTCACTTTGGCATCATGTCCAACCAAGGGCAGATCTGCACGGCTACCTCGCGCATTTTCGTGCACCGGGAGGTTCTGGACACTTTCCTCGAGCAGTTCAAAAAGGAGGTTGAGACGACGTCCAAGATTGGTGATCAGTGGGATGAAAGTACCTTCCAAGGCCCTCAGGTCACTCGTGCACAGTACGAACGAGTGCTCTCGTATATCGAACTGGCCAAGAAGGAAGGCGCAAAGCTGCTCGTTGGTGGAGGTGCATACGCCCCGACCGAGAGCAAGCTGGAAAAGGGTTACTTCGTCCAGCCCACTGCCTTTATTGATGTCACCGATGACATGCGTATCGTGCAGGAAGAGGTGTTTGGTCCCGTGGTTGTCATTCTGCCGTTTGACTCAGAAGACGAGGTCATCCGTCGCGCTAACAACACCACATATGGTCTCGGTGCAGCAGTTTTCACACGCGATCTGGAGCGGGCCCACCGTGTGGCGGCGGAGATTGAGGCCGGCATGGTCTGGGTCAACAGCAGTCAAGATTGCGACCCTCGCGTGCCCTTCGGAGGAGTCAAACAGAGTGGTATTGGTCGCGAGCTGGGCGAGGCCGGCCTGGAGGCCTACTCGCAGGTCAAGGCTGTGCATATTAACATGGGTAGTCGATTGTAGATAGGCGATAGCGGTACAACAAATTAGATGATGATAATGACACGGCAATAACTTAGTCATGATAACGTCTTAGACAAACGAGTCTCTGTTTCTAAACCCCTTCAGCGTTGGTAGTATCCAGACCCTCCCTGAGAGCACATTACCTTGTGTGTCCGCAGAAGCCACCGCCATTTCTGTCGGCTCTTCAGAGTTGCCACTATCAGGCTCACAACACAGAGGCCTATCAAATCCCATGGCCGATTCAATTGGATGAGGAAATCAATTGCGACGAAGCATATTACTAGCCCTTGTTGTTTGATAGCCAGTGCAGTTTTTGTGGCGTGACTGTTCCCAGATTCCCTGTAAGGTTGTATCCACAACGGACAAAGCATAGTAAGTTATCATTTGAGATAAGCCTTTGCCTGTGCAGGCGGCAGCAGGACATGAATATATGCTCCCGACTGCTGCCCTTGTCCGCTCCTGCGACACCCACTCACGAGGATCCCCTACGGGCTTCATCAACTGCCAGCGCGTCAACAGCGCGTTTGTTACACAGCCACGCTGGCCCCGCTAGATCCGTTCGATGTTCCAAGCTTTAATGTGCTAGTTAGAAGGATTGACACTTAAAATGTCTCAGGGCGCCGAGTGGGGCAAGCATCTTCGTGGTACACGCAGCACCGGCCTTGCCAGTGACCTTCTCATGTTTGTAGTAGATGGCGATAATCCTAATCGCCTTGTCCCCGTGGGTCCTATCGGATAACTGGTGCTTCAGGGCAAGACATATACACGAGGCTACTTGAGCCACGATGAGAGGAACAAAGTGTGTTTTTTATGTCTGTCAAATGGTAAGCCCGACTCCTCCTTCACGGGCTAAGTAATTCCATAAGCAGCTCTACTGCTTAGGCGACCTTTCGCGAACCATATATTCGCATGGTCTGACCTTCTTCGAATCATGTATAAATGTCATGGATAATGCTTAGAATGTCTGTAGTCGATTGCTGTATTTCTGGATGTGTATGTGGTTGTGTGCGGTTGGCGCTCGGAAGACGAATATATATCCTGAACAAGGGGAGAATACGACATGTTAGCACTCAGAACTGGCCAGATGATCTGGCCACGTCCTCCAATATCCTTAACCTGACGAGCTAACAATCCTGGAGAGAAAAAACATGACCTTGCATCAAGAAAAAAAAAGGAAGGAGTCCAGGTTCGGACTTTGAGTGGGGCGAGAGATCGCATCTAAGGGTTCTCGTCAGCCTGCTTTGCATTCATTCCTGCATCGAGTCAGTCACGATAGAACTCGTCGCTGGGTAAGAAAGCTCTTCTAGAAGAAAGCATACAACAGCTAGAGATCGTTTTAGTGCTGGTTTGAGATGCTTTACTTGAGGCTTGTTAAGCGGTCATCGATATGAGATATCTCATGAAGTGAATTGTAGCATAGTAAGATGTGATTCATCGCACCCATGAAAAGGAGATAGAAGAGTACAGAGACTCATCATTCATCGCAGGCTTTCTTTGAGAGTCAAATGGAAGGAGGATAGTGAAGATGGAGTCATTCTTGCTGGTAACCCCTGTTTGTCTTTTAACCACGTGATACTGAGGGGAGTTGCCTGAGAAGGAAACACCCAGCAACTGCCTTCAAACCCAAGAAAAACATCTTCTCAACTTTTCTCTTTCTTTTCTCCTTCACCTCACATCATTTCATCTTCCAATCACTATCAATCACTGCCAAGCACCGTACATCTCTCATCCTCCGACTCTCGTCATGGCTTCCATCAAGCCCACTGAGCCTACCGGTGAGAATTCCACTCGTATCTTCGGTCAGGAATCTATCGATGTGGTTAACAAGATTCTAGTCGAGACTTGCACTGAGCCTACCAAAGAGACTTCTCTCAGTACCACTAACGATTCCATCACTGTGACTTCCGGTGACCCTCCTACCGAATCTTCTAGCATGCCTGATAACGACTCTATCACCGTGATTCCAGTTGAGCCTGCTGTTGAGGCTACCGACAAGTCTGGCGATAATATTCTCACTAGCAGCTCCGATGCATTAGTTACCGAATCGTCTTCCGAGTCTGGCAACAGCCCAACCACTGAGGACTTTGAAAAGCCGGCCACTGAAATTTCCACCAAATCTGATAACGGTCCTGCCAGCGAGACTTGTGTCGAACCTGCTGATGGCTCCGTCACCATGACTCCCGCGGAGACTGCTACTGAGACTCCTGCTGAGCCCACTGCTAAGCCCAATGCTGAGTCTCCTACCGAGTCTGCGACCGAGACTGAAGATGAGCCCGTTTTTAACTTCCCCCGCCTCTCCACCGTTCCTTGCTCAGCCTGCACCTTCAGCCCCGAGCGCCAGCGGTGCTGCTCTTATGACAGTCACGTCAAGATCTTCTATGAAGCAGGCGACCGGGCAACCTGGGCTCTGGGCTCAGACTGGATTCTCAAGGATCTTGGTCCCAGACACGCAAACGCGGAGGCTCTGAATGCGTGCTTTGTGAAGGAAAACACCACTATCCCCGTGCCGACTATTATAGCCGATCACAAAGACAGCGGCCATACTCTGACCCTCATGACCCGCATCCCTGGCGAGCCCCTCAACGTGGCCTGGCCTAAGCTGACGGACTCCGAAAAGGAGAAAATCGCGGAGCAGACTGCGGAGTATCTCCTTCAGCTTCGCGCTCTGCAGTCTGATTGCATCAAAGGTGTCGGCGATCATCCCACTTATAGCCACTGGCTATATGAAGAAGATGGTCAAGCCAATGCTCCATGTCCTTTTTTCACATCCGACGAGGAGACTTGGAATGGCCTGGCAAGGAGACTGAATCCAGCCGTCCCTGAGAAGGCACGCCGTCGGCTTCGATCTTATATGCCGCCTGTTGAGCCCTTCACCTTTACTCACAATGACTTGACACACGTTAATATTATGGTCAAGGATGGTGAGCTGACTGGCATCATTGACTGGGAGGGCGCTGGATACTATCCTGTTTGGTGGCAGTACACCAGCAACATCATAACCCTTGAAGGCGAAGATGACGCTCAGTGGAAGAGACTCTTGCGCAAGTATATGCCCAAGATAGATGGTGCCTACTGGTTCTGGGTGTATTACTATTTTCTCTGCAGAAAGGATTTGGAAAGTGGTCCGGCGAAGAAGTTCCTCGACCAGTGCGACGAGTCTGAAGACTCCGAGGGTGAAGCTACCGAAAGAGAAGACTGAGGCTGGTTCACATAGTATTGAGAAGAAGACTTGAAGTTCGGAGCTGCTCTGGGACGTTGTCTTGCCTGTCTTTTATTCTCTGGTGGGATAGTACTCTTGTCAGTCCAGCGCAACAGTAAAGTGCGGATATCTTGTCGCTCTATGCATTTACCATAATTGAAAAAGCTGCTAGCAGTAAGTGCTCAGTAACAGAATCCAATGACGAGATCTCGAAAATCGGCTATGTACAGAAGTAACAGCAATTGACGAAAGACAGAACGAGCCCTCAAAGCTTCACCAACTTTTGTCAGTCCCTCAGAAACACAAAAGAATCCAGAGATCAAAAGCGTAGTAAAAGACCCAAAGCCCTCCTACCGGTGATAGGATTAATCTGTTCAGACGCAACCGCAACAGATCCCGTAACCGCCATACCGAAAGTCAAAAGACGCAGAGCATTCCATTGTTTATTGTTCAATGAGCATTTTCACACCTGTGTGCACTTCGTCAGCTGTCATCTTTACTCGCGAATGCAATCCTGTAGCATACATTGTAGTAGGACTTCAATCCCGATCGTCACTGTTGACACCCCGATTTGAGTTCCACGGATCAGCCGCGATGCATCAGGCATGAGGAACATGTCCCTAGCACAGCATTACTTGGACTTCGACTTGGAATCGCTTGCCTTGGAATCCTCTGATTTGGAGTCCTTAGGCTTAGAGTCCTTGAGCTTGGAGTCCTTGGGCTTGGCCTTCCATCTGTCGGGGGTGGGCTGTTCCTCGGAGAAATAAACGCCTATGGCTAGCTCCCTACCGCACATTTCGCAGTTTGTTGTAGGGTTCTCATCTGTACCAGTGTCGTTGTTGTACTGGCACTTGCAACGCATGGTGACCGTTTTGACGTAGGTGACTTGAGGCAATAAGAGATCAAAATTTAGTCGTCAAGTACCGCTTCTCACTGGAGGTTGCTCACTTACCTGGAAATTGAGGTTATTTGTTCGGTTGTCCAGAAGGGTTTGGAACGTCTGTAGACGAGAAGATGATTGTCGATGAAGATGTGCAGATGGTGTTGAGTGAAGGGAGAGGGGATCGATGAGAGTTGGTGGAGATAGAAGATGTGACGGTGTTGAGGGATAAGGGACGGCTCTGGTAGGGAGGCCGGGTCCTGGGGAGTAACACCAGGAGACGGCGTTTCAGGCTGCTGGCCTGGGGGCCTACAGTGAAGAAACCCTTTGTTAAGTGAATAGCTTGGTGCCTGGCTATGAACACAGCGTTTTCAGGGAATTGCACAAGAAAAGTCCTTCAAAACTTTGGCAAAGAAATTCACATCGATATTCACATCGATGAACACTATTGTGTTCCTAGTCCAATGTATTGAATAGTGAACCCTGTGAAGTCTCAGTCTTCCACTACTCTCCCAGTGAAAAAATTGAAATTGAAGTTAAAATTACGGGAATAGATGTATATACAGTAGGGACTAGGCTACGTCTCTCACCCACCGCAACTGCACAGCTGCCGGATCCTCAACCTGCAGTGTCGCCTTGGAAACCGCTCTGTCTGCCAGATTCAGCAGTCTTTACCGTAGAGCACCCAAATCCGCAGGCCCATCGACAGGAATAGGTTCGCACTGCGCTATCTTCACACCGGGACAGATGCGAGGTCCTCCAGACCACGGAAGAAACGTCACTTTGGGCGGGACTTTTACCCTGCCAGTCTCATCTCCGATCCAGCGCGAAGGTTTGAACGCGGCAACATCTAGCCGCAGATTTCTTTCGTCAAAGTGGATAGCTACTGCAGAGACAGTGACCATCACCGGCGGCTGGAAGTAATACGTGCCCGTCTCGCTGACAAGTTGCTGGGATTCGAGCACCGCGCGGGTCGAGTGGAGCACGAGGGTGAAATGGAGGAGGACTTCGAAGTGGTCTTTCGAACTGGTCAAGTGTCATCAGCTTCCGGCATATGATAGAAAGGGGAGAAATAAAATACCATAATGGCTAGAATGCGTTGGCACCGGAAATATACTTCTTCATAAGGCCAGTTCGAGTGGTCCGCAGGCAGGTTGTGCAGCTCTTCGTGGATCCAATCCTGCCATTCAGGATCTAGAGAAAGAAGAGTCACCGTGAACCCCCTCGTGTTGGCTGTAGTCTGGTAGCCTGCAAATGTAAAGACGTACAAATTGCCCCTAAGCTCTTAAGGTGTAAACCTCGAAGACTTTTCTGTGTCAGAATTCTGCAAGCGAAATCCTAGAAATTTGCGTCGCCGACCCGAGTCCTTTACCGTCTGGCGCTCCTCCTGGACATTATCGGCGACACGGGGGGGGGGGGCTTTCGTGTATGCAGCTTGACCGATAACGTTGATTGCGAGGCTGCATAGACCACCCAGAGTCTCTCCTCCTGGATGGTCAGAAAGATAGTCGAGCATCGCTTGACGGTTTGACTCACGCGCTCGTCCAAACTTGCGCCGAACATGCCGACGGTGGTGTTTGCCCAGATCAATCAGCAAGTTGTACAGAGCACGTTTGCGGTATGAAGTACCTACCATTCATCGCCATAGGTCTACATTCTTCTTATCAGTATCTGATAATGAAGATGAGGGCTGAGGCTCATCATGCACCGTAAATACATTTGACCCCAGGAAGCCGACGAGTTTTTCTACAACCGGTGCATGTCTGAAGTCACTTCTGCGTTGCAGAATCACATTTTCGAGACTCACATCTGCGACCCTGTCCAATTCTTAGAATTGAGAAAGTGTCCAGTTTGGTATCTGCCCTGACCAAACAATGCAGTCATCCAAGGTGAGGAGGACAAAGACATCTCCGAAGCGGTCGAACAAGGCCCGTTTGGTGCGCAATTCCCAGCCATGGGAGGTGATATCCAACCGGTCATAGAACCACTGTGGTAGGACTGGTTGGAGGTACGGGTGGAGAATTGGGGCGAGGATCAACCACAGCGGGCTTGCAGAAAAGGCAGGGCAATTATATTACTGTACGACGCGAAACCCCGTGGGGCGGCGCGGATATAGAATCCGATGAAGCTGAGAATTGTATAGATTGCCAAGATCTCAACTGCAACCCACCACCTCGACGGCGTATGGAGCTGCATGCTTTTCAGCAGATAGTTTTTTGCGAAACCAGATTATGAATGCGAAGGTTGTCCGCATAGAGAGCTTTAATGTTTAGGGGGTAATTTAAGTTGTGCTTACGCCGAGCCCTGGGCAGATACTGGGAGGAGGGCTGGTGCAGGTTAGCTGAAGTCACCTTGCCAAGTGCGCAGTAGTCTCAGCTCTGTGCATTTAGAGGCTACGTCTAGTGTATCCACTTCTTGATTGTTATCTTTTGATTTTTCAGACACATGTAGTACTCTAAGGTTATGGGCTGAATGTGGTTGTGTGTACCGAAAGGGGATAGCGTGGTTCTCTCAAGCTTCGTTTCTTTCCTCTTCTTTCTTCCTGTACGCATTGACTTGCTCAAAACAACATCTTCATGCTTTAACGACGGCACAGTCGCTTTCTGTGCACTTCTCCAGGTGACGCTCAGTGCATTATTGTAACCAAGCCAGGCTAACTGACTTCTCAATATCCTAGGATTGCTGAAGCTTAACGATGCCCTGATCATCAGATCAATCGACAACGTGCTGCGACGTATTGTAGGGCGTTGAAGTTCCCTGCGAATCAGACTGCCAACGATTGACTTATAGTCCGCGGCGAGCAACGATGCTGCCAGTAGCGAATGGGAACGCTCCCAAGTGCAATCCACTCTGCTCGATCGGCCAATGGACCCAGATGCTTGAGTGACAACTTGGAGCTACAGCCCACAGTACCTAGCCTTGGCGCATCGGCTAAGCATCGGATCAACCGGAGACTCCATCCCCCCACGATGTCCCAGCGGTAGTGGCAGTCAGTAATATCACGACAATGGAGCAAATAGGTCAAAGTCTCCTGCGTCATGGAGGATGAGTAGCACTCGAGAGTTGAGTCTTGCGGAGAAACGAATCCGAAGACCGGGGGTTGGATCCGCTTCACGGCTCAGGCATCAATTTTTTCGTCCTCCTGTCTGACGTCACCTGATTGCGCTCAACGTCAGCAATTTCCTCCAAGACCCTCGCAAATGACTTGAATTGGTCGAAACGATTCGTCAAATTGATTTGACAGTCAGCGGGAATCCGACCGGGCCAGATGCGTGCCAGTTATGTTTCCTGCCGGACAACCCCGGCTTGCCACGCACTCCGACTCAGGCTGCCCATCGGATCAAGACATATCTCTTAGCCGATCCACTCAACAGCATGTATGCCAGTGGAGCAACCCCGGCGAGACAAGCATTGCTGCCTATGGCATTCTTCAGGAACCGCTGCCTGACTGGCCAGGCAGGCTATGACGCCAGACAGGAGAAGAACTATTCCGGACACAAATGCTTCCACACATCTGCAGCAACTATTGGATATGGTGTTGGCAGTATAGTATCTTCATCGATCTTCTGCTACGTCATGTCGAAACATCCTTCGTAAAGCCTGTCATGCATCAAGGCAAGGATGGAAAGAGTATGGATCTGCGATTATAAAAGCATCCGAGTGCATATGCATTTCACTCTCCACAATCATCCAGATCAAGTATTCTTCAATCACCTGTGAGTGAGGCTCGATCCTCAATTTACTCCTCTCTTCGTACGCTCGCAAACCACGCTGATTTTCTTCCTGCGCTTTCAGACACAATGACCCCAGCCGGAAATCCCTCCGATGGTCGACCCGACGAAGCCCAAGAGACCATCAATCAGAAGAACACGGAAGCACTATCGGACGAGAAAAGTAATACTCGCAAACAATCCGAGTCCGATCAGCCGACAACAACACAAGCTGAACACGCTTCACAGCAGTCATCATCCGATGAGAGCGATGGGTCGCTCGCCCGAAAAGTCCGATCTGATGGCAAGCGGGAGCTGAGTGAGGACGACTGCTATGACCAACTGGGCTTTTCATTCCCGTGGTACAAGAAATGGACCATCTTGACCGTCATCTTCATGGTGCAAATGTCCATGAATTTCAACACGGGTGTATATTCCGATGCCCTCACTGGCATCGAAGAGACGTTTGGGGTCAGCGCACAAGCTGCACGGGTTGGCCAAATGATCTTTCTGGTAGCATACGCATTCGGCTGTGAGCTTTGGGCGCCCTGGAGTGAAGAGTTTGGGCGGTGGCCGATCATGCAGCTCAGTTTGTTCCTGGTCAACATTTGGCAGATCCCGTGCGCCTTGGCTCCCAACTTTGGCACGATTGTCGTGTGCCGGTTTCTAGGAGGATTGAGTTCCGCCGGTGGATCAGTCACCCTCGGCATGACGGCCGATATGTGGGAGGCCGACGACCAGGGATTTGCCGTCGCGTATGTCGTGCTTTCCTCCGTGGGGGGCTCGACGATCGGACCGGTCTTTGGTGGATTTATCGGCCAGTATTTGACCTGGCCATGGGTGTTCTGGGTGCAGTTGATTTTTGGTGGTTTCGTTCAGGTGCTGCACCTCCTTCTCGTACCAGAGACGCGAGCCACGGTTCTCATTGATCGTGAAGCCAAGCGCCGTCGGAAGTCGGGAGAGGATCCTGACGTGTATGGACCCAACGAACTCAAGGAGAATCGTCTGGAACTGCGTGAGATTCTCCGGATCTGGAGACGCCCATTCGAGATGTTTGTTCGGGAGCCCATCGTGTTGTTCCTGTCGCTATTGTCCGGATTCTCGGATGCTCTAATCTTTACCTTCACCGAATCATTTACTCTTGTGTTCGACCAATGGGGTTTTGATACCCTGACTAACGGGCTCGCCTTCTGTGCAATCTTGATCGGTTATATCATTGCGTATCTCGTGTTTCTTCCTGACGTGTGGCGACAACGCAAGATCCGGCAGCAGCACGGATCGGCCGCGCGACTGGCTGAACGCCGTCTGCTCCTGCTCCTGTTCCTCGCCCCCCTGGAGCCTATCGGCCTGCTCGGGTTCGCCTGGACATCTATCGGACCTGCGTACGCGCCTTGGATCGCACCCTTGATTTTTGCCTGTCTGATTGCCATCGCGAATTACGCCATCTACATGGCGACCATCGATTATATGGTCGCGGCCTACGGGCCGTACTCGGCCTCCGCCACGGGCGGCAACGGATTCGCGCGGGACTTTTTGGCAGGCATTGCAACGATGTATGCTACTCCTTTGTATGAGGACATCGGCGGGAAGTTCCATCTGGCGTGGGCCTCGACGTTGTTGGGCTGTAACGCCGCGATTGTCGCCATTCCGATCTATATATTCTATTGGAAGGGGCCGGAGATCCGGCGGCGGAGTAAGTTCGCGCAGACACTGGCGGCAGATCGGGAGAAGCATGCGGGGCGGCGGGCGAGTCGACTGCGCGAAGAGGAGATGCCGTATGCTGTATAATCCCTGAGCCCAGTGATAGCTTCCAAATACAATTCACGACTTGTGCACTAGTGTCTGTATCTGTAGGTTCAATAGTACTGGTACCCTCTCTCCAGCCCTGACACCAGTCCTCACCATCATGGATACACTCCGCATGCCTGCATGCCACATATCTCAACTGCACGAAGCCAATAGTTCCAGCCACGCAAGGAGGGTCACACCCGTGCCAAGCCCTGCGTCGATCACCCGCTGGCTCCCGCCCCGCTACTTAAACCCGCCCTGACCCAGACAACTCCTCCATTACAGTATCCTATCCCCATTCCCCAGATCCACCAGCTCCCCTCTCCAACAAACCTCGAAATGAACCTCTTCACCCTCTTTACCAGCCTTACGTGCATCTTCCTCTTCGCCATAACCCTCGCCTCCCCACTCCACACAAACGCAACCACAACCCTATTCCAATACAGCACCACCGGCACCTGGCTCGAAAACATCGCCCTCGGCCCCCCATCCACCAACACCCTGCTCGTCACGCGCATGGACGTCCCCGAGCTCTGGGCCGTCGACACCATCGCCCACAACGCCACCCGGGTTGCAACCTTCCCAAACGCCACAGCCTGCATGGGCATCACCCCGGTGGACGAGGGAATCTACGCCGTCGTAGCGGGCAGCCTCGTGATAACTGATATCGGGCATCCCGTTGAGGGGTCTTGGTCGGTGTATACGGTTGATGTTTCTGCGATTTCTGACGGGGAGGCACCCGTGCGCAAGGTGGTGGATCTGAGAGAGGCGGGGTGGTTGAATGGGATGACGCTCTTCCCGGACCGTTTTGGAGTGGATGAGGGGGAGGGGGATGGTGCAGGGGCAGGAACAGGAGTGGTGCTGATTGCCGACTCGGTCAACGGGGTGATCTGGCAGCTGGATGCACGGACGGGGGAGTACAGCGTCGCTCTGAACGATACAGCCAGCATGGCTGCGTCGCCGACGGATCCGCTGGGGCTCGGGGTGAATGGGGTGCGGGTGTGGAAGGAGTACGTGTATTACTCGACAGATTCGCGGAGCGCGGTGTTTCGGGTGCCGGTTGGTTGGGAGAAGACCACTAAGAGGGTGGTGGCAGCGGGGCCGGTGGAGACGGTGGCGCAGGATGTCGTGGTGGATGATTTCGCGGTGGCAGAGGATGGGACGTTGTATTTGATGGCCATCGCCGAGAATGAGGTGGTTAGGGTTACGGTCGATGCGGGGAAGGAGGTCTTGGTGGGCGCCAAGGAGAGAAGGGAAGTGGCGGGGTGTACCTCCGCGGTGGTTTCGAGGGATGGGAGGCGGTTGTGGGTTACCACAAATGGGGGGCATATTGTTCCTGCTGAGGGTGGGGAGGAGCCGGCGAAGGTGGTGGAGGTGGTTTTGGAGTAGATGGCAGGTGTGGATAAGATTGTTTGCTCAAATAAAATTCATTGATCAAGTATCAGAGCTTGAATACATATCTTGAGGGAGTGACAGCAACAGTATTGCCTAGTTACAAGCACAAAGCGTCAAATGGACAAGCACAGCAAGCAACGCAGTTCAATCTCCCAGATTTTATGTCTTTCCCCAGCCCCATTCCTTCCTACACATCGTCACACACCGTCCTCATGTTCCCCGTCATCCGAATACCACATGCACAACCCGACTAAGCCTCAAACTCCACCTCCACGTCCCGGCGACCTCCCGGGCTACCGCCGCTCGACCCCGCTGCTGCTGCTGCTGCCGCTGCGGGCGGGAGTACCGGCTGAGGCAGAGGGACAGGCGGACCCGGAATCGGGTTGCAAGTTTCACACTTGGGGATTTTATCTGCAGAACGTCAGTAGTGCCGCGGCGAGCTCTGCACATGGAAGGGCTTACTGATTCCCTTGCAGTGCTTCGTGTCAAGCCGGCCACCCCAGATGTAGCACTTATCGCTGGGGACGTAGTACCAGTCGCTTAACCAAATCAGCTGGCTGTGATGATAAGAACACAAACACAAAGGTGAGGACGTACTTGATACCCTTGTAATTCTCACCATCGGTCCACAGACAACTGACGTCCCGGGTCAGTCCTGCGGTGATGAACGTCCGCTTGGAATAGCCACACGCGAGGGCAGGGCAGTTGAAGCAATCAAAATAGTTGTGGACCTGGCCCCGGACATTGCAAGTCACGGCTGCAGTGAGGGTCGCGTAGGCGAGAAGAAGAAAAGTGAAGAGAAGCATTTTGATAGAGAATGTCAGGCTTCGGAATTGTTGATCGTTGATGTTCCGATGAGTGATGTTTGAATGTCTGAATCCCAATAAACCATCGACTTCAAGCTCCTATTTATCTTGATCGTCGACATCTTAGGAGGCTGGGCTTGAACTTCGAGTATCTTGCCTCTCTTCGCAAATCGTGACGTCCGCGACTTGACCCCCATCCTTGGCATTATGTGGCTCTTGTCATGCACTGGTTCTATATCCCTTTGCAGAGCAGAAGATACATCATGGCGTCCCTTGGCAAAACTTATATTGTGAAGTGTCTCAGTTGAGCGGATTGTTGGATTGGTAGTCATCATTGTACGCACGTTAAGGAGAGCGTGGAGATTCATGCACTTACAATACGAGCCTGGCAGGTGACCCCTCTGGTCCGGATATAGCACCCACAGAGTTATCTGAAGCACCCACCAAGTATTTACCTGAGGATGAGAAGTATATAGAATGTACCTGTGAATCCAGATCTGGAGCTGTCATTTTTAGTATTTGCTCGTACTTGGATGCCCTAACCACGGTTACGCTACCCCCACAACATGGATCGGCTTCCGCGTCGAGACCCGATCCACTGGTTCGGGTCACATCATTTGCCTCCCTCGTCTCGTATTGGCCATTCATTTCAGAATCAACTTTACAACTCTCTCTCTTTGAGGCGATAGGATGTCACTCTGCAGTACCTCGTCACCAAGTCAAATTGGGGATATACTTGGGCAAGTTGGGATCTGTGTCGACCCCAACCCGTGGCTTGCACGGGACACGAAGTGTGACTTCTCATTGTCTTCCTGACTGGTTTGTCGTGGGAGCATCTATCCTCCGTCATAGTGATCGAGAAGATGTTGTGCTCAAGTCCCTGTTCCAGGTTTCATCCATGGGTCTGCAATTAGGTAACGAGCTCCACATGCATAGATACATGGAAGACGCTTCCGCGGATCATCTCGGTCGCAACGTGATCAGAGCCTTACTCGATACATTACACATACATCGCTACCTGGTGCATCTCCTATCTTCGGAGAACGGTTTAGCTTCCCTCTGTTGTTGTCCAATGGAGAGAATTCCCGGTTTAGTTCTCGAGTTTTCCTGCACAGCTCTGCATGTAGAGTGAGGATTGCGCACAGTGCTCTGTAGCCCAGGAGATTCCTGCACAATGATCTACTGATTGATTCAGTGCCATTCAAGCAAAGGAAAATTAGCTTGGACAATAAACCAAAGACAAGCCATTTCTAGATCAAAGAAGTCTTCCAAGTCCCACAGATCCATACTCCAGAACGTGTGTTCTCTCTGGACTCTTAGAGTGACATAATGCCCCTGAACATGAGAATAGATGGACGGTCCAGGTATTGCAGGTTATGGTATATCGAAGAGGGATTCATGGGGCTGGATACCACCATGTGTCTTAAAACTGTGGTGGTTGTCTTTCAAGGTGATCCTGACAACTCCATATCATGTATGCATCCTCCTACGTAGTGTACTTTATATTACCACCACTGGCAACAGAGAGGAGCAGTAAGGGCACAGATGCTGGACTGTTAGTGGACCAATTGATTTCGTCACTATACCTATTTAGAAAGCAAATCTCTGTGCCATACATGTACCTACTATGTCTCGCATGTGAACCGCCTGTGAGGGACACTTGTCCTCTCATGTCAATCCCAAACACCGAAAGGTCCTCACCTAAACGCAAGGAAAGTGGATTACGATATGATATATAACTATCATAGAACTGTACACACTCAAACCCCAATCGCAAATGTGTTACTGCAATAGTCCATATTTTCAATTGCTTGAGGCTGAAGGATCGACAGCTGAAAGCAAGTCAGCCGCTACGCCACGGTTGTACTAGTTTCTAAGCTGCCTAACTACTCGGAACTATCTCCTAAATGGAAATCAACGAGCAGGGGGAGTTATTAACGTAATCGATAAGGAGTAGTGCGTGCAAGTAAGCGCGCCAAGCTGTATTCAGTCTTGAATATAGATATTTTAATAATCATAGTCCGTTTTAGGTGTATGTAGCCATCTTATTAAAGATGTAACGTAGCACCGTATGACTGCTAGCACCTGCCCACGCAACAATACTTCATGACACAAGAACGGGTTATTCAAGGTACTTCCTTCAAGTAAAGTCTAAGCATGTGGTCTGACATCTGTAGCATCACAGCGCAGCACTAATTAGAACAAAATTGGCTGGTCGACTATACATTAGCAGGAACAACATCTACCCATCTTTACCCCATTTTTTAAGACCTTGAACTGACTGTATAGTTTTCAAGCCTTACAAATACATAGCTTCGTCGAATATGGCAAATCTCAAAATTCTTAGTCGAAGCAAACATTAATCTAGTGTTCTAAGTACTCCCTTAGGTGTTTGCGGTGAGTGGGTAGCGGTGGGGACGCAAAGGAACATGAACGGTGAGTAAAAGAGAAGTAAATAAACTTTTCTTTAGTAGATCAGTACTCAAAATAGAGGGAGCCCTGCATTGATATGCATACTGGAGTAATCATGAGGAGTTAGTAGTTACTCAAGAAGACGAATTCCTTTTATCAATTCTAAATTACAAGCTATATTTAAATGAGCATAGCTTATCCAAGCAACCATACCCACGACTAAGAAATGAATCATCTCACATCTTCTCGCGGACTGGCCATTGACTTTCAAACTATGCTACGTCATAAATCATGAGGCACTTGTGTAAAAACTAAGTGGCATTGTGTAAATCAAATTCTCTTTCAGAGAACAGTTTCATTCAGACGACATATTTCTCCCTCTACATCCACCTCTTCTTGGAGCCAACGCACCAATGCCTGGTATTATCTTCTGCGGAGCCCTTTTCTCGAGTTCAGAGCTACTCACCTTGATTATAACAGGAGTAGGAGAACGCCTCCCACTCCTCCGAGCCAACCGCAGGGGTCACCCGGGCATGCTCAAGCACAATTATAAGTCGCACGCCAGACATAGAGCGAAATGCTCATACCCAGCGCCCATAGCGCGACGTGGCTCTGGAATCTGGGGTTGCGAATATTCCAGAATGCGAGGATCTCATTGGCTCGTTCTTCCCCGTGCATAGCTCTATGGGCCTCAACCGGAAAGCGCCAACAAAAAGCGAGTTGGAAAGGCATCATGACTCCCAAGTACACGTGGATGAAGAGGGACCAACTGGCGAGAAGCCACACAAATGTTGTGAGAACGGGATGCGAGCAATGGTAACCACGATGGGCGATGAAGCCTAACACCACGCAAGTGACACTCCCATTCAAGAGGTGTATGTCACGATAGTGACGAATGGAGTCAACCCCGGCGGAGGGTCGATACTTACGAGCGGCTTCTTCCCAGGCGGAGGGTGACATGTTGGCAGCTAGAAGCGGAGTAGGATGGGTGGTCATGAGGGGGGTTGGAATTCGTAGGTAGCCATCCTGGGATGGGACGGGCTTATATAGGCCGCCGATGAATCTTCTGAGGTGGTAGGATGTTTTCTTCCTCACAGGATACCAGGGAAGTTTCGCTCCAGGTTGCTGGAGTTGAAAGAACTTATGTTGAGAAAATTCCTTCTTCTGGCCATTGGGTGGTAGAACTCAGTATCAACCGGAGACTCTCTAGGGAGCTATCATTGTTTTCGATATGGACTCTGGAACACCCCGTCATTAGGTGGAATAATGATAGCTACGGGGTTTGTTCCATCGACTGTCTTTGTTCCGTGGGCCGCAAACCTTCTTCATGAGAGAAGTACTGAAGAAAGAGCTTTATTTCTACACTATTACTATGCGAACTCCAGATGTTCTCAACATGTCTCTCCATGTATGTGCCAATCCTCTGTCTTTCATGTGGCTGAAATAGCCCTAATCGAGACGAGTCATGATCCAGCAGACCACCTTCGACAACAGCCAAGATAATTGGTGTCAGGGTTGCCGCCTGAAGGTAGGACCATCTCCCGCTTCCGCAACTGCATGGCCACCGCCAACCGAACCTTCCTCTCATCCCGAATCGCGGAAATCAAAACCCTAAGTCTTTTTACAGAAAACAGAAAGTTATAGAGACTGTTAAAATAGTATTATTTCTGAGGTTTAAATCTAGACTCAGGTATTTCTCTTTATTCTGTATAAGTTAATATAAGAATTAACTAATTATAGATCTCTAATCTGTAGAACTATTGTATACTTTAAGATATATCTTATTTACAACTCTATGAGACTATTCTCCTAGTGAGAGATACTTATAACAATATACATTTATGTATAGACTTGGAGTAAATTAACCAATTAAACATACTTCAATGGGTGCTTTTCCCATCCATGAAAGAACTGAGATCAACTTCAACGTAGAGAGTAGGGTGGTTGCTGGTGGTAAGCGCCAGGTGTAGGTCTTCTTCGACTTCGAAACAGAATCCCGTGCAGCATTAGTAATTATCACCAGAGTAGTTATCATCTGCTTGACCTATGCCATCTAACCATGTATGATGATTACCGAGTAACTACTCCGTACTTCTGGATTTCTCTAATATCTCGGCTGAATAATGGCTTCTGCATGCCGTGACGCGATCTTCCCCCCACTTGGCGTGGGATAGCGTCATCCCGCGGTTATTAATTTCTCCCCGCAAATTCCCCTCCTTCCATCCCAACTTTTTTCATTTCCCCTTCTCTTCCCAACACAACCCTCTGCAAAGAAAGGAAAATGTCGCCCAAGATCACCCTCTACACCAACCGGCTCTGCCCCTGGGCTCACCGGGCCCACATTGCCCTCATCGAGCTGGGTCTCGACTACGAGGAGGTGACCATCGATCTGGACACCCCGCGGGAGCCCTGGTATCTGAAGATCAACCCGGTATGTAGCCTCCTTTTGTCGAAATGCATCATCCGCTCACCCTCCGCCTCACATCCAGCGCGGTCTGGTCCCCGCTCTCTCCTACGACGGGACCATCATCCTAGAGTCCGCCATCATCGCCCAATTCCTCGTCGATGCCTATCCCTCCCACCTGCTTCCCCCCTCCCACACCCCCGAAGGCGCCCTGCAGCGCGCCCGTTCCACCTTCTTCGTCGACACCTGGGCCTCCAAGATCTCCTCGTTGTACAACGCCACTCTGCGATCGACGGACGCCGAGCGCCGCGCCTCGAGCGACGCCTTCGTCGCGGCGGTGAAGAAGGAGATTGAGCCGCTCATCTACCCCGACCCCTCCCGCCGGGGACCCTTCTTCGAGGGCAGCGAGAAGCTCACCTTCGTCGAGGTGCTGCTGGGCTCCTTCCTGCTGCGCTTGTTCTCCCTCTCCAAGCCCGAATACGGCCTCTTCCCGGCAGACCTGAAGTCGACCCTGGAAAAGGAGACCCCGGCGTTCAAGCGGTGGGCGGAGGCGACGATCGCGCATCCGAGCGTGAAGGCAATCTACAACGAGGAAGCCGTTGCGACGCGCACGGTGCGGCGGTATGGAAACAAATAGGGTGCGGTGGTCGTTGCGAGGCTGTAGTGGTGGGGGTGCGGTGCGGGGACCCAGTTTTTGTACGCACAGCCGGGCTGCGGCGTGATGTAACTGTAACCCTCACTCATTACTTCATTCTATTTCCTGGATGACCTCAGTCGCAGCCGGCGTTGCTCGGTGTTACATACGCCGGACTGGCATAAATCAGAAAATCAAAGTACAGTATAAACCTCCCCGGATGTGCCTGGTGTCCCACGGTGTCCCGCGAGTTCCCAGCCTCTCTGCAGTATGAAATCCTCGTCACCTTCGGTGATTATCGTCGGTTTGTCTGCCACTTCACTTTGCTCACTCTGCTTGGTCACAGTATGTACTGGACTATCTTCCTTTACTTACTAAAGGGGGTTGGGGTTTAGGCGCCGGGGCCGGGGGGATCGCGACAGCCGCTCGTCTCGCCAAACGAGGATATCAGGTCACGGTGGTGGAGAAGAACGAGGTCGTGGGGGGGAGATGCTCGCTGATGGAGCAGGATGGCTACGTACGTACAGCCTCAATTTCTCTGCTAGGTACTTCGCATCGTCGCACCAGACCCGCTCACATCCAGTGACCAGCGCTTCGATCGCGGCCCCTCCCTCCTGCTGATGCCGGAATACTTCGAAGAAGTCTTCTCCGACCTCGACACGACGCTCACGGCGGAGGGCGTCGAGCTCGTCAAATGCGAGCCCAACTACCGCATCTACTTCCCCGACGCGGTGACCCTCGACATGTCCACCGACATGGCCGCCATGCAGCCCCTGATTGAATCCCACGAAGGCCGGTCGGGCTGGGAGCGGTTCCTACAGTTTCTGGTGGAGTCTGGCCGACATTACCAACTCTCGCGCGACCACGTCCTGTACCGCAATTTCCCGCACGCGTGGAGCATCCTGCGTCCCGGGATGGTGCGCAATATCTTGCGGTTGCATCCGTTTGCGAGTGTCTACTCGCGCGCCGCTCGGTACGTGCAGTCGACGCGGCTGCGGCAGGCGCTCACCTTCGCCAGCATGTATCTGGGGATGAACCCCTTCGAGGCACCGGGGACCTACTCGCTGCTGCAGTATACCGAGTTGGTGCATGGGATTTGGTATCCCCGGGGGGGGTTTCGACGGGTGAGTCACTGCCCTTCCCTTTCCTTCCAGTCGATCAACAGCTCAGGATGCAAACCTACCAGGTGCTCGACGCCCTCTGCAACGTCTCCCAACGCCACGGGGCCACCTATCGCCTCTCAACCCCCGTCGACCACATCACGCTCTCCCCTGACGGCCGCCGCGCGACGGGCGTCCAGCTCGCGAGCGGCGAATCCCTCTGCGCCGACCTCGTCATCGTCAACGCCGACCTCGTCTACGCCTACAACCACCTCCTCCCGCCCACGCCGTACGCGACCTCGCTCACCCGGCGAGAGACCTCCTGCAGCAGCATCAGCTTCTTCTGGTCCTTCGACACGACCCTGCCCGGGCTGCACAGCCACAACGTCTTCCTCGCCGCGGAATACAAGGAAAGCTTCGACGCGATCTTCCAACGCCACCACATCCCGGAGGAGCCGAGCTTCTACGTCCACCTCCCCAGCCGGGTGGATCCCAGCGCCGCCCCCGCCGGTAAGGACGCGGTGGTGGTGCTCGTCCCGGTCGGGAATCTTGGGGGGGAGAATGCTGCTCGTAAGTCCCAGGAGGAGTACTGGAATGCGATGGTCGACACCGTCCGGGCGGTGGTGCTCGCCACGATCGAGCAGCGGACGGGGGTGACGGGCCTCCGGGCGCATTTGGTGGCCGAGCAGTGCGAGACCCCGCTGAGTTGGCAGCAGAAGTACAATCTCGATCGCGGGGCGATACTGGGGCTCTCGCATTCGTTCTTTAATGTTTTGGGATTCCGACCCAAGGTCCGACATCCGGGGATTCGCGGCTTGTTCTTCGTGGGGGCGAGTACGCATCCCGGGACGGGGGTGCCGGTCTGTTTGGCGGGGAGTCGGATTGTGTGTCAGGAGGTGATGAGGGATGGGAGGAGAGATGGGAGGCACTGGGGGGTGAGTTGGTGGGGGGCGATGGGGTTGGTGGTTATGTTGATGCTGGTGGGATGCGTCTGGCCGGTGGATATACGGTGGTTTTAGTTAGGGTTGTAGTAGTTGCATACCTCCCTACAAGTACTCTCTTCATGATAATGGGTTCATCAAACAGACCCTCCAAGTGACATATGTACTGTATATACTTCGAACAACAGCAACTACTATGCGCCATGCCCCACCACACCATGCAACATGATCCTCCTCTCACAACATCGCCCTCCACGCGACCCTCACCCTCCTCCCCAAAGACAACCTCAACTTCTGCGGTCCCTCCAGACTCTCCCCCCGCTTCTCGCGCAGATACCGCGCGATCTCCATGTAGCTCTCGACCGTCGTCCGCACGGGCCCGCGCACTGCCCCCGGCAGATCCTCGATCGCCGCGCGCACGCCCGCGTACAACCCCTCCGCCTTCGCCAGCAGCTTCGCCTGCATGGCATACGCCGCCGGCGAGGAGGGCACCTCCAGGATATCCCTCGGCGTTAACCCAGCCTCCACCAACCATTCTGTCGGGATATACACCCGTCCGATCGTCGCGTCGCGGTGGATGTCCCGCGCGATGTTGACGCACTGCAGCGCCTTGCCCATTTCGCGGCCGGCGTGGGCCATGGCCGTGCGGTCGTAGGTCTGGGGGTCGTGATGGTAGTGGTGGACGAGGTCGAGAACGAGTTCGGCGACCGTGCTGGCGACGCAGGTGGCGTAGTGGTCCAGCTCGTGCTCGGTGGTGATGGGAAAGACGGGTGGCTTGTCGGCGGGGGAGGTGGTAAAGGCGAGGTCCATCTCGAAGCCGGTGAGGAGGTCGTAGAGCGGCCGGACGCGGAGGCGGGCGAGTGGGAGGGCGTCGACTGCGCCGTGGAGGAGGACTTTCTTCCTGCTGCTGTCGCTACAGCTGCTGCTGCTGTTGCTGCGCTCGGAGGCGTCGACGGCATGGGGCCCGGCTTTCTCGGATGTGCGCGCGTCGAGGCAGCGACGACATTCTTCAATCCAGTAGCGCGCTTCGTTGGCGTCGTGGGCTTCGTCGATGAGGTCGTCGATGACTCGACAGAAGGAGTATCTGGTTGGGTCTCAGTACGGTTGGTAAGGGGGAAGGGGTGGGAGACGACGCACAGGTAGATCAGATCCACACGCAACGGGCCCTGGAAGAGGGCGCTCCCGAGGAACATGCTCTGGCTTTTCGCGTGCAGTCGCGCGACGGCTTGCTGGAGGTCGGTGACCACTCGCTCCTCGATGCGCGGGGGGTGCGTCACGGTGCGCAGGGTGTCCTTGAAGGCGTCCTGCGGCGAGGGACGGGGTCCGCCCCCCGTGCAGATGTTGTTGTACTCTGCCATTGCACAGGCGTAGTCGAAGCCTACCAGACCGAAGACGATCATCACGTTGATGAGGAGGAAGAAGAGCATTTCTCTGTTGCTGGTTAGTATACTCTCCTCGGGGAGACCGGGTGGGGAGCTCACTCAATCTCCAGCCCCAAGAGATGACAATTGAGCTGTGTGGCAGCCTCAATGGACCAGACCCCGGCAGCCATGGCGTTGCGATCGGCTATCCAGAGATAGACAGTCGGGAGCGCGATGGGAAGGGCAGTCGCTGTCCACGGCACGCTGATGATAAACGGGGCGACGAGCATCCTGACCGCGTTAGAGCCTTGCACAAAGCACACGACACCAACCCTACCACTGCAGCAGCACGACCGGCAGCGCCCAGATGAGAATCAACCCTAGATACGTGCTGCGCCCACCCGTCACGAAGCATGCCAGCCCCACCACGAACATCGCGGAAATCAGTCCTCCCCCGAGATCGCGGGTCCATCGGGGCGAGTCGGAGCGGAGATACATCGGCTGCACCAACGGTTTCGAGCAGATGCAGTACAGCAGCGCGGTGATGTAGGTCTGCAGCACGAAGAAGGCGACCTCCTCCGCGGGGATGGCGAACAGCGTGCAATTGAGGGTCGCATCAGCGGGATAGGACCAGATGTGGTGGCGGATGAGGTAGGAATCCCATGGTATGGTGCAGGTGACTGCCAGCTGGCCTCGGGTCAGTCATCATTGGGACCAGCAGTGGGTGAGTGATACAATATTGATTAAAACGATCTTGCCAATATCCCGGGCCGTAAAGAATGGGTAGTAGAAGACGGTCAGCACGGTGGCTACCGGGACAGTATAGGTACCATGGCTGAGTGGGATGATGTTAGCATGCGTTTAGTTCGAGACCAGGACAAGACAAGCCTACAATAACAAGTACTGAAACCCCATCGCGTGGTGGCAGCTACAGTACCTGGCTGGCCATTGCCAGTGGCTGGTGATCATCCCTAAATACAGAAGGGTGGGCGGTGGGGAGTGGATGTGTTGGCGTCATTGATGCAAGGTCGTATCGGAAGAGCTGGTCTCACATCATAACCTGCCGGGTACGACCGTGTGTCCCTGACGCGTGCTGCTGTGCCCGCTGGCGAGTAGCTTAGAGGAACATGGAGCGATTTACAGGACATGGTACGACAAAGTTGACTATGAAGCTTCTATGCTTTAAAGTCAGGCAGGAATACGGTTCAAAGGTGGGATAGGTCCGAAAAAAAAAAGGCGGAATTCTCCAAGTTGCCAAGGGTGAGCGGGTGAATTGGACCGCAGCCAAGTAGGGTACATAATCTTGACTTATCAGCTGCTTGATATTATTCTTACTATCCTGCTGCTGCACTCCCCATCAGGCTTGTGATGCTGTTGCCTTGCCGGACTGGGGATTTTCACCTCCAAGTAGGGCTAATGCGGTCACACCCATAAGTCACACCAGATGCGGCATGCTGACTGGCGGGTACGAAGGAATCCCTGCCACTGTCATGTCTTACTCAAGTTACACCCTCTATCATTTGTCTCCATCGTCGATCTTCTCATGCACGCCCTTCATGGAAAGATGATCAGCTCTACCTGCCAAGGCCAAGCCTGCCTGCTCGGTCATGCTGACTTTGTTCACTTGCGGCCCCAAGTTCGGTATGGCGAACACGAACATTCCAAATGGGACTGACCCTGAGATGCATCATGCGAACGCCTGCATGAGCTCTCTGATCTCAGCTCAGGCTCGTGGTGGTGGATCATGGTGAGCAATTCCAATTGATGCGATGCGAATCCCCTACGATGCTGCCAGATATTAAGACGATCGTGAACCCCACCAGTTCCGGAGATCAGATTGCATTCTCTGCCCTTCCCTCCTTGCTTTGCTCATCCAGCAGTCATCGGAAGTAGTCTCACCGAGTCAATTCAACCACGAAAGATGCAGTCCCTTCCCCTCCACCCCCAGCCCATCGAGACCCCCTCCCCTTCGGAGATCCTCTTGCTGCCCTCGGGCGAGAAGGGGTACCACTGGGTCCTCTCCGATGCGGAACGGAACCACATCGCCACCATGCTTGCTGTCGAAGGTGCTCCATGCCTCGACCCTTTCTTCTCTTATCGCCCGTGGCAAATAACTGATGTTGCAATAGACACCCATCGCCTCACTCTCCGCGGAACCCGCATGATGCAGGACCGTGCGATTTGTGCGGGTTGCGGCAAGCACTCCGGCCTGGATGATCTCGTGCACAATGCGCTGTATGGGGGCGTCCACACCACGCAGTTCATGCTGGATGTGCTGGTCCACGGACCCAAGGCCAATAGTCCGGGCCATCAGATCATCTGCTCGGGGTGTGGACGTGTGCATGATGGGTTGTTCTACTGGATTCCTGCACTAACCTGGATGTGAGGCTTCGGTGAGCGACTCAAGTTCGCATGTACATAAGGTACCCAGTGTGCACGATCTCTGCAATGATATATCTGGCTAGAGTCCAACCACTTGATTCTGGTGCTGTTGCAAGCAAATTGAAATGAAGTGGGCCACTGAGAGGGCTGGGGGCTACTTCTTGCGTACTGCAGACTGTAGGAAGCAATTTACTGCCAAGTACAAGAAGTAATACCACGTTTACCTCTTCACCAGTTATAGCGAGTTTGGTCGGGGGAGTGGTATGGTTACTGGCTTCGCATGCATCTGGTCCAATGGTGGCCAACCTAGCACTAAGCATCGTCAAGAGTCCGTTCTCAAAGGATTGGAATCAATTTCAATCCCCTCAGGTTGATATCTCGGGTCATGGCACTGCACTGAGACTGGGTGTTGGTGCCTGAGGCATCCATCTTCAACCCCGAGGGAAGCATACTCACTGACTATGCAGTCTCCAGAAGATATGCCTAGACAGTAGAGGTGAGTCGTCATTCGATGATAAAAACGACAAAGCGGATTCGTTGAAGCAACCTCTTTCGTCTGCTGACCTCCGCCTTCAAGCAATGCTATGTCTGCATCGGTCTGGAAAATGCAGCTGCTATTGGGGCCTATTTTAACTAGAAGACACCGGAGCCATACCGATTATGGTATTCCGCGTTGCATGGGAAAGGTGAATGCGGGAAGATTCACGGTGGACCAATTTATGACAGCTCAGGAACTGTGTCACCTCCTTGAGTGGTGAGTGGAAGACGACAATGGAGTCGTGCTATCCGGAATTATGCTCCGAAATTGTGAAGGTCTCTCGTCAAGATATATTGAGCACTTTGGAACCAAGAGGATATTGCGGCAGCATGAACTTAGGGCATGAATTAGTGGCAGGAAGGAAAGAGAACTTATGATCGACTCTACTGCAAATAAGAATAGTGGAGACCACTCGATCGGCGCCAATCAGCACCCAACATCCAGCCAGGAAATTGACTCAAATCCCACCTGCAGGCACAATCAAGCATTTCTCCCCAGCACATGGCGGCCACCACGACTTCACTCCGCAGAACCCGAAAGACGAAACCTGAATCAATCCCGAGAAACCCATGGAACATATTATGCAATGAAAACGCCATGGGGTGCTAAAGAGTGCTAAAGATAGTGGACTGACCCGCCCAAATTGTTACAAATCAAAACCTCCCCTCACGCGGGGATTTCCAACTTATTCCCGATGTTTTTTTTTTTTGCTGCGGTGTGATTCCCGAGTGATCGGAAATAACACTCGGGGCCCAGACTTTGCGCCCATTTGATTTACGTATAAAGAAACCCCCCCTCCCCCATTTTCCTTCAGGATCCAGCGTTCCACGTTTTTCTTTGTAATTTGATGTCTCCAGTTTCTTAGCCAGGGTTACTACGTTCACCTCCCACTCCTCCACTCTTTCTGCTCTGCTCGAGACCTCTGGAGTGCCGAACCAGTCAAAGATGATTGTCAAACTCTCCACCCCCTACAGCTTCCTGGATGACTACAGTGAAGGCGCCCATCCGCGCCTACTCGAGGCGCTGATGCGCAACAACTCCAGCCAGCAGACCGGCTACGGCACCGACGACTACAGCCACGAGGCGCGCCAGCTCCTGCACGCCGCAATGCACACCACCCCGGACGAGGTCGCCATCCACTTCGTGCCCAGCGGCACGGCCGCCAACCTGATCTCCATCGCCAGCTGCCTGCGGCCCTACGAGGCGGTCGTCGCCGTCGACTCGGGCCACATCAGCTGCAAGGAGGCGGGCGCCATCGAGGCGACCGGCCACAAGATCATCGCCGTGCCGCACCTGCGCGGCAAGATGGTCCCCGACCGGCTGGAGCGCGAGCTGGACCGCAACCAGTTCTTCCCGCACATGGCCAAGCCGCGGCTCGTGTATCTCAGCAACGCCACCGAGCTGGGGACGCTGTATACGCGCGCCGAGCTGCAGGCGCTGTCGGCCGTGTGTCGGCGGCGCGGGCTGCTGCTGCTCGTCGACGGGGCGCGGGTGGGGGTGGCGTTGGCGGCGACGAGGAACGATCTCACCTGGCGCGATCTGGTGGATCTCACCGATATCTTCTGGGTGGGCGGCACCAAGATGGGGGCGTTGCTGGGCGAGGCGATCGTCGTGCGGCGCGCCATCGCCGAGGGGTTCGAGTTCCACATCAAGCAGCACGGGGCGCTGCTGGGCAAGTCGCGCGTCATCGGGGTGCAGTTCGCCGAGCTGTTCCGCGATGGGCTGTTCTTCGAGCTGGCGCGCCACGCCAACGAGATGGCCCGTCGCATCGCGGAGAACTTTGTGCGCATGGGGTTCGCGCTGGCGGCCGAGACAGAGACAAATCAGGTGTTTGTGCAGATCCCCGACGCGATCCTGCCGCAGCTCGAGGAGCGCATTCGGTTCTACGAGTGGGAGAAGGTGGATGGCCACACGGTGGTGCGCATCGTGACCTCGTGGGCGACGGACGAGACGCAGGTCGAGAAGCTGAATGCCTGGGTGCGGCAGGTACGGCAGGGGCGGGCTTGATGGCTGGCTGTTGGGCCCGGGATGGAACTAATAATAGAGAGCATTAATGTTAATGAGTCATGACCAGTTGAACCATTTCGCGTGGAGTCGATCTTACGATTTATCATCGGTGGGGAGGAAAAAGTGGAAGTTGAAAGCAGTGGAGTTGAAACGAAAGGCAGTGGAGTTTCTCGGAGTCGCCGAGTTATTCCCGACAAAGGCGGTGGGATTATTCTGCCATCCGATTATATCCCGTGCCCGGCCGAACCCCCAAGTTGGGTCTATGGAGTATACACTGTAGTTATCCATCGTGGGAGAGAGTATAGCCAGAGGAAGCTGGATGCTTTACAGTGGTAAAAAGTCCAGAACGAAAGGCTGAGGACACAGACCCCGGCCAATCATCTCGAGCTGAGATTCCAGCATGGCTGGGATTGAGAAGCTTCAAGTGACTCTATGTATATCCACTGACTCTATGTATATCCACTGACTCTATGTATATCCACTACGGAAGTAACAACAGGTAGAATCAGGTTGGAATGTACAGACAGGTAACCCTACCGGTGATGTTTGATCTGCGTCCTCATCCAGGCTACTGGTCCACCTTCGGATTGCTCTCTTCCAACTCTTGCGCAAATTCCTGGACAATCCACTGACACCAGTCCTCAAACGCAGCCCGCCACTGCTGCAGCCGCGATGCTTTGACTCCCTCCATGGTCCCCTCCACCCCAGCCAGCCACTGAGCCTCCGTCTCATCCTCAAACGCCGCCCAGCGAACACTATCCTCGGCCATTGTCGCCAGTCCCCCAAGACCCGTGTTCTCAAACGCAATCAACACCTGATAGAAATCATAACTCAGCCCATTGCCCCCGTGGCCCAAAATCGCCGGATCGTCATTGTTCAACGAGACCGGCACCCCGCGCGCCTGCAACGCCGGCATGGGATGGGTCAGGATATTGGCGGTGAGGCGGAGAATCTCATGCGAGATGGGGCACATCTCGATCAGAATCCGTCGCTCCTTGACCATCTCGATCAGCAGCGGGTGCTTGTACAGCGAGAATGCGTGGCCGATCCGCCGCGATTGGAGCAGAATCGCATCCACCAGATTCCCGTCCGTGGCGTCGCCGTCGCCCAGACATTCGCCAGCATGGAAGAAAAAAGGGATTTGGAGGTTGCGTTGGGTGCACTCTTCCTGGAACCACTCGCAGTGCGGCAGCAGATCCACCAGTGGTCGGCCGAGATCTTCTTGCCCGACAAAGTCGAAGCCGGCGATGAGGTCGGGATAGGCGGCTTTGCAGTCGAGACACGCTTGCATGGATGCGCGGATGTCTTCGTCGGGGAGGCTGCGAATGGCGGTCCAGATCATCCGGGCGCCCCAGAAGCCTTGTCCGGCTGGGGAGGCACAGTACCGCTGCAGTTCCTGCGCGAAGCATTCGAAGAAGTAGCGGGCGTCGGGCTCCGGGTGGTCGGACCCCTCGCGGTGGAAAGGACGCGGGACGAGACGCAGCTCGGCGTACTTGATCCCGTCGCTATGGAGCTGCTGCAGGAGTCGGGGGACCCCGCGCCGGAAGATGGGCTCGGCGTAGAAGAGGCCGGCGATTCGGCGAAAGCACGAGGCGAATTTCTTCCAGACGTCGAAGATGCCGCGATGGTGATGATACAAAGCCTCGTCCTCGGTGATGGTCATCTGCGCGATAGCCCACGACCGGAAGCCGGACTCGCCGCTGGGATGGGTTCGGGCCGCTTCGGCCACCGGGATCAACGCGTGTGGAGGGTAATCGTCCTCCCAGATGGAGGCCGTTGCTGTTGCGACCGGGCGATTGGGACGATAGTGGAATTCAAAGGGTTTCGGCTGCGCGGAGGCACCGAGCTTCAGAGGCGCCGGACTAGAGATCCAGAACCCGGGTATCTCCAGCGCCTGATCGAGCATCCAGTCGATATCAATCATCGCTTCCATGTGGGCGTGGAGAAGGCAGCCCTTGGGCATGGCCGAGACGATCTGGTACAGGGAAGTCTGGTGCATCCGATCGCGCGAGATGGCAAAGGACATGCCCGGAAACACGACCGGATGCTTGCCCTCATGGTGGCTGCCCTCCGCTGTCGTCCAGAAGATCTCCGACTCTCGCTGGCGGATGCGGGCAACGATTTCCGCCGCGGATTTCGCGACGGGGGACATGTTCGTCTTGAACGCATAGTCGTGGCGAGTGGTCGTTTCTTGGTGGAGCAGAGCCGAACGCTCCTGCAGATGACGAGTAATCTTGGTGGATGTCATCTTGAGATTGTGATCAGATAGTGAATTTGAAGATGTGGAATGCGGGGGAGAAGCCGTTGATAAGCATCGATAGGGGGGAATGTGTGCCTGAATTTCTGGTTTTTGTGGGTATATTATCGGTTGATCCGGCTGCAGATTCGCCGCTATCAGTACTCCTTAAGTGGGATGGATAGAATTGAGCTGGATTATCAAGCTGTCTTCTGTATGAGTATAGCGTGGTGAAGGTGAATGTCATCAACTGCATCTGGCTGCCTGAGTGAGATGTCGAATTCGGCGCGGGATGCGGAACAACTCTTTTCCGCCAGACATTCTGCCTGAGGCACCAAACGAGGTCTTTTCGTTCAATTCGGATTCGCATTCGGATGGAAGTTCAACCAACAACACCACATTTACAATAATTGGCATCATGATGGGTATCTCAATGACCAGCGGGTGAGTCAGGCACAAGTGGCCGGCCCGGTTTAAAGCGAGAGAAGCTCCACTGCCAACAATCCCTATCTCTCTCTCTCTCTCTATCATTTCCGATCCGCTCCAAGGCCCGCCATTTCCGATCCTCGGCTTTTCTTGCACTGCAAACTGCATCATCTTCATCTTCGCAATGCGTCTGTCCATCTCCTGCGACAGCTGTCGGTGTGTTCCTCCATCTATCGCCTCAATGGCATGGTTGTAACTGTTTGAAACAGCCGGTCGAAGGTGAAATGTGTGCACGATGGTCAGCCCCCGTGTCGTCGATGCCACCGCCTCACTCGGGGCGCCTCGTGTCTCCTCACCGATCCACGCTCCCCCTCGGCCATGCGAACCCCTCGACCTCGCCAAACCACCTCATATACCACCAGTAGCACGCTTCGTCGACCAAGCAGGGCGAATGCACTGTCTCCCGGCCCTAACCCCGCCCCTAGCCCTGGCCTGCCCTCTCCCCAATCCACGCCCATTGCACCCCTATCCACCGCCACCCTGATCACTGCCTGCGATGTCTACCGCAAGCGGTTCCCCGTCGTCAACTTCCTGCACTATCCCTCGCTCATTGCGGACCTCTCCAGCGATGCTTCCACCGTCGAGCCGGTGTTCCTCGCCTCGCTCCTCTCGCTCTGCGTCCGCTTCATGACCGACGACAACCTCGCCTCCGAGGAAACGTACGCCAACTACGCGCGGACGCAGCTTGCCCACCGCGCCTTCGAGGCCCCCTCGCTCTACCTCGCGCAATCCCTCGTCATGCTCTCGCTCTATGAATGGGGCTCCAGCCGTCCCTACCGCGCATGGATGTACAGCGGTACGTACCAGCCCCCTGCCGCTTCACAACCACAATCCTAACTCCCCCACCAGGCATGGCAACATACATGCTCCAGACCCTGCTGAAAACCGCCGACGACAGCATGGAGCACAACCCGGAGGAATTTCACGCCCCGGCCACGCAGATCGCCTACGAGCAGCTGGTGCGCACCTATTGGTGCTGCTTCGCGCAGGACTGCGAGCTCAGCTCGGGGGCGCGCCAGCACATCGCCCTCTCCTTCCGACAGATCCTCGTCCCGCTGCCCATCAGCGACCAGGATTTCACCTTTGGGCGCGGGGGCGCACACCGGTTGATGCCCAGCGATATGACGCAGGGCTCGTCGCGCGCGAAGGGGCTGACGATCGATCGGGGGCTCAGCATCGTGACGCGCGGCTTCGATATCTTTGTGCGGATTCTGCGGTTCGCGAACGAGAGTCGACGGGGCCGGGCCTCGACGCCGCAGGACGGGTCGGCCCGGAGGATGTGGACGACGCTGAAGGGGGAGTTGGATGAGTGGCGCGAGCTACAGGATGTGACGGTCCGGTATCCCGAGACGAGTGCGCAGGCGCATGTTGCGTTGGGGTATGGGGAGTTGTTCGCTTATATCAATCTGGTGTATTTTATGAGGTATTTCACCCGTCTCTCTCAATCCGTACCTTGCCTGTTTGCTTGCAGCTGGGGCTACACCCAACTAACTGTGGTGGATGGTATAGCCTCCTCTTCCTCTACCGCGACTCCTTCCTCTCCACGGCCACGGTCACCCCGCTGGCAACCCCCGACACCGCGGACCCCGAGTCTGCCATCATCCACCTCTTCACCGCCGCCCAGCACATCGGCAGCATCATCGCCGCCCTCGACGCCTCCGGTACCCCCGTCATCACCTCATATGCCGGCTACAGCGTCTTCGTCGCCGCTCACATCAACATGTACGGCACGGTCGTGCCGTCGCGGTACCCCGGGGGTCGCCTGCGCGCGGAGCAAGAGAAGAAGCGGAATTTCGAGTACCTGGAGCGACTGTGTCGGTATTGGCTTGTGGGACATAGTTGGGTATGTGTTTCCCTCGTTTCCCCTGATTTTCGGAGCTAGGAGGTGATGAGAGGGCGGTTATGTACGCCTTCATTGCTGTGGGGTTGGGGGGTTGTGATACTGTCTTGTCTGGCTGGAAGAGTTGTCCATGTACAACCTGGGCGTGTCCTCATAGAGCGAGAAGTCAAGATGGTGACTAATGAGATTTGGCAGTGGCGCACCCTTCAGGAAGCGAACCGATTCTACTCCACGGCCAGACCACCCGCTAGCCTCTCGACCGTGGAATCAACAGAACGGACAATTGGGCTGATGGCGGAACGACCGGATCACTTGACGCTGGCGGGCACGCTGGATGAATACGGGGACATCCGGGTGTCGAGGCCGGAGATGGTGGCAGCTAGGACCAGGAGTAGCGGAGGTAGTGCTGAGAATAGCGGCAAAGCTGAGGGGAGTTCTGTGGCGACTAGCAGCGTCGTGTTGGGGGCAACAGGGACGGCGACCGCAGGAGCAGGAACAGGCTCGGCGGAGTACGTCGAGCAGCCGCTGGGGTCAGAAATGGTGCAGTGGCCCTTCCTGGACGAGAACTGGTCACTGGGCTTTGATTTGGGCTTCGATGCCGCGTGGCCTGGGCTAGGCTAGGGCCGTGACTGCGGTCTAGGGCTACAGCGAAAATATATGTGATAGTTATGCGTTTATGACTCTATCAAGGGCAATAGCGTACGACTCGTTAGTAAAACAGGTTATACTAGTCAATAAAAGTCCAGCTAACCCCTTTCCTTGTCCTGCTCGGCTCGCAACTTCGACACCACTCTCCCGCCTAGCATTACCAAACTATCCGCATTGACAATGTCCAGTGTACTCACGTTCGCCCCCATCTCTGCCTTGATCCAGTTGCGCAGCTCTACCGCCGCCAGCGAGTCTAACCCATAGACCGACAGCGGCTGGCCCGGCTCCACCTGCTGCGAGTCATCCCACCGGAGCATCTGCGCCAGTCGGGTCCCCAGAATCTCCAAGCATGTCTGCTGCACCAACTGGTCGTCCGTCTCAGCATCGGGGTCAGCGCGGAAAAGCGCCCGGAATCGTTGCACAGCCCGAGCAAGAGGATCAGTCTTACTGCCGGACCCTCCGGCAGACGACGACCCCGCCCCGTTGGCAACAAAGAGCGTGCGGAAGCGCAGGTCAAAGCGGAGCATCGATTGTTCCGGGTCCTGCGGAAGAGCAAGACCAGTGATTATCTGCGCGATTTGGGGTCCACCTTCCTCGGTGGTAGCCTGACAGCATAGCGCCGCGTCCAGAATCGCGTGCAGCGCGCTCTCCGGGATAGCAGTGATCTCGACGGACCGCTGGTGGCGCTGGGAGAGAGCGTCCGACTCGGCTACCACACCCACATCCTCGATCACACCCAGGTTGATTGTCAGGCACTTGGCACCGAGAGATCGGCGATAGGCCGCAAAGGAGTCGAGAAAGCAGTTTGCAGCGGCGTAGTTGGCTTGACCCTTGCTGCCAATCACACTGGAGATGCTGGAGAGACACAGGAAGAAATCCAAGGGCAGGCGCTTCTCCGTGGCCACGCTGTGCAAGTTCCACGCACCGTGCACCTTAGCTTCAACCGCTTCGTGGAACTCTCTGACTGTCATTGTCTCATATGGCCGGTCCCGTAGAACCATTGCCCCATGAATGACTCCCTGAATCGGGTAAGGGGCTCGCGTAAAGGCGCGGCGCACGTCTACAATCCGCGCCACGTCGCCGCAGCAGTCGTAGACCGCGCACCCCAGCGACCGACATTGCGCGATCACCGCTTGCGATCGCGGATCGCGGCATCCGCTGCGTGTCATGATAACAATGTGGCGCACACCGCGGTAGGCAAGGCGCACCGCCAAGCTACCGCAGAGGCCCTTCAGTCCGCCGACAATCAGGAAGGCTGATTGATCTGTTATTGTCACGTTGTGCTGCAGACGGTGGACGGGCACTTCAACATCTCCGAGCGCCTCTCCGTCGCTGATCACAACCTTACCAATGTGCTTACCACTACGGAGGTAGGCAAAGGCGTCTTGGACCTGCATCATCGAAAATCGTGTGATGCGCGTGATTGGGGTGATATGTCCACCCGCGATCAGCTCGAAGAGGCGCTTTATGAGTCTGTGAAAATTAGCCGGGAGTGCATGAAGTATGCTCAAGAGTGCTTACTTGAAATGTACGCCATCACGCATTATCTTGGCATGGGAGAGATCCACAGCCCGGTAAGAACAGCCGCGGTCGAATGGTTCCATCGAGAGATAATTGCGTTCGACAATATCCCGCTTACCGATCTCCACCATGGTGCCACCGTCGGCACAGATTCGCCAGGTAGCGTCAAGCAACTCGCCTGTCAGCGAATTCACAATAACGTCAATACCTTGGCCATTAGTGGCTTTCATGATTTCCGCGGCGAACGTGGTACTTCTGGAGGTAAACATCCGGTCAAACGGGATGCCGAATGTCTCGTTCAGATACTGTCTCTTCTCATTGGTGCCAACTGTAACGAAGATATCTGCTTCTGCATATTTCGCAAGTTGGATGCATGCAATTCCAACGCCTCCCGCTGCAGAATGAATCAAGACTCTCTGGCCCTTTTGAAGATTACCGATGTTGAACAGAGAGTAGATGGCAGTGGAGTAAACGACCGGCATGCTGGCGGCCTCTTCAAACGACATGGAGTCCGGTATCTCATGGGTGTAGCTGATCGGGACCTGAATTCGGTTGGCCAGAGCTCCTTTGATAATGAAGACCATGCGACTGCCCACAAGGCCTGGCGACAGGCCAGATCCTACGCGTCGGACAATGCCCGCGCCCTCCAACCCGAGTAGGTATTCGTTCTCGGGCACGATGCCCATAGTGACGGCCACATCCTTGAAGTTGAGGCCGACGGCGTGTATCTCAATCTCAACGTGGTCGTCCGGTAGGGTGACATCGGGGATTTCACAGAAGGCGAGTCCTTCAAGAGTACCTAGTTTCTGAGCTCGTAGCTGCACGATCGAAGTAAGGTCGTGAATCCGTGTCTGAATCGGGGCGTCCGCCTCCTCTTTAATGGCCTCTCCCAGGCGTTTGTACGGTGCCACGCGATGGATGTAAATTATCCCATCGCGCTCAACGTATTCCATGTCTGTGGTCCAACGCGCCTGCGGGCGGCTTAATTGGGACAGAGCGTGCACGATGGCATTCGGCGCTGAGGGGTCGTCCCGACTCTCAACATCCAGTGTCATGACTACTGCGGATGGATCTTCTGATCGGATTGATCGGAAGAGACCGGTAATCATAGCATTGTCGGGCTCTGTCACCTGCATTTGACCTCCCTGCGTGACCCAAAGAATTTTACAGCCGCGTCCCACGAGGCCGCGCAGACACTGCCATTGTTCGTCCGAGAAGTGAGGCAAGACCGGAGCAAAGAGCTCGTCAATGATCAAGACCGTGCCTGACTCAGGAATGTTGTCAGGGTTGCAGACATGCTCGTATGCGTCCCAACCGGCTATGTTAAGCTGAGCTCTGATTGCCTGTGTAAGGCATGTTGTAGGTTCCATGTAAAAAACATGCAACGGTTTGAGGCTTACGCTCTTCTCGTCGCACGAGCTTGTAGAACATAGATACCCGACTCCGTCTGTTCCAACCATTGGCAGGACATGTGAAAATCCAAGCCCGGCAATTTGCCCAGTCGCGTCATCTTGATCGCTCAATGCAGTAAGCAATATACGTCCGTTTGCTGTCAGAAGACTCTTGACAGCTGTTAGTACAGGAGCTATAACCTGATCCGTGCTCGGGTTGATGATGATAATATCGAAAGTGTTGTCCCCGGACTCCAATCCCAGAGCGGAAGCCTCTCGGTTGTAGGGGCAAAAAGACGTGTTCTTCCTGTCCTGATAGCGAGCTTGAAACAGGTCTAGTGCTTCAAGGTTATCACCTAAACAACAATACTTGCGATAGGAGTCAGTGACGGCTGTGCTTTCCCTCTCAAACCACGTGCTAGTTTCAGCTCCCGTCCCCAAGTTGATCTCCAAGATAGCCAAGGCAGGGTTTTTGTGAGTCATCAAGTCGAGAACGTAGGAGACTAGCGCCTTCTGCTGTACTTTCAATTTGGACATAGCTTCAACCGTCAAGGTGGCGACATCTGGCTTCCAGACATCCTGGGTCAGCCATTGTGATTTGGTTGCGCACACCCCGAGGTCGATGAGATGTGTTGAAAAGTTCTTCAACTGCATGAGTAGCGCCCCGGTATCAGGGTCGTACATTGATACATCAGACCAGAAGCTTTTCCCAGTGTCTTCACGGCCTCTTCCAGAGTACACACTAGTCGCTATAGCCATTCCTGACGTCGGACGGTTCGGGTTGGGGTTGATAATCAGGTCGTCAAATGCTGACGGAACCAGCGGTTCCTTAAGACGCGTGCGAAGTCCTTCGCAGAATGCAGGGGCTGTCGCTCGAAAAATGCCATCCAGGGCTGCGGGATGGTACGGGTAGTGGGATTGGGTCTTTCCATTCGCTAGAGGTTCCGAAAGACTCACCAGGGAACGAGAATAGCGCTTTCCCGCATGCGCCTCAACTTTCTCTAGTAAGTAGAATGCTGGGCCGTATTCGAATCCCATCTCGGCAAATGCCTTGGTCCAGAGGTCTCCTGGTGTTGGGTTAACGAGAGGGGCAATATCTGTCGCAGAAGCGGCGTCAAGAACAGGGTCTTGAACGCGAATCTGACCACCTGCATGCTTGATCGTAGCGCCGCCAGCGTGGCTTGACGAGACCGAAAATTCGTACCACACATCCTTAGAGCCCGGAAGAGGGTTGAGAGATAAGTATACGTCGGGCTCGATGCCTTCTTCCAGTGTGAGAGCCATTTCAAAGCGGACGTTTCGGAGATGATAGCATAGCTCACTCGCCGTGTTGGCAGAGGATAGGCCGTTCATTGACTGCACTTGGTAAATGCCTTCAACGGCCATGGCGAGGTAGCCCGAGCCAGGAAAAACAGTGTTGGATCCAATGCGATGATCCTTCAGCCAAGGCAGATTACACAGGGCCATAGATTTCTTGAACACTGGTGCGCGCCAAGGCGTGCCGAGGACTTTGCTCCCAATCAAATCGTGGTGAACAAACTTCTTGAATCGCCAATCCCGACTGGCGGTGCTCTCATTCCAATACTTGGTTGAATGGTTCCAGCAGTAGTTCGGCAGGTCGATGATGATGCGGGGCGCAGGGGACTGAGCATCCTCATTGACCTGTGCCATGTCGACTGGGAGTCCGGAGAGATACAATTCACCGGCAACCTCGAGCGTAGACCGAATGGAGTCTTGACCTCGCCTGAGAGACGAAAGGTAGGCAGTACCCGTCGCCTTAGCACCCATGCTGGCCATAATCTGTGCAATGGGCCCCTTGAGGGTCCCACTAGGGCCGATTTCAATCAGCTTGTCAATCGGTGACTCCTCTGTCAGCATACAGCGAACAGCTTCATCGAACCGCACAGGGCGCGTCATGTTAGTCTTCCAGTAATTGACATCAGGTGGGCGCTCTTGCTTTGACCCGGAGACAGATGAAAACATCGATACGGCATCCAAGGTTCGAGTCCTATGAAAAGTGGGTGGCAGGTCTCGCGCCAGCAGCTTTTCGTAGGTTATGCCAATATTCTCCATGTAAGCGGAATGGTAGGCCATATCCACCTGCAACATACGGGCAAAGACTCCGGCTTCTACAAGCCGCGTTTGGACCTCCTCGAGCCCTGCTTTGCTGCCAGACAATGTTAGACTCTTTGGGCCATTGTAGCAGGCAATCTGAACATTTTCCGTGCCTTCCATGAAAGGATCGATCTCATTAGCTCCGATGCCTACGGCTAACATTCCTAATGCCTCGTCATGCGGCTTCTCATTGGCCGATGCTTTGCCTCGATGGTACGCAATGATGATAGCCTCTGCCGATGTCAAGTACCCAGCCGCATAGGCGGCCGCGATCTCACCAGAAGAATGACCGACAACTGCATTAGGGGCTATTCCCCAACCACGAAGAACCACAATCAAGGCGAGTTGGAGTGCGGTTACGAGCGGCTGGCTGAATTCGGGTTTGCGAACATGCTCTGGTTCTCGGGCTGCAGTCAGCTCGTCGAACAGTGTCCATTTCGGCGGGTCTACTAAGCACTGTAGAACGCTGTCAAGATTCAGAATCATTTCTCGCGCTGGCTCGAATGTCTGTAGGAGTTCGCGGCCCATCTCCGGCCATTGAGACCCTTGTCCAGTAAAGACGAAGCCGACTTGAGGCGGTCGGATATTTTTCTTGCCAAACGTAACCACGGCGGGCTGCGAGAAGCTCAGACTGTTGGCGACCATGTAAGCTCGGTTGAATAAATGGCTTCGTCTAGTCCCGAGAGTATGGGCAAGATCCCTCAACGCGATGTGGACCTTCTCTTCTTCCACATGCTGGGTGACGTTCTGTATGTAGCGACGGAGCGACGATTCTTCATTGGCTGAAAAGCACAGCAAGTAAGGTCGAGAATTTGTGGGTTCCGCCTTACTAGCTGGGGCCCCTTGGAATGATGATGTATAGGTCGGTGTGTAATTCTGTACTACTGCCCTGGGTTCGTCGAGGATAGCATGGGCATTCGACCCTCCAAATCCGAAACAGTTGACACCCACGCGACGAAACGGCATATCAGGGAAATCCGTCACATGCTGCGAAACCTCTAGCTTCAGCTTTTTGAAGTCAACTGCAAAGGTCAGTGAGGGCACAGGTCAGACTCCTGAGGACATACTGTTAGGATTCGGTGTCAGGAAAGTGGGATTGCCCGGGATCTTTCCAGTTTCGAGGACCATCACTGCCTTTATGACCCCCGACAGGCCTGCGGCCGGCTCAGAATGTCCGATGTTGCTCTTGACCTAATACATTGTCAGCTTATCTTACATAATTCATCGTAAGCGTGTCATCGCAATGGGCGTTCCAACCGATCCAATCCGCAGCGGGCGAGCATCCGGCCTAAACGGCGCAAAGACCGTGGAAGCACCCTCCGTTTCGATCGGGTCGCCGACGAGAGTGCCAGTGCCGTGGCATTCCAGGTAGCCAATTTGCGAGAAGTCGGTGATATTCGCATTAGCGTACGCTTGTCGCACAGCGGCTGCTTGATCCTCTCCGCTTGGAGACGCAATACCAGGGGTGCGACCATTGTGATTGTTTGCAATACCCCGGATCACAGCTCGAATTGGGTCGCCGTCTTGGAGTGCATCATCCAGGCGTTTCAAGATGACTGTGTTCATTCCTTCTGCTCTCACATACCCATCGGCCTTGGCGTCAAAAACGTGGCAGCGAGCGGTAGGGGAGTGCGTGAATCGGATCGTGCCACCTGTGACTATAAGTTTGGAGCGGCTTCAATTGCGGGACCAATTCGTACCTTCACAAGCATACTCTGGACTACATTAATCAGCACACGTCGCAATTTCAGACACGAATGATCTGAGTCAATAAGTGCTTACTTCAGAATCAGGCTGGATGCCGCAACAATCGCTCCGTTGATCTCCCCAGTATGCAGAGCTCTGCAAGCGACGTCCATAGCCACTAGAGAGCTCGAGCAAGCCGTGTCGATGGGCATGCTGGGACCTTTAATGTTCAAAAAATGGCTCACTCTGCAACTCAGCATTGTTCCGGAGCACCCAATCCCTACATTGGGTGGTCGCGCATCAGGATCTCGCGCGAAAATATCCCAATAATCTGATGAGTGTAAGCATCACCGCAAAGAAAATTCGTTGATGAGCTAGATCCTACCTCCCGGGTGAGCGCCAACATAGCAGCCGTACTTCTGGCCAGATATAGACTCGAGAGAGATGCCAGCGTTCTCTAGCGCTTCGTAGACGACCTCCAGCAGAATACGTTGTTGGGGATCCATCGATATGGCGTCTTGGGGAGTGATGTTGAAGAACTTCGCATCAAAGGCAGCAGGGTCTACGGTTTCCATGAACATGGCGCCTGAGGATCGTGAAGTCCGTGCTCTATCGGAACCATCATAGTGACCTCTCCGATTGAATCGCGACTCTGGCGCTTCGGTGTCTGCCACACCCCCTTTCATCAAGAACTCCCATAACCGATGAGGTGAGTCATTCTGGCCTGGAAGTCGACAGGCCATGCCCACAATAGCAATGGGCTCTTGAACGTAGCATCTTGAGACCAGGCTTGTCGAGGAGTCTGAAGTCTGAGGTGTCAATGCCATACTGAACTTGGTCAATGGGCGAGCGAACTGAGAAAGGTGTGGTAGGTTGTTTTCAGGATCAGATCATGAAATGCTGAGAAAGACGATGAAGGGGCAATTGAGTGATTAGCCATGGACGATAGCCCTGCAATACTCAAACCATCTGAATGGGCCAATTGTGATGCGTTGTCCAGGGAATGATCCATCCACGGGAAGGGCGTTTTTGGGCAGATTAATCTTCACACCACTCCGTGCCCTTGCGTCTCCCTTGCTGCGATTCAGAGGCGGTCTGTAGAATAACAAATTGTTTCATTTTCCACCTAAGCTACACATTGGTCTAACGAATCCAGGGACGAGCTGCAAATGGGAGGGAAATCCAACGCCAAAATAATGATCCGAATTGTCCTCGTGCCAAGGGGCCTGCAGGATTCAGGCTGCCGATCCGACGCGGGGTTATCACGATCCTAGACCGCCGCTTATGAGACCTAGCCACGGAGAACATAGCTTGTTGCGGGGAGGGAAATCCTTCAATAGCCGGTTGGTCACTTGGAGAGGGGAGTTGTACATTACTAGCTGGTGGCTTTGCCAGGCGATCGTCAGTATACGAGCTATGGACCAGTGCTCGCAAGAGAGGTAGTGACTTAGCGATCTATACCTCGATGCACCTCGACATTTGCAGTCGGACATCGCTAGAACAGGAACATCAGACGAGATTGAAGCTCCTCCCTTGAGAATCATTCTTGTGAGAGATCGATTGGGTTAAAAAGAGGTCGGGCAGGAGGACGAAGGGAGAAGAAGAGTATGGAGTGAGGGGTTAAGATATCCGAGAGTCACGGGACTACTGCTGCTGCTGCAATATTATCTCCGTCTGACCATTTCTTATCGCCGCACTGCCCACATGCCCAATTTTCAACTTCCCACCTTCCATCTGGTCGTTTTGACTGGCGGTTGTACTCATTCACACAGACTGCCCTCTTCCTTCGCATTCTAGATCGATTTGCTGCGGAAAAGCGCCTCCCCTGAAATAACTTTTGATCGACGAATCCATCATAATCCCGAGATGATGCGCGCATTTCCAGCTTAATGCAGACTCGCGGAGCAAACAGCTAGACTGGGAGTCGGACGCGTGATCATCAACGACAGTCCCTTGATCGCCCGGGGTCGAGATCTGACGAACCCTCCCACTTCAAATCCTACAGGACGCTATCGCGGGCTGTATACTCTATTTAGTGTTTGGGTTGAGGCTTGGAAGTCTACCAGCTCGGTGGGGTTGACGTGGACCACGACGAAGCGGAGCTGTCTGTGTAGACCCAATGCCGAATTGGGGGGAGTCTTGCGCGGCGTTGTGGATGAATGGCCATTGGTGACCCATCAAGGCTCATTTGGGTTGTGCCTGGCTAAGGGGACGGTCACGGTAGGTATTTCCATTAAAGTTGCTCACCGAGTAGGAAGCCCCTGTGCGCTTGTACCATCATCACAATGAGATCCCTTCTCCAGCAATATCATAGGCGAACGGACGACCGTTGACCACACGTCTATGCACCAATCTGTGTTCCAGTTTCCTCTCAATCCGACATCTCAACACTCGCCATCTAACCTCAAGATTAGCCCTTCATGGCGCGTATCAGCAGGATGTGCCAGACATTCCGCTGATTCAGCGGCGGACCAATGGTGGTGGCGCAGACGCGCTTCGAGAAGTTTATTCTCCTGGTGAAAATAGGCTGTCAAGCAAGAGGGGCTGTGGCAGAGCCTAAGAGGCTTGTTCAATAGTGGGAACGGGAACAATCCGATCGGCCTTTGAAGTCATCATGGATTGCCAGCCTCCACCGCGAACAAGATTTTTTCGGCACTGCGGGTTAAAGTCTTTTCCTTATCGCATCTCAAAATCGTTTATCTCCGAATACATCGGGTCGCTGTAAGTTATCACTCTCAGTTCCCCTAAGACCACGTGGACTTGACAGCAACGAGCAGTCCATTGATTTTTTCTTCGCAAGCAGGAGAAGCACTGAAAGCAGACGAATGCGCAACGCGAATGCGCCAAAAGCATGCGAAATTGAGAACGAGTACCGGTGGAGCGCAAGCCGCGTGGCCGGTTGGGTGGCCGTTGCTCCACTCCCCTCTCCCGAACCAACCAGCGTTCAGTCAGAACACCAAAATAACTGGGAAGCCTCAGCCCTAGTTCTGGCACGTACGACGACACAAACACCCTAAGGTCCCTAACACGCAGAGAATTCATCATCACTCACGGACTTTGACTGGAATTCGTCATGATACGGGCTCATGCCATTATGGCTGGTCCGGTAGATAATGCAACCCTCCGCCCGCCTGGATGTTTCTCTCCCACTCCTCATCATCCCGCCCTTCTCCCGTCCTGTTGAGCTCGCTCATCATCCTACTAGTCAATATGCAGTTACAATATCTAGTCGCCCTTGGGGCTCTGTCCTTTTTGGCTGCTGCGCATCCTGGCCCCGCTGCTGACCTACCCGCCACATGGGCTCCCACCGCCACCGTCACCATCACAGTACCTATAGCCACCCAGTCCACTGATCTCCACAATCTCAAAGCGCACAAAAAACGCTTCCATGGAGACTGGATCATCCAGAAGCGAGCTTCGACTACGGAAGGCACGACCTCAACCACTGAGACCAGCTCGACGACTACATCGTCAACGACTAGCACTGCGGAAGCAACCACCTCTACCACCTCCACTACTTCTGCCAGCACCTCAGAAGCCACTACAACTTCTACTACCACAACCTCTTCGGTAACTTCAACAGCAACTAGTGCCACCTCGTCAGGCACGACTACCTCCGCCACTACCCAATCCACCACAAGCTCAGCAACCACAACAACCAAGAGCGCCTCGACTGCCTCATCAACCACCTCCACGGCTTCGGCCACCAGCTCTGCTAGCGCTGCCAAAGCCGCCTACAACCGCCGCGGGGAGATTGCTGCAATCATCACTTTCAGCTTTCTGATTCTCCTTTTCGTTGGGGTTGGAGCCTTCATGTGCAACCGGGACAGCCGCAAGAATAAGCGCATCGAAGCCAGACAAGCTGCCAAGGCCGCCGAGTATTCCATGGTATCCTTGACAGACGGCGATCGACCGCAAAGCGAGGCCAAGTTTGACCGCGCCTCGGTGATGTTCGCCACGGCGCCTTCTCGCAGTGACCTCGGATTGAGCAGCCCGATGACGCGGCCATCTTCTGCAGCCGCCAGTGAGATCTTACGACAGAGTCCTACCCCTACCCCGGCTGCCGCCCCAGCGACACCGGAGCCGCAGCATCTTGGCGGTAACTATGTCTGATGGTCGAAATGTACCGAAAACAAGGGTTATGTCGAGCATGGTACTCGGTATGATAGAGTATGACTCAAAAAACATGTGGGCGTTCATCGTGTGGTGTTTTCTTCTGTCTGTTTGATCTTCAGCGTATCTTCACCGTACTTGGTTTCTAGCGATTGAATGTATTGAGCGAATCCCAACTGCATCTAATTTCACAAGCTGCCTTCGATCAAATAATGTATCGTCGCACATTTCGTGTAATACTCTTTCAAAACCACGACTGTGGTATTATCTGCATCATATTTCCAACGTTGTGAAAAGATTGAACGCACTTGTGTTGACACGCGAGACTGACCATTGCTATCCATTGCTAGTCCATCTGAGGTCTAGTATGATACTAGCTGGTAAGACGTATATTGACATGTTGATCACCTGCGTTCTCGGGCACGTGTTGCTGGGGATGAGTCGGAAGGGTGATTGAATTATATATCGGCGCGATCCTGGCTCACCCCACACCACGGTGGCTTGACAACAAGGATTTTCAGGCAGAAAAACCACTAAAAACGTATTCCCGATTAGGCACTGGGTTTTAGACACTTGATGATAATAAGATCAACCGGGTTCGCTGCGTTCGTGTTGACCTTCGCTCCCTCTCGAGTCACGTGATAGACTCGTTTGTTCCCGAACGGGTATAGCACCTTTGGTGTGGAAGGATGTCAGACCGAACCCAGTCTTCCATCTCAGATGCACAGCACAGCTAAGAACCTTCGCTGTTTCAACTATTGAAGCCCCTCAATATCGATGGCCGACGATTTTCATGGTCTCGTCGCCCGGAAAGGAATCAGGCGAAGACCCATCCGCTATCCAGGCCTGGTCCACTGCTGCATTCAACAGTCCAGTTCTGTTAACGCATTCGTCAGCAGCACAGCAACCCACCTGTACTCTAGGACATTGCTGTCAGTTTAAGCAGCGGAGCGGCCTGGGCAATCTACGCTTACAGTGTATGCCTGCGGTGCTGTCCTGGTATGCAGACACAAAAGCAAGTCTTCATGAGGTGGTTGTGCGCTAATTGGACTGTATATTGCAGTACGAAAATGATCGTCGCAGCGATCACTGGCCTAATCGGGGAAGCTATCTCCAAACCGTGGACCGTCTCAGCTGGAGACCCGCCGGAGACTACTCGGCTTACATTCTCCCGTTGTCACTCGCGTCCCATGAAATTCAGCCTCGATGCTGATGGATACTATGACATCCGCCTGGTTAGCTAATAAACATAGACACAAGCTTTTACCGTTACATCCCATCCCAGGCCTATTGGCTCAATGGTAGAGTGTCGGTCTCCTAAACCGAAGGTTGCGGGTTCGAGTCCCGTGTAGGTCGGCATAGATTCGATTTATTTTTCGCACAGGGGTTATTTTGTTCACCGAACGACGTGTCCATGTGCGTTTTGTGGATGTCATTGAGCTCCTGGTTCTAGTAATTTGAATCAGTCTGGTGTATTAGACGCAGGCCTATTGGCTCAATGGTAGAGTGTCGGTCTCCTAAACCGAAGGTTGCGGGTTCGAGTCCCGTGTAGGTCGATTCCTTTTTGCTCATTATTTTTCTTTCCCTTTCCGCAGTGTCGTTTTTCTGATTCCCGTTTTCTTTATGGATTCCTGTACTAGACCCCAATATGGGACTTGTATCTCACTAACTGCAACTTACACTACGGTGTCCTTTTTGGAGAACCAGCTTGTTGCTGAGTAGGTGTCCTTCTATTTTGCGGATCGATTCATGCTAATGAGTCTTCTTATTCAGTTCTGGTGAGATGGTAACCAGCGAGGCAGGGGTCAGAGCGAGGGAGAAGCTATGGAGGGAGATGCTGGCGGTATCGTGGGAGGTGGATCCAGATCACCCTTGAGCTTTGGAATTGGTTTTGGCCTCACGAGTTGGGTGATGCCCATTGCTGTCACATGAAGTATGAGCAACCATCTTCATGTTTCTCACATATAAGTTCTACCCGTAGTATAGTCCTGTGCTGGGCTTCTTGCATTGCATGCGGGCATAGTGTTGGTCGAGAAGTGTAGTCATATAAGCGCACAAGGACATGACATCTTCGTCATACTACTCAGAGCCTGTGTATACCAACACAGGGATTAGGAACAGATCTGTATAACATGAAGATACCCTCTACAGGCTCTCCAATGCTCATCAGTATCTTAATCACTTTTTGGACAGAGGGAACTGGACCATTGCGTGGGACATGGCAGCAGCTCGGTTTGTATCGTACAGGCCCGCATCACTTTCAACACAATGCTGACATCCTCGTATGATCACAGCATCCAGACTAAGATGGTGTATGTCATTATCCTAAACGGAGGGCGGGGGTCGGCGATAGGGCAGGCGGCGTGCAGGTTCCTGCTAAACGCCGAAAGCCGAAGTGTTCGATGGTGAAAACCAACCTCAACTCCACCAAAGCATGAGCACGACCTACGAAAATAGCAAAGATAAATAAGCATGCTGGATCCTGGTCACTTCTCCAAAACATCAAATCGAAGTTCATTCCAGCACGGAGCCAACAAGCATACTGTACCCCTTACAATGGCGGCGCAACCGCATGCACGCATTCACTCCACGGGGTCGCTCGACTCCTTCAACCCAGTGATGGTGACACCAGTCATTGGCACTGAATTCCTCAAAGGCAGCTGCAACATCGTCGACGACATCCTCCACCACCCAAATGCCGAGCAGCGCATCCGTGACCTTGCCGTGATGAGTGCGTTCCTACCCGATTCCCCCATACAGTACCAGCATCTCTATAGAACACAGCCCCCTGCATCCCATGCACATCCTAAACCCCCACTAACAATCGTCCTTAACCCAGCACAGTCGCCGAACGCGGTGTCGTCTTCTTCCGCGCCCAAAACAACCTCACCAACCCCCTCCAGAAAGCCCTCATCCTCCGCCTCGGCGAACTGACCACCCGCCCTGCCACCCACGGCCTGCACATCCACCCCGTCACCAACGACGCGCGCGAGTTTGGCGACCCGGACCCCGAAATCAGCACCATCCACTCCGAGGGCCGCAAGTCCCTCTACAAGGGCTCGGAGTACACCCGCCAGGCGGCCGTCTGGCACAGCGACATCGCCTTCGAGAAGGCCCCCGCCGACTTCTCGAGTCTGCGCCTCACCCAGCTCCCCGCCACGGGGGGCGATACCCTCTGGGCGTCCGGGTATGAGATTTACGACCGGTTGAGCAAGCCGTACCGCGCCTTCGTGGAGACGTTGACGGCTACGCAGGTTGGGGCGGGGTTTCGGCGCATGGCGCAGGCGGGTGGATTCACGATGTATACGGGGGAGAGGGGGGCGCCGGTGAATGTTGGGGAGGATTTGGTGGCGGTTCATCCGGTAGGCCTTTTCCTTGATTCGGGATGGGGGGAGGATGCTGATGGTGCGTGTAGGTAGTGCGCACGAATCCGATCACCGGGTGGAAGTCGGTTTTTGCGGTGGGTGAGTTTCTCTGGAAGACTTTTGGTTGGATTATGAATTCTGAGAGGACCTGCTGACGGGGAGAATCAGGCGCATTTCCCGCGAAGATCAACGAGTTGACGCGCAAAGAGAGCGCGAATATGCTACAGTACTTCAACGATATGATCACGCACGGGCATGATCTGCAGGTGCGGTTCAAGTGGCATGAGCCAGATGATATTGGTAGGTCTGTGCGAAGCCTCGGATCCGATGAGTACTAAACGAGCGCCAGCTATTTGGGATAATCGCAGCGTCTTTCACACCGCGACAGGCGACCACGAAGGGTTCGGGCCGAGGAGTGGCAACCGAGCCGTGGGGGTGGGTGAAGTGCCTTACTTCGATCCGGACAGCAGATCCAGGAGAGAAGATCTGGGGATAGAAGATACGTTGTCTCCTGCGCATTGGTAGGCAGGGAGTCTGGGGGTTTGGGTGCTGCGTAGGAAGGGCTTCCGTCCAAAGACATCAATAGGACTAAATGACTTGTTGCTGCTGATTCAATCTATTTGCCCCGTGCTCTATTCTGCCAAAGGTGCCCATGGGATGTCGGTCCAGAAATCATCCTGCATCAGGTCACCGAATGACTGCAGGTTATCCAGCATCTCTTGCAATCCGTGACATTGTAGGCTTGATGCATCGTTGTGCAATGAGTCGATGGCCGGCGGCGGAATCGGGACATCAAGCCATTGTGAACAAATGTGAGACCCGCCTGACATTTGACCAGCAGATCCCCCCCATGATGTAGGGGGATCATCTGCCGTCGACCCTTCAACCTCGCCGCTGAGGCCGCCTGTTGCGTTGTTCACGAATGCAACGGCCCTGGCCATGATAGTCTCGAAGCCATCGCGGTACTTCCGCAGGGAAGGATTGCGCTCCGCCATCATAAACATGGACAACGAGCACGCTCGCAGGTCCTCTGATACTGCGAAACTCCAGAGCTGGGGCGCTCGGAATAGACAGAGACTATCCACGTCAGCAATATTCTTCCAATGCAGCAGATGGGCCATACCACATCGTAAGCCCGGCCATGAACAGCGAATTGGCGAGCAGAAAAGAGTACCCCGACGAGTCTCTTTGTCGCAGTGTTTTGAAGCACTGACACATCTGGCCGGAAGCGACCAGGCATTTCTGGACCAATAGATTCTCGCCAGACAAGGTACAGAGGAATCGTTGGAGCAGCATGCGGACGCAGTTGTACCAGTGCATGCGCACAAAAGTCGAATCGTCCAGCGCCATCACGGGTTGCGACCGTTCGAAATCCTCCAGATCGGTCATTAGTGGAGGCACTTCCGAGATGAGATCGGACACATTCCGGTCGACGCGATAAATTTCGGAGTGAATCCGAGACATGATGCGCTGAAGTTGAATGGTGGCGACGAATCTGCGAAGGTTCAGACCTGGTGCAGCCTTCGCTGGATTGGAAGAGTTCTCGTGGATCGCATCGTCCATCGCAGCCGGAACATTAGCATCTATGTCTTTCTCAGCGATGCTGAATGGACGGCCGAGGGACCAAGACACATATCGCTCGACCAGATACACGCTCCAGAATAGCCGACGGCGGAGATGTGCATCGTGCGGTCGCATCGCTCGATACTGGGACTCGCGATGTAATCCCAAGTCCACACAGATTCGCATTGCCAGGCCTATCGTGTACCAGACACTGGAATGTGCCGCGGTACGTAGATCATAGAGGACAAGCAACAGGATTGCCTCAATTCGCGCGTAAGGTGACGAAAATCCGAGAGCGCTTGGTGAACCGGTCGCCATTGTCCAGAAGTCACGAGGCGGCGTGGAGTCGTATGAATCAGTCATTTGCAGGATCGAGGCGCCTATAGCATAGACCATGAAGATCTTGAACGATGTGGATCCGCGAGGTCCGGACTGCGTGTTCCGGTGTATGGTCTCGTGTAAATCGTAGACTTCGCAACGATCGAGGAACGGGAGACGATTGTGCAGATCTCGAAAATACGCGTCGATAAGTCGCATGCCTACATCACGACCTGGAGGAGATGCATCATCCCCAGTCAGTTCCGAAGGACCCGAAGCAATGGTGTCACTTGGATCAGATCCAGCGTGGATGGGTAATGACTCTGTCCACACGGTGTCCTGCGCCATGCGACCCAGACTCTCTGCGATAGTCCGCCCCGAAGACGGCCCCAGATATGCTGGACCGTGACAGTAGCCACGGTCCAGGGATAACAGTGACAGGACAGCAGTCTGGTCCAGATCATGGGGGCTTGAAGACCTGTCCTGATTCTTCTGCTGCTGCTGCTGCTGCTGCTGCTCCGGGCCTATGCGTGCTACAGCAGTAGCCAATTGAGATTCCAGCATTTCAATTCTATGAACCAAGGCCCCCTTGGACATAGCGTGATGCCACGAGGGGACGGTCTCGGAGCGCAAGCATGGCTGGTTGGCAGATTCACAGCCGGCGCAAGTTGGGTATCCTACACAGCGTTGCTTGCGTCGATGGCACCTCTTACAGGACTTGGGAATCCGTTTGCGAATTCTGGCCTCGGAACTCATGGTGAAAAGTGGATGAAGTAGTTATCGATTGTGGTTCAAGAGGCAGCGATGCAGTACTAGTGATTGCCTCAGGGTTTGGTTTCAGGGCTTCCCCGCACTGCAGCGGCATTTGACAGCCGAGGCTGAGGCCATCGCCAACCACACGCACGCCATCCAGACTAAGGAGACTCGGTTATCTGATCGAGTCCCCGGCTTTAGATAAAAGGTAGATGGATCTGCTTTTCTTCGAGGACAGGTTGCCGGTGGGGTAGTAGTTAGTGGTGAGGGTTTTGGGTGGTTTCAGAGAGGATGCAGAGAGAGGGCCAGACACAAGGGGAAGGTTAGTCGAATGCCACGTGACCAACAACAACAAACAACAACAGCAAACCAAAAAAACACAGCCTCGTTCGAGTCACTCTTGCATCCAGCATGCCTCAAGGGGCTTTTTGTCCCTGTCTTGCCCGATGAACTCGGGCACGGTGCATGTCACTCGTACCCTCACGCTTCACAACACCACAAGAAGACTCCTCGGCCCATTGCGCCAGCAAATCGACGGTTCTGGCCCACCACTCCAGGGGTCTTCATTGGATCATGATAATTGACCCCCCGAAGATGGTTCCTTCACTCAGTCACTCTTCCGACTATCCCTTGCATCTCTAGCCATCTATTGGTTGCCTACAAGAAGACTCCCCTTGCGGAAGAGCCGAGAACAACCACATTGTGTCGGATGTGTTATCCGCGGGGTTCGTTCATGCTGCGAGGCAGTCGTCACGGAACTCTAACGCTCGTGCTGAAACCGATAGACCTGAACTTGCCAACCAAGACTATCATCGCGCAAGCTGGAGCTTCTTACCTACCGATGGACAATACAAGACGCCTTGCGTGAAGTCACCTCATCACTCACACTGCTAAGCAAAATGCTGAATTCGAAGTACCGTCCGTGATGTACAAAAGATGAGGAGTACCAAAAAGCATCTGAATAGCACGGACGGATTTTTCTTTCATTCAGGATTCAGGATCGGAACAGAATTCCGAAACATGAAGAGTCAAAGAGGGACAGGTGACTCTTACCATCTTTTAGAGTGAGAACCCCCTTCAGCCTTCAGCCCCTTCCTCACACAACGTGCACAAATCCCGGGTTAATCGGGGTTTGACTGAAGGCTGTTCCGGCAACTGTATAGACTCCCTGGCACCATTACTGCCCTCTCAACTCGAATGTCACCCCGGTCGTTAGCATCAACTACCAAGTCGATCGCGTGGAAATACCACAGTTGCTCCACCGTCCGGCGCCATGTTCGCTTACGGCTTATTGGTGGGTAGAATCCGCATGCTGAGCGCACCTTGCGTACTGTTTCCAGATCAGAGTCTCTACAGCACTCGATGCACTTCTGCCTTGCTATTGGCGAGGGGGCTTGGCTGATGATTCGAAGTTTCTGGCCAACCACTGTATCACATTCCAGAGCAGGTCCAATAGATCATCATAGCTCTCGGTCATTGCTTGTTTCCCTTCGTGCGAGTGGGCTTGAGCGTAGAGTGTGACTTTGCTGCGAGAATTGGTACTCATCGCTATCTCACGCTTACGCTGAATTAGTGCCACTTATGCTCGTGAGGGGAGCGAGGCGTCAGCTGTGATTCGCTGTGCAGAAGGCTTGCCAGGCCCTACAGCGTGGTATACTGAAATCAAGGAAATTTGGGGGAAGGGAATGGAGGAGATATTCAACAACAAGCGTCAGCTGTCATATTATTCCTCCCTTACGGGGGTGTCCGGTCTCTGCAGATTTGTATATCACTGTCAGCAACGGTCTATCCACGATGTCACCGCCATGTCATAGGCTCTCTATTAAACCTCATCCTGGACTGCATCGTGTGTTTTGCGTTTATCTGACCCGCGACTAATCAAAACTCGCCCCTCAACGCCACATCATACCATGGAGGCGACGTCTCCGCGAAGGGTACGTTTGGCGTGCGACTCATGCCACAACATGAAGATGAAATGCTCGGGAGGACAACCCTGTCTGACCTGTACACGATATAAACACACATGTGTCTACAGTGCCCCGCATCGCATCGGGCGACCGCGAGGCTCTAAAAACAAGGCGGCTCCGTCGCCGTCAACAAAGGATATCTCGTCTTCTGCAGGACTCTCTGGGAATGGGGGGAAGGCCGAAGCATGGTACTACGATCAGTCGCACTCACCGATCCTTGGAGAGGAGAATCTTGCCCACGCATTAATGCCTCCGGTCGATGAAGTCATCTTTAGAGCTCCTCTCGCGAACCTTCCCGATTATGATGCTCATTGTAATGCTCAAGTACCAAGTGTACCTTTCAGTTGGGCACAATCCTGCTTGAATGACGCCGTGTCGAACGGTTCTTCCGCCGTCTCGGTATGTCACTCCATCCTTAAGACCACATCAAGACAGGTGAAGAACTTCTTGCTTACATCTACATGATGAGATGCAGGGTCTTTCGGAAGAGCTCTACTCGCTATCCTCAGCTCATCCGCCAACCTCATCGCACCAACTCTCGCAAATTGCTCCCGACGCGCCTGTCTCCACATTGAATACTAGTCTCCTGAGTCAAAACTGCAACTGTGTTGGCGTACAAGCAGAGGCTCTGTCGAGCCTCCGCAAGAAAGAAGCCGATCCATATCCCATAGCATTCCCGATTGTGCTTGACGCGACGCAGGAAATCCAGGCGCGATGGGAAGCACTACTCTCCTGCGCTATTTGTCGCATGGATAGCGACCATGTGGCGCTCCTTCTGCTTGCTATGAGTCTGCGGCTGGTGCTTCGCTGGCTGCAGCTGGTTATCCACGAGCGCGTCTCCTTGTCTCGCGAGCTTTCTGTTGCGTCCCACAGCCGTCAACCTTCTCGTGGCTCAACCACTTCGGGCATGAGTGACGCGCCCACCTCCAATGTCGATGGATACCAACGAGGCTCCACGCGTAGCCCATTCAACAGCAGGTCGCACTCAAGATCTAGCAATATCTTTTCAGACCGCATCCGAATCGGAAACTACGAGCTGCCCAAGGAGGAGCACGATTTCATGATGAATATGCTCACCAGTCGCACGCTCGGAAGACTGAAGCAGACTCACGTCGGCATCGCGACCTACTTCCAACAGTCTCAGAGTGGCTTGAATTACTCCCTGACGGGCGAGAAGAAGTCTATTCACCTCGTCCTTGATCATTTGAGACATTCCATTGAGACGACCGAGCATTTGGTGCAGAAGGCTGTGCAATAGATTCCGGGTCTAGGACCCTTTGACTCCATTACCAGGCTGTTTTCGCATCGCTTTTTTTCTTCATTTGTAACCGCTGGCTGTTGCTTGACGTTGTTGTTGAATCTGTTGTCTCTGGTTATCGGGTCTTTGTGTCGTCAGCCTCGCCTTCCCGAGGGCCCATGTTTCGAGTTCTAACTGACTTGGACTGAATCAGGACAGTCAACTGTGCTCATGGCCTTCATGTCACACTTGATCTTGGCACGCGGCGTCCCACTGATATAGAATCATATACCATTCTTGCATCCCTCATAGCCTTCTCAGCCATACCAGTATCGCTGAACCCGTATTCATCGGGATCCCCCATCTCGACTACCCCGACTAATTGCCGGATCGACACTAGACAGACGTTCTACTAACTGCCGAGGTCGTCCGGTAGAAGAACGATGCTGAGCAAGAAACAGCTTCGAGGCCTAGCACCGGTCCTCCTGTCAAAAATTGAAGGTATTCACGTGAGCTGACTGCGAGCAAGGAATGTGGCTGGCTCGAACAGGTAATGATTGGGCAGGTCCCTCATTCCCTGTTCACCGTCTGGGTGGTATACGTACATTGTCTGCCCAATAGATGATTTTCATTGTCCAACCGGCCCGGAATGATGCAGGGGTCGCTTGCCGTGCCAATGTCCTCGTGGAATTCCAGACAGCAACCTCGTGTCAATGCACTCAAGGAATGGGGCCACCCTAGGCTCAACAGGCGCTTCTCCTAATCACACCGCAGTCTAATTCATAAACCGTTCCTCTAACTACTAATCCGCATCTGCATAACATCGTCAACTATGGAAACATGTGTATATCGTTAACCGAACCCCTTGCATCCAACGTGAGTTCAATCCACACTCAATATGGCATCGAACCTATGCATCAATCTGGCCAGCACCAGCCGTGCTCTTCCCAACCACCCATCGTACCTGTGTCCTGCGCCCGTCCAAGCTCATCCACCCTTGCCTAGATGGTATACTGTCTCTGAAGCCACCCGCTCTCCGGCCGAGTCGAGCAACCCGTCGCCGTGCTGCAAGTGCCCTGATCGTGCACCGCGTACTCGTAGAAGATGTTGGTCTTGTCTTCGATATCCGACGCATCGAGGTTGACGGGGGAGTTGTTGATCCCGTAGCCCAGATACCCCGTCAGATCCGGGTGACTGCGGGTCTGGTCCAGCGCGGAGGTGGCGAAGAACGCGGTGGCGTAGTGGTCACTGTGGTCGCCGTCGCCGAAGGTGTTGTGGTAGTCCTGGGTCTTGAGCTCGTCGGGGTCGAAGTCGTCGATCAGCGCGGTCAGGGTGTGGATCAGCTCATCGCGCGTGTACGTCGTGCCCGAGCCATCCACGCTGGTGATGTGGTCGATGCGCCCATCCCACAGCTTCTGCAGGCTGTCGTTGTTGTCGCTCGCGAACCCCGTGCCGTCCATGTTGCCGTCCGGCAGGTGCATGAAGACCAGCGAGATGGACGCGTTGTCCGCCAGCGTGTAGACCGAAATCTCCTTGCCTGGGATCCCCGCGTCCGTCTCCTGCCAGTTGTTGCTGGCAATCGCCATGCGTGCGTACGCGGCTTGCGACCCGAGCTGGCGGTTCTGCCAGTAGCTGGCGCCGTTGCCCGCGTCGCCGGCTGTCAGGAAGATGGTGCGCACCGCCTGGCCGGACAGGATGTCGCGGATCAGGTCCGGGCTGAAGAAGAGGAGGTCGTCGTCTTGGTGGGCGACGATGTTGAGGGTGTCGGCTAGGGCAAACGGGATGGAGCCCAGGAGGGCGAGCTGGCTGAGGAGGGTTTGAGGCTTCATGATTGTGCGGGGAAGATGAGGGCTATGCGTATGGTATATAGGAGAGGGTTTTCGTCAGGATGAAGCAGCGACACCGAGAAAAGCCTTGCGGAATCTCAGTCGGTCTGAGGCATCGTCGCTTGTTTATACTAGTCGTATCCTTGGCGAGGTGCTCGATGAACCATCGCGTGCCGTATATCGCACATTCCTGAGCCTCGGAGCTTTCAATTACAGTGACCATCCCTTGCTTGTTCAGTCTTGATGACGCCAGACAGAGGCTCTTCCAGTGTGAGGCTCAGAGCCATATGACAGGAGTTCGAGGGGAATACGCGGCTTGAAGCCTGACCTGTGGCTTGCTCGAGGGATCGGCAGACATAGCTATAGCTATTCCAAGGGGGTCGTTATTGCGTAGGAGGGAGGGTTCGTGCAAGCTGGGTTTGGCGTACATTCCGCCGCTGGAATGAGGATGTAACACATGGAGCTTCGGCCGTGAGCTCAGTTCGTCGCGATATGCTGCTTGTTGCTGAATTGCATTGATGAGACGCCATCGTCGTTTCATAGCTGACCATGGCAGCCCGCGCTGGACTAAACGATTGCATCATGCTGAGTGCGCCGGCATAGGTGTATGCTGTTGTTGAGAATTCACAGCATGATGGGCTGCTTGGAGATCACATACGTCGAGGGAAATTGTTTTGGGGGTTCGAAGAACTGGAGCTAATATAGTAAGGGGTGTGTCTATCTAAACCTGGTTTCTCGGGCAATCGAGGCAATCATATCTATTTTGGTAAAACGATCAGCCACTGCTCGACATTGAGTCGGGCCTTGTGCGAAGCTGCACTATGGTAACTGACCTTGTTCGAGCAGGAACCACGTTCATGAACTGGTATAGATGAACTGGTGACGTCCTGTTCTACCAAATGCCTGGAATTCGACTGAGTGTACCAAGTGAAGACATCCAAGCCTTTCAGCTTGACAACACTTTCTGAGGTCAAGCTACTGCCAGCCCCCAGGACTATAATTAGCATTTTTATCGAATGGATTCGTTCCCCTTGGTCTGGTAAATGCTGTAAATTATATATATAAGTTGATGTATTCAGCCTGGGACGTATGCACTCATCGTGACGACAAACTGTAGAATTAATATATTAACTCAAGCCTATTCTCAGGCTGCATTAGAACGGATACTTATATAGTCTAAATAAAATGATTACTATTTCTATATCTTAATCTTATCTCTGCAAATATGGGACTCAGACCAGAAATAGTAGAATAAAGATCTAGTTAGTATTAATCATATACAAAGAAACTATAGTGTGAGAGAAAGTCTATAACCCCGAGTAAACTAGACATTTAGCAGAGCTAGCCTGCACTCTCCTATAAACTACTCGTACCCTTGCACAAATCTCTCCCGTCAATCATCTCCCATTGCAGAGGCCAGCAGACTACGAGGTATCGGCTGCTTGCTGGCAGTAAAACCAATGACCGATGTCCGTATGCACTGAATATCATTCCTGATCAAGTTCTGCTGGAAGAATAGATACAACCTCCAATCTACAACCGATCCACCTCTCCCAGTCCTCCAACCTATGTTCAAATTATTCAATGGTATCAATCCAACTGCTTCTCACCCCCAATCAATGCGTAATCGAGACCAATCGCCCCCAATACCCCCTCTCCCCCTTCCCATCCCCCCCATTCCTCTCAAATCCCACCACTGCATTCTCATAAATCCACCTCCCGACCTCGGCGCGAGTGATGGTATACCCCACCGCAGGCTCCGCCTCCGTCCCCACGCGCACCTTCTCCAACCCCTCCCCCGCCTCCCCATCTATCAGCAAACTCGGCCGCACAATCATATACCCCGCCAGCGCAGGATCCTCCCGCGCGCCCTCCGCGAGGATCAGCTCCTCCATCACCTTCTTGTCTGCATGCGGCACCTTGAGCATCCACTGGTACAGCGGCAGCATCAGGCAGGGCACGTCGCGTTTTGAGTCCACCCCCGTGGTGCTGATGACAACCAGCTTGGGCTTGGTCGGTGGGTGGCTGGGGGGTGTCGGCAGGGAGTGCAGGGCGCGGAGCACGGTGCGCATCGCATCCTGGCAGACGGTGGGGTTCTCGAGTGTCGGGCGCAGCAGGGAGTCGAATTTCGGTTTGCTGCCGATGCCGGAGATAATGAGGTCGACTGGTTGCGATTCATCGGTAGGAGTGGGCGCGGGGCGGAGGAGGGTTTGACGCACGGCGGGGAGGTCGTCGGCGGAGCCTGGGATGATGTGCAGGTTGGCGGTGGCGTTGGTGTCGATGTTGTGGGTGGCCAGGAGGGTGGTTAATTTGTGGGGGGTGCGGATGACTGTAGGTTTTCGTGAATATGTGAATATACGGATTATTCAAGGGGAGGGGTTCGCAGTACGTACGTGCATTGCACTCATAGCCGGCGTTGAGGGCCAGAATGAGGCAGTTGAGCGTACAGCCCCCGGTGGCACCGAAGAAGGCGATGGTGGGGCGTGAAGTGGTGGACATGATTCACGGTTAATGCTGTTTGATGTTGTTCTGGGGTGATTGATTCGAGACAGAGCTTCGGTAGCGGGGTGAGGAAGATACTACTTTATTTTATTTATTTATACTACTGTTTCAATGTATTTTCCACTACTAAGTAATGCTCCGTGTGGTGACGGAGACTTAATCTCCGTCCCGTTCTTAAACTACAAGTTGTTGGGCTCCCAAAACCCCGCCACCCGCCCTCGTGTTCGCTTACATTAACTTACTAGGAGTTCACTTGATTCCAGCTGATATGCTGATGATGACGTCGCTTTTGTAATTGTGAGCATAGGATTTACGATCGACGACCAGTGACTACATCAGACTTCGCCAAGGAAAGCCCTTTCCCTTGCATCCATCCACCAGCTGAAAGTACCATTTATGCGCGGACAGTCCCTGCAACGACGGACTGCCGGTCCCCGTATTGCCAGCATCGTTGACATACCCTTCATACACGGCCACATCCTGCGGCCGCACTGTGACATTATCCCCGGAGAGAATATGATACTCGGGGCTGATGTGGACGTAATCCATGATCAACAGCGGCAACTTCGGGATCGGGTCATTCGTGTGGGTGAATCGGTAGTTGTTCCCTTGGTTGGTGATATACCGGGCCAACGCCGCGTTGCCCACTCGGGGCGAGGCGTACGCATACAAGGTCGCCTGGTATCCCCGGGTGCGAAGATCCGCCGCCGCCAGGGTTGCGACGGCGGCGCCCAGGCTGTACCCGACGAGCACGAGCACGTAATCACGGGACTTCCCCTGGAGACCCTCCAGCTGGTGGATGAGGTCGGTGCGCACCAACCGCCAGGAGGTCCAAAAGCCGAGCTCAGCGAAACATCCCTCGCAGAGCTGGGTGTCGGTGAAGGCGAACATCAGGTTGGACATCCAGTTCCGCACCGAGTACGAGCCGCGGAAGGCGATGATGCGGCGTTGGTTGAGATGGTCGATCGCCACAAAGCCCGCCGTGTCGGTCATGGTGGCGCTATGCAAGAGGCACCGTGAGTCGGCAATGGGATTCTAGTTGATGCAGGGGCTTACTCAGAAAAGGCAAAGATGATGCTCGCGTTGGAGGCTTCCACCAGCGGACAGCCTTGATCCCAACAGCGGACCTTCGCCCCCTTCGATTTTGGGTCATAGTTAGTGCTACAGTAGGCGGCGTCGGCATACTGCACCCAGAATAAGAAATCGGAGAGTTGATGGGCGGTGATGTCTGGGACAGGATCGGTGAGCGGGTGGATAGGGGGTGGTGTGGTGTGGGAGCATACCGCGTACGTGCAGGGAAGGATGGGCCTGGCTCGGCAATGCCACCGTCAAGCAAAGAGTCAGAAGCCAACTGAACCGAGCCATCGTTGGTGCCTGTCAAGCACAGAGGGCGGAAGCTTGGGTCGTCGATGAATCACGGCTCGACTATCTCGGGCTCGTAAAGCCAGGTGTGGTAGTACGCTTCAGGCTTACTGCGCAGTTCTTATAGCATTCATTCTCACGGACTCGGGCCCTGCCTTGGCTCTACCGGACGTGACAGGCGACCAAGAGAGATCGAAGCTGCAGCATCGAGCTGAGGCAGAGAAGGTGCGACAGGGCGACGGACGGAAAGCCTCCTCGTGGATACGCCGGAGGGCAACTCCGCATTACGTCGATGCTGGTCCAGAAACTGCATCTCGTTGACTTGCAGGGGAAGTTTTAACAAAGGCTAATCCAACAAGGGATGAGGATAGGCGAGAATTGAGTTCCTGAGGTCACGCGCGGAATGTGCGGTGGATTACGCCAAAGTCAATTTAAAAGACGCGACCCGAGAAGTACACCAGAGGAGATATCTCCGGGGTGGTTTGATGCTTCGTGCCCTGACAAGATGTGGCCATCAACTATGGATGGCTTCCGATGCATACTGGGTGTTCTCGAATTCGTGGTTGACCATGTTGATAGATCAGGAACATTCGATTCACAGTCTGGGATGTATAAGCAGGCTTGAGATTCATCTCTGGAGTACGAACAGCAGGATCGAAGGGCATAGAGCTTCGCAGGTTCGAGTCGAAAGCTGCCGTAGGGCTTCGGAGATCATGTGGGCTGCCATCTGGGTCTTGCGCTCGACAACGATTCGTATGTCCTTCGCTCTGCGCAAACTCCCCATGGCTGCTTATTCTCGGAAGATGTAAGCCCCTCGGAGGAGATCCTCGCGAAGACAGCTAGCTGTGAACTGGATGCAGTAGTTCACTTGACGGTGCACGCATTGAGCTCCTGGGCAATGGCTGACAGCGGCTCATGGCGTCGCACAACCTTGGGCTGTTGACGCTTCTACCCCCTCTTTCAGCCACACAAATCAGATGACTGGTGTGCTTCTCCAGGATATCCAGTCACTGGCCAGTTTGCCTGACCAGCACACTTGTGCGACCGTGGGACAATTGGAGGTTTTCAGCTGCCCACCCGACCGGGACGCACTGCAGAAGCCATCAGAGCTGCAAGTGTGGATATAGGTAACTCACCAGCTGGATTGACATATCTAGAACATACTCGATAAAGACGCGAAGAGCATTAGAAGAGGAAGACAAGCTATGAGGGTACTAGGTTAGAGACAACCCTGGATGCAAGCAGCTAACACTCCCTGGTCATGCGTTCTTCAGTGGCAGTCAATACTCTGATTGGAGATGGCATTTAGACACTGCCAACCAGCGCGACTAAACAAAGCTCCGAGAGACGGACTCCTGGCAGATTGCAGGTATCCTTCAAGCGAAATAAGGTTTCGATGCTGTTCTGCAGTTTGCTCGCACGCCTAATGCACAGTGCTCTCGCGGATATTTTTCATGCAAAAAGTCCCGGCGGCCCTGAGTATCCTAGACAGCATGTCGATTGAGACCACGAGGCGATGATTTAAAAATCTCGCCAGTGGTATTTCCTCCGAGAATCAGCCGACGGAGGGAGTCAATTAATCGGACCAGGCCAATCGAGTCTCGAGGCAATTACTCCGAAGCAACAGCCAAGAACCTGCTGTCGACCTTATATTCTTAACTGAAGATCCTCAAGCACGGCAGCGACTCACTTCGAATGTCTTATCTCTCACGTACTCAGTTTCTCTGCTGCCTGACGAGGGAAAGGGGTCCGATGACAAACCTTGAGTCAGGATGAAGACAGCGACTAGGATCGCAAACTAGACCTTAATGAGCCTCTAGCCGGGGACTGGACCCTGGAGGCGACTTTAGTTCCTTCTTCGAGCCGTGCCGGCCCGACCACCGTTAGTACAGTGACTCCATTCGCGTCTCGGCAAGCCGAGCCCGGTGAGTTCGATCGATAAACTGGTCTTGCCCTTCCCGGTGTGCGGCCACCTGGTCAGCACCCTGTATGCGGTGGCGGAGCGGGCTGCGAATCGGATCAAGCAGGATTCTGTGCTGTTCTAGAGCTTATGAGCATTGCTATCTTGACCAGGGTGGTACGTTGCATGAGAAGCGTGGCTGGGCCTGCATTTGCTTTACACGAGAGAGCTGGCACTACGGAACAGAATCCCCACCGACATCGAGTGACTTTCCCTTTCCGCTTGGGGTCCAACTTGTCGCTAATGTTCACTCACTAAGCAGTCTACTAGAGTATAGGAGAAGTATATAACTTGCTCGAGCGCAAGGAAATCATAATGTACAGTATAAGCGCTGTATAGATTGATTCTTGAAAATCACTAGAGTATTTTTGGCGAACTTTCTCTATCCTTAGTTCGTCTGGCAGGGAAGGTGAGAAATTTGTCAATTTCGTTGATCCAGAAAGAAATCAGGGAGTTGACTTGGCTGGCTGTCGGATATTCCTAGTATGAGGGGTACCACCGGCCGTTTCCCAGTCAATAATGCCCACAATATCATCACCACGGACAAGAATATTCAAGCTGCTGAGATCACTATAGATAGATACAATAGGCTACTCTCGATCATGTTATCTAATCAATTCTTGAATTTCGCAGTCAAGTCCCAGGTTCAGTTCCATGCCGCCTCGTAAGTGTCGATGGAAGCTTTAGACACTGGGAAAGGATACAGAACATAAAGACGCGCCCGGCAACCGGCAATCAAACAGAGATCCTCCACTAACCGAAGAGACCTCTGTACCCTCTGGAGGCTGAGGTCATTACTTTTCGTGAACTATATTCTTTAGTTAGGTCAGAAGCTTAATCTTTAATTCTTTGCTTTGATTAACTTAGCCATTGTTAATTATGTCTTCTTTGATTCTTTCCAATACGACGTAAGAACATCCTTTATATATAAAGACACACAAGATCTTGAGCACTGGGATGGATGTATTCTGTGCATAAAACACATAATCACTCCCTCCGATACGTCTATACATTTCCCGTACTTGACACACAGCCGATCTGTCAACATAAGCACAGTTCCTTGGCGAGGTCGGATTCTTCTAAGGACCGCGATCACCGAAAGCATCAAACATCAGGTGAAGATACTGTTATTGATTAGACTCGAGGATTGGACATTGCAGTTCTGCGCGCGAGAAATCATTGTTTGGAATCTGCTAACAGCATCTGATACTGAGTAGGGGACTGGCTGCATACGGACGGCTTCAACTCCGGGCTGTTGTTGATGAAATTGTCTCGTTGAGAAGAAACATCAAAGCACTTGGGAGCCTGCCTTGCACGCGACATGTACAGTACCGTCCCTGCATGATGGAGTGTGACATTTGCAACCGCATGCCACTTGTTATGAGAAAGGCAACAATTGTCTATTACAAGGCATAAATACAACTGCTACTATCATTTAGCAGTCGATCTGTGGATGTTTCTCTAGACATGCTGAAGATGGACTGCTTACTCTAAATGTGTACATTCACTCAACCAAAGGCGTTTCCACTGCACACTTAACCCCTTTGGGCGGCTACATGGAATTTGGGAAAGATATACTAGGGTGGTAGTGGATTTTTGGGTCCAGTAGATAAGTTATAGGCTGCTATACAAATTTGTATTAAGAGCTGTAGGGGGAAGATAGAGCCCTGATTTTATAAGGTATCTCATTAGGTGGATGAATATCCAGGGTACGAGGTGAATGCCATCGTACCGACAAAAAGAGGCGTGTTGCACCAACTCCACTGGTCCCCAGTGCAGAATGAACGCCAATGCCATCCCAAAGCTCTTGAAGAGTCCCAGTATGAAAAGCATGTTGGCAGAGAAGAACAATTGGTCTGGTCTGTAGAAAAGTTCGAGTCCGGTTGAGAGGGACACAGCTAAGTGTTGATCCCGAGTTTACAAAGTCCATTGTTCGCGATAGAAGACTGCAGGAGTCTTACTATGAGAGCACCTCTCAACCACCTTTCGTCAACCCTCATTCAATCACAATCACAAACCTCTCATTACAGTACCAACGAGATTACTTCGAACAGAACATCATCATCACATCATCATCATCATGACCACATAATGGAAACAGCATCAATCCAACCAACCCCAAAAGCAACTCATCTCGCTGAAACCCCCCCCTTTCGTCCATACCTCGCCGCCAAAAACGACTTATGCACCTCGGACACCGTCTCCGTGGGCGCCCCCACCAGCCGCTGCACCGCCAGCTGCGCCGACCGCACACTGTACGCGGTCATCAGCGCCGTCTCCTCGGGCACTTCGACGTACTGGCCCACCAGCGCGACATTCGCCAGATCGGAGGGGGTGATGGCCGGTCGATCGCCGGGTCCGCGCTGCAGCAGCGGTGAGAGCCCCAGCGGGAGCGTGTAGGGGATGACGCGGGCGGTGCGGATGATGGGGTCCGCGGGCAGGTCGAGGCAGCCCAGGAGTTCGGCGAGGATCTCGTCGCCGCTGCACGCGTGCATGGGTTTCTGGATGTGGTGGCCTGTTGTGTCCGGGGTGAAGCCGTAGCCGAGGATGCAGGGGTAGGGGGTGGGCGGATTCCTGCTAGTGCTGGCAGGGGAGGGCTCGTCGGCGGAGAAGATGAGCTTAAAGGTCCAGGGGCTGTGGGTGATGGAGGCATCGGTTCGTCCTCCGGCGGCGGCGGAGGAGGAGTTGGTGGGCAGCATGCGTCGGTGAATGGCGTCAAAGTCGGCGCGGGGAAGGTGAATCACGAACATCCCCAGACGGGAGTCGGGCAGGTGGGTGCAAAAGGAGGAGGGATTGCCGCACTGCGAGGACTTGCGGGCGAGGGCGAACCACAGCGACCAGCTGGGGTCGAGGAGCAATTCGGCTCTGGTGGAGGAAGCCGGGGGCGCGGCGGCTGGGCTCCCCGTCGAGATGCCAGACGCGGCAGACCCGATGGTGACGATCACCCTATCCTCCGCCTGGACGGGCAGAAGCACCGCGCCGCGCTTGCCCACGGCTTGGATGCCGCAGGCGGTCTTGGGCTCGCGCTCCGGGGTGAAGTGGATATCGGTGACCAGGAGGTGGCGGAATTGCACCCCCTGGTTCCGCAGGTAGGCTCTCAGTGGGCGAAGGACGGTCCTCCGCAGGGAGAATGGCAGAGGATCGGCGACGTGGATGGTGTTGCCAATGACTTCGTCCAGATACTTGCTGATGTAGCGGTGGAATTCAACCGCAGAGTGCAAGGGTCGAAGGCCGAAACTGCACTCCCCCACGCCCCCAATCACACACGGTTTAGCATCTGTTGTCTACCCCTATTCTTGGAGTTGAAAGATGCATCCAGGGCAAAACAAGGCAGGATTTACCTTGAGGAGAATAGCCGCCAGAAGTAGGAGTCGAAGAACGACTCGTCGAACACCCGCTGAATGCTCATTCCCTCATACTCCGCCTCGTCTTGCAGGAGGAAATGCAGCACATCCTTGCGGTTCTTGCGCCAGACCTGTTTGCAACCGAGATGACTGAGAAAGTTGATGGGCTCCGACATGAAGACCTCGGTGCGATGTCGACTGCATGGCAGCGAACAGGCTTCCTTCGGGAATGAGAGCGGTGCGTTGAGGGCTGGAGGCTGGTATGACTGGTGTGTCGAAGCACAGGGCAGGTCTTGACACTGGGTCTGGAGGGTGACCGTGTCTTTGTGGGACGTCTTCTTCTTGTGGTGCTTGGTGGTCGACTGAGGCTGGCGTCGAGAGTCCAGGATCCGGATGTGATTGCCAGGGACTCTGGCTTCATTGATCAAACAGGAGGCAGCGACCAGGGATTCGACTCCCCCTCCGATGAGCCACACGGTGGGTGGTGGGTGATTGTGGGTGGTGGTCATTGTTGGGCGCGACATGTGAGCACTGGGAATAATCTCCTGTCCGCCAACGGAGCTTGGGGATTGGCAGGGCCAGATTTATAGCTTCTGATCGAGCCTGGAGCTTGGGGGGGCACTTGCTCGCCTCGTAATCAAGTTCCCCAGTGACTCAGCCCTGTTGGCCCCTTTGTGAAGTCGATCTGGTGCCTTGGGTCGAGGATCAGGCGTGGGCCGGGGCGGGCACAGCTCCCACTCGTTAGGGCCAGCATCGGGCTAGACCTGGCTGGCCTTTTGCTCCCAGCCAGCTGTCTTCGAATCAGAGGACGAGACGATGGTAGTGAAACTTCTTTGTCAAGCCCCATGATCGCGAAAGTTTGCTCATTGAGGTGCACAAAGGCAGTGGAAAGGAAGGGGTTCGGCCGGACGAGGGCTAATGCGTGTGGAGGAAGAGGGAGGGGGGCAGGCAATAAGGGGGTCGTGTGACAGAGGCAGTGGGTGGTTGCGACGAATGCTATCCATGGCTCAGGTGTCTATCGAATCCTATCAGATCCTCATCAATTCGATCAACCAGTGTATCTCACCCCTCCATCCCCTCGTAAATCACATGAGTATGATGTGCTGCAGGGTGATTTTGCATGGTTCGGAGTCGTTTCCGAGGATAAGAGCATCACGTCTCCCAGCCACATATATGTCTCATGGGAGGCTCGTAATCCAGACAAATGAACAATTCACTCCGGTTGACGCAGTCTCCAGTTTATACGACACGACCAAAATGAGTGGACATGCATTGCTATACACCGACCTGCGCCCAAACCCCCAACTATCGATTCTGATTCATCAACTATGCCACCAAAGTATGGCCTGGTCTCGGCCATCCGGTCGCAGCCTCTGATCCAGGGCGATTATGGAAATCTCCCGCCCAAACAAGAGGAGCTCCCGCTCTATCTCTGCGTTCTGTATATAATTGTGCTCTCAGTGACAGTCTTCATGCTGTAAGCGAAGTAGCTCTACCCCCCTGAGATTCCCCTCTCATGGATCATCCCTCAGGGTTATCGTCAAGAGACGGTACGAGGCAGACTTCACCCCCCGCAACCCTGCTCTCGAGCCCATTCTGCCGTATGCGAGTCGCACCTGTGAAGAGCGACGAGTGCTGTTTTTCCAACAGAATGTGGTCAAGGATGTCTACGGGGACTGGTGGGCGTCCGTTCAGACGGAGCGCAGCGAGCTATTGGGGTACAACCACCTCGCAGTCTGGTGAGTGGCACCGCTCCTCTGCCTCATCATGACGCATGCAGAGTCACTGACAGGGGGTGACAGTCCGATCTGCTTGGAAGGGGTCACCCGAATGCAACTGATCTATCTCCTGCCCTGTCGGCATGTTTTTCACGACAGATGCCTGGAGGGCTGGGTGATGAGTGGCCGGAATACGTGTCCGTTATGTCTGGAAATCATGGCGAGACCAGGCAGGAAAGAGTTGGTGTGAACATTCAGAGGGAACGGTGATGTATGTACAGGGAAAGCAGTGCAACCCGCAGACAATCAATACTTGAGGCATCGGTCGTGCATATCACCTAGTGGAGCGACCACCTACAGTATATCGCAAGAAGCCCTACCTGGCTGTCTCAGTCGAAACGAGATCCAGGCTGGCAAACACCCCATCAGGATCATACCGTCTTTTCAACTTGCGTAAACGTGATAGATCCTCGGTCGAGTCTTCCACTGCTACGCCAGCTGGAGGATTAGTAGATGAGATGAGATGTGCAAAGGTTACCCTTGCAGCATAGTGACAGCGTGGTACCACACTGACCTTGAATGTGCCCTGGTCCGAGATTTCCGCTGGGATGCATTTCGCCCGGTTTGCGCTCAGGAAATACCCTGAAGACGATCTCTGTGGCAACCCCAAAGGCCTGCCCGGCCTGCTGGAGAGCCCAGAAGAGATCGGTCTTCTCCGTGCTCGAGGCCGTCACGATGCTGCCATCGGCCAAGACCAATTTGACGCTCAAGAGATTGTCCACAGCCGAGTCATGCTCGCCAGCCAACCACCCAGTCCCTGTCCCACCAGCGCTCTCCGTATCGCTAGTCGCACTTCCAGGATATTTCCCACTCGTAAAACCAGATGCAGCCGCAGTGTGTGCAATATCCGCCCATGTGGCCCCTCCTTGGGCGGCCAGCGTGCGCGACGCCGGATCGAGGAGGACTTTGTGCATCCGCGTCAGACTGACGACGATACCTCCCTCTGCGAGCGCAGATCTGTCGGTCGGAAAAGCTCCACCGTGAATAAACAAGGGGATATGATGTTTCGCAGCATATCGGACGACTTGTGAAACCTCGTCAGTGGTGGTGACATGCACGAGGGCACCCTAGCCTCAGGTCAAATGACGGTCGGAGACATGCGGATCTGCGGCTGAGCCGAGTCCAGCACCTACAGCCTCAATGCCCCCCAAATCGAGACACCCAACGCGCTCAGTATAATCGCCATCCCCGGGAGTGATCACCTCAGCCCGGGTCTCCGCCAGCTCTGCTTTCAGCTCGAGCGCTCGTCGACAGGAGAGGCGTGGCATTGTCGGTTCTGCTGGGGGCGATAGGCGCGAACTGTGCGTGAAGCAAGTAATCTAATTTTCAAATGAGCACAAACCATTGCGCAATGACCCAGGAGCATCCCCGAGACTCGACTGGAAGATGCCAGCCAGGATGATTATCTGGTCCTGCTGTGGCGAATCCCCCATGGGGAAACCCTATACGATCCCGGCCTCGACCGAACAATGAAACTCAGGCCCAACACGAGCAGCTCGTTCCCAGCGAACGAGATGCTCCGTCGAGTCCGTATGTTCCCCGGTCTCGGCTCCGACTTGATTTTCCCATGGATTGAGAGGGTTCTACAAAGGCTAGACGGTGGCTCGTGTTGTGTGGATGTCAGTAGGTAGATGTGATGGAAGAGAGCCTCTGTGTTGATTGTCACGACACTTCAGTTTGAACTTCACCCCATTAGAACAAAACTGGGAGACTAAGTAAGTAGTACCTAAAATCATTAACTGCAACTCCGACCATCCCATTCGCTGTGCTGCCAATTAAAGAGAGGGGGAAAAGAAAAGGCGCCTATTGCATTCATTCTCTCGTCCCAACGCCAATGTTTGACTCCCGATACTCCATCCTTCGTTACTTGCGTGTGGCAACATCATGTATCTCAATGACCTGCAGGACTGCTACAGGAGTTCGATGCTACGCAACCCTGATTCGATGCCACTTGTTAAATGCCCCATGCGGATCATACTTCTTCTTGAGCTCCTGAAGCCGGGGCAAGTTCGCTCCAAAAATGGTCTCGCTGGACACCTCGTGGCCTACAGTCGTGTCAGACGCATCCCACCCAGGACTGGGGGCGCTGCAACCTACCAGCATAATTTGCATAGATTCCGGTTCCTCGTTTCGGCCCGTCGTAACCCGGTCGGTGGATCCCCGCCGTGGTTGCGATGCGCTCCAGCAGACTCGCCTGCGCCATGCGGATCCTCTCGTCCAGACTGGCATCATACCAGCGGAACAGACAACTCACATTGTAGTACGGCCCGCGGTTAGCAAACGCGGTCGCCTCGTTGGGGATCTTCTGAATCTGTGCGTTGGGGAGCAGCTCGAAGAGTAGTCGACTATCTCGGGTCTGGGGGAGCTCGGTCAAGGTCTCGTTGAACTCCTCGTAGACGGACTGCACAAACCCCAGATCCAGCGGCAGGGTGACATTGGACCCGCGCATGCTCTTCCGGGGCCCCATCGCGTTGTCCAGCGGGTAGCTGATGTTGATTTCCGTGTCGCTGCCGCGGCGGTGCAGGGTATCCGTGGTATTGAGGATGCCATTCAGGCTATCGTAGGGAATCATCCCCGTGTGGTTGGCGATCGGCCCGGCCGACAACAGCGGCGCGAAGAACCGCTCTGCGGCCGCTTGCTCGCCGTTGTAGAAGACGACCACGAGGATGCAGCACTGGGTCATCGCGGTGGCCACGGTGAAGCCAAACCAGAGGCCCTGCTTCCCATCGGTGAGCGTCTCGAACCGGTTGGCAAAGTCGACCACCGCGGGCAGCTGGCTGGGGGCAAAGAGCAGCGTGCCCGCAAAGACGGAGTTGCGCTGGGGATGCGCCCGAAAGGCCAGCTCGACCGCGACGCCGAATTCCTGGCCGGCACCGCGCATCGCCCAGAAGAGATCGGGATGGTCGTCGGCGGAGGCGATCACCACGCGCCCGTCGGCGAGGATCACTTTGATCCAGAGCAGATTATCGATCGCGAGGCCGTACTGCCCGGTCAGCCATCCGTATCCGCCGCCCAGCGTGGCCCCCGCCGCACCGATGTGGCTCAAGGTGCTTCCCACCACCGCGAGCCCGTGCTGTGCGGCGGCGACGTCGATGTCGGCCCACAGGGCGCCCCCCTCCGCCGTCACCACGCGCGCCTCCGGGTCGATGTGCACTTGGCGCAGTTTCGCGAGGTCCAGCACAATCCCCCCGCGTGCGGTCGAGCTGCCGCTCGTCGAGTAGCCCCCGCCGCGCACAGCCAGGGGGATCTGGTGGCGCGTGGTGAATTTGACCACAATTCCGGCTTCATACGGGGTGGTCACTCGGACTACGGCGCCCTGTTTCTGATCAGTGCTGCTAATGCACTGGGAGTGGAAGGGGGACGAGACGTACCACATCTTCATCGCAGGAGTCGCTCCATTGCTTGACATTGTCTTCATAGCCCTCACACCCCCAGGTCGATACCTCGGCACTGGTCCCGTGGAGTTCGTCCCTCAGTTGCCGGACTTGTGAGAGTGGTAAGAACGGCATTCTGAAGCTGTGTGTGTGTATCTCTCTCTCTCTGTGTGTGTGTGTGTGTGTGTGTGTGTGTGTGTGTGTGTGTGTGTGTGTGTGTGGCAGTCCGTAGATGACAACACCTTTGAAGTTGGGGATGAGGAGCATTGATGGATGGATTTAATTAATTAGCCTTACATATAGTGCCGCTCAAGCGAACACACACGAGCAGGCGCCCCCAACAAGGCACGAGTGACAGCCACAGTACTGTGAAAAATCGCTGCAAATGAGGTCAGCACCGAGTGGAATCCATGATTCATCTCAGTCATCCATGGGCCGATCTCCCCAGCAAAAAAGTGGCATGATCCGATGTGGCTGAAGTGCCTTGGTCTTGAATGTTTTTTGTTAGTGGCTTGGGGGGAAGCTGTGGAGGTGGCGATCTCTAAGCCGCCACCGGGTTTTCCCGCACTCCAGAGCCCACTTTTCCTCATTCTCCCGAGATGCTCTCCCAACTGACTTCATCATGATGATTTCCCGTGACTTGGAGGGTGTCACAGTGACTGGCATAGATTCACGCTCAGGTACACATCCCAATGCCTCTGTGATCTTTGTTGAAACACCTCCCAGCAGGAAATGCGACCGGTGCGATGTCACCATATCTCCATATCACGTGATCTGGCATCAACTGGAGACTGGAAGATACAAGCATCGGAGCATTGTTGGTGATGGGCGATATGACAAGCGATGGAGAAATTGGGAAATAGTATGGGACAGGTTGTTGTGGTACGTAATGATTGATGTTCAGCCCCAGCACCAATAGCGAAAAGGCACATATCATGGCGCAGGTTCTGTGGCGCTCTTGATGCACTCTTTCCTCGATCCCGACATGGTTTCATATCACTGCTGGTTCTCGATACCAAACTGGGGGTTTCTCCTTCTCTCTCCTCCCGTCCCTGTCATCTTCGGTCTCATTCAAACTTCTGGGTTATTTTATTCATTGGCGATATTCCTGTGACAATTCGTGGGAGATGCAGAGTTTGTCCGTTCCCAGTCCCAGTCCGCCAGTCCTGACCAGTAGGGAACGGGCTGTTGCCAACAAAAAGGCTCAGGAAGAAGCGCTGGCCCGCATCTCACCCAACACCCTCTATATTGCCCTTTGGATACGGTCCGACCCTCCGCAAGCGGACGACTTCCATTGGGGCTACTATTTCCATACGGACTCCAGCGGGGGGATCCAATACCACGTCAAAGGCTTGAATGCGGGGTGGATCACCGACCATGGACGAGAGGGGGGCATCTTCAAATCCAACTTCCTGTGCGTTCTCATTCAGATCGCAACAATCCCCGCGGTGAAGCATAGGCAACTGGACCAAATCATGAGATCCCGCGATGCAGATCTGAACTCCATTCCGAATGTGACATGTCGTGTGTGGTTGACTACCATCCTTGGCCAAATGATTGAGCATGGGCTGGTGCGCTGCAGCAGGGTCGATGCTTTGGAACGAGAATGCAAGGATTTTGGGAACCAGTACAGTGGTGGGGCGCAACGAAATGAGCAGCCTCGACCCGTTGTGACTTCGAGATTGTGTACGTGAGAGGTTGACTGAAGCAGAGAGCTTGTTTTTTCTTCCTTGCTGTCCGGAGATTCTCCCTTGATGTGTCAATTCACTCTTGCCGCGATGACATTCGCCAGTCATGACACTAATGACCCATCACATTTCTATCTCCTTGGCCTCCTTAGTGCTCTTTTCTGCTTCTTTGGCGTTAATCAACACAACGTGATTCCATTACTAGGTGGAGGAGCTCAGGTGGAGGAGCTCAAGACAGTATGTGTACACTCACTGCGGTCATGAACCCCCCTTCCCCCAGCCGCGATATCATCAGTCCACCGATTGGAACAGCGCTGCGTATCTCAGGAGTTCCTAATCATAACCCTGGGCCCATTTCAGGACCAGAAGAATATAAGAAAATATTCGCGCGGGCAGAGAAGTGCTCAGCCCGCCGATATCGCATTGTGTTCACTCCTGGAGATTTCAAGGGCCATGAGATCCTCCTTAGCGATGACAAATATCTATTTGGTTTCCTGGACTGGGAATCGGCAGGCTGATATCTCGAGCAGTGGGAATTCGCGACAGCAACGCGGTTTGGACGAGGGAGCTGATGGTTCCAAGTAGCTTCCTGAAAGGGTGGAGATCAGTATTCTGATGAATTGGCCTCCGATATGGCTTTGATTTCATTGACGGCTGACTCTTATATAGCCCTGTTAGGCATGAGGAGTTGCAGAAGTGACCCGATTTGCGGTTGCCTGTTGTCATTCTCATATGTCCAAAATCCAAGCCCACGGTCGCATATCGCAATCTCTGCTGACACAAAGATCCAGCTGAGATGAGACAGCGATGGTCTTGCAAAGGTATGATGAGCCATAAGACAACACGCGCAAAAATGCGTGATCGTCGATATACCGTCACTTTCATGATGCGTAGCTTCATCTGTTTATCGCAACCGAATTGGCGGGCTGGCGCGTACGGCATTTTAACCTCATTATTCAGTACCCAGTTTCATTCCGGCTTTATTCAAAACTAGAACTATCGAGATCAGCAGACAAGCGATTCAACTCCGAACTTGCCTCCAAAGCCTCAACTTCCATCGCAAGAGACCCAGGAGCAAACATCTCTGCGTAATGCGCCCGGTCCTCAAATGAAAACAATCTCGGACTCTCTCTAATCATTTTCCCCGGCACAATGGCAACGCCTCAGAGACTCAGAGTACCTCCGAGCTGATACCGCCAATGAGTTCAGAGCTCGCGTCAAGAGTCGAGTGCACACCAATCATGCCTGGAATTGAGTGTATTCAAGCCATGGCAGGCCGTGTGCGGGGGAAGCAGTGGTGCTGCGGAGACTAGCGCTATCACACCATTGGCATCTGCAGGTGTCTCGCGGATAATCTACCCCATTCGAACCTCACTAGTCACTTCTTGGTTAGTTCGCTGGTCGACGATGAGCCAAGTATAATTGAGGGAAGAAGTCCGTCCGAGGCTTGTGTAGTGGCTTTTCCTCTTTCACAGAAACCAGGTCACGGCAGCCGAGGCAGAAGCGAGCATCGCCTACGGAGTAGTGTGATTCTCTTCCCTCTCCACCAGCCTTCCGCGGCGACTAGAGGGCTCGTAATCATTGGGCGCTGTGAGGCGGTTTCCCGGGTCTGGTAGGTGAGATCGAGGTGGTTTGGGGCTTTTCTAGAAGCTCAACTGGGGCTATGGATCCACTTGGCGTCATGGGATGCAAGAGGGTTTCTCACCCTTCTCTCACGGAGATACAACAATATTCTCCCGAGTCCTACGGATCACTTTCACCGCTGGATCCACCCGAGAAATGGTGTGAACCATTGGTCAAATGACATAATTGGCAACAATTCAAGGCTGGGTGAGTTTTTCTCTGCCTGGAGTGGAGTCACGGGAAGACCGGAACCCTGATCGCTATCTTTTTCCCTGCAATGCAGCATCCACTTTCTGATTCACCAACGGACGCAGTTCATGCCAACCCAAGCAATAATAAGCAAACGCTTACGGAGTACAGCTGAACACATCAAGAAGAGGCTGAATGGCTTAATGGCTGATTGACCGAGGGAATTCTTGCCGGGCTTTCCGAGCGAGTTGTCTCCACTCTGTAGTCCGCTGTGTTCTCTGTGTGGCTGCCCGACACGAGGTTTTGATGTCACTCTGCTTTGGTTGCTCTGATCCCTCGTACCTGGCGGGGGATTGTCGGTCAGCCTGCAGTAAGCGGTACATAAAGATAGCTTTCCCCCGAATTCCCAGGATTTGACTCGATCTTCGCACCTTTCCACCTCTCCTCCTCCTCTAATCCCCCCCTCCCTTCTCCTTCTCTCGCCATGCTCTCTCCAGTCCGCCTTCTCCCTCTCCTTGGGAGTCTCCTCTCTCTCGTCTCCGGGTTGCCTACCACCAGCTCGTCTGTAGTTCTCCCACCCACCGAGGATCCCTTCTACAGTGCTCCCAATGGCTTTGAGACCACGCTACCTGGCACTATTTTGCGCCTGCGCACAGCTCCCGGCAATCTGACGGCGCTGGTCAACGCCTCCGCCGCATACAACATTGTCTATCGCACGACGGACAGCCAGTATCACCCCTCATGGGCCGTGACGACCGTCTTTGTCCCCCACAGCCCTAGCACTGGTAGCGACAACCTCACCTCGCTGCTGTCCTACCAAATCGCCTACGACACCCATGACCTCAACGGCAGCCCCAGCTACGCCATGTACAGCTCGCCGCCCACGGACGTCATCCTGGCCCTCAGCCAAGGCTGGTTCGTCAACGTGCCCGACTACGAGGGCCCCCTGGCCTCGTTCACTGCTGGAGTGCAGTCCGGCCACGCCACCCTCGACTCGATCCGCAGCATCTTGTACTCCTCCAGCAACCCGCGCGTCACCGTCTTCAACGGTCTTACGCCCGCCACCACGCGCACCGCGCTCTGGGGCTACTCCGGCGGGGCCTTGGCCTCGGAGTGGGCGACCGAGCTGCAAGATCAGTACGCCCCGGAACTCACCCTCGCCGGCGCGGCCTTGGGCGGCTTGACCCCGAACATCACCAACGTCCTGAACACCGTGACCGGCACCCTCTCCGCGGGCCTCGTCCCCGAGGCCATCCTCGGTATCGCCAGCCAGTACCCGGTCACCTACGACTTCCTGGTCTCGCAGCTGAACCCCACCGGCCCCTACAACCGCACCGTCTTCCTGGCGGCCAAAGGGCTGACCCTCGCCGAGGCGGAGGTCGTCTACGCCGGTCAGAACATCTACAACTATTTCGTGAATGGCAGCGACACCTTCCGCGACCCCCGCGTCCAGTACGTCCTCAACCGCGACGGCTACATGGGCTACCACGGCATTCCCCAGCTGCCCATCTACGCCTACAAGGCCATCCACGATGAGGTCAGCCCCATCCACGACACCGATGTGCTGCTGGCCCGCTACTGCGGGGTCGGCGCCAACATTCTGTACGAGCGCAACACCGTCGGCGGCCACTCGGCGGAGTCGGTCAACGGCCATGCCAGTGCTTTGACTTTTGTGGCCGCGGTGCTACAGGGTCGCTATGCTAGTTTGTACCAGACGGAGGGTTGTACCTTCCGCAATGTCACGGTGAATGTGACGGACTCTGCCTTGTAAAGGGGCGGGACGGGAGGAGGGTGTATAGTACGAACGAAGGGGAAGAATTATGTTGTATATGCTAATGCGGTGGATGGTAATCACGAAGGGAATCTTAATGATGCGCTATACTAATGAATATGAATATTATCAGTACATCGTACCTGACATCATAATCCATACTGTTGTCTGCACACTTGTAGGTAGCCTATCAAATGAGGTGGATGATGCCATTGAGCTGCGGTTGAGGAACCATTGAATACGAGGAATGGATGCAGGTGTATTCGACCGCAAAACGCCCATTCACCTACTTATTTTTTTCAAACTGATACACCCTGCAATATAAAAGTAACTCGTGAGAGGTAGTATTAGCTTGACTAACAACGGAATACCTCGCTCGTAAACGTCATTACGCGTCGGTTCTCCCCACAAGAGAAAGGAGAGCCTTGACGTCTTCAGCGTACCCTCTTTGGCCATGCGATCTACAACTTGCTCAAATCTGCGCATAGGACGAACTTCGAGCAAGAATATCTAAGCTATGGTTCATGTTATCATAATTGGGTCAACAGAGAGGACTATATCTTGGACCATCTTCTCCTCGATCGTTTTATCTGACGGTGACTGAACCTTAGGCGGTTCTTGGGCTTTTAGGGCAAATCGTACATAAGCTGCGTGATCAGGGAGGGTCAGGTAGTTAGACTCCGTGGGATGCACCCCGCACTGGGATACAAGTCGTGAAAACGAAGTCCCATGATGCAGAGATGGTACACATGGCCAACCTGGCATGCTAGATAGGCAGTGTAATGTAAGACCGACCCCGGAGTGCTCCCAGACGGATACTGTCCGCTCTGACAACCCAATAATTACTTTCGACAACGGGCAAAGTGGAATTTGTCCAGAGGGGGTTTTGATCGACTGTTGTGAATATACATCATAGTGGCAGAATAGTCGACACTGCATTATTCCATCGCATCTGACAAGCTAGCTTAGACTAAAGGGTTTCCTGCTGTCGGCTCCTCCATGCTCTTCCATTGGACTGTCTGCCTTAATCACCTTTTCATAGACAGTAAACTCACAGCCTCGGGAATCTGGTGTCTCTCCAACATCTAGACAACAGAAACAGAGTACGAAGATATCACTTACACTCGGTCGAGCCAGGCGAGGCGTGGTCCGTCGCCACAGCGACGTGATGCCCTCGTGACGAATCACCAGTTGTAGCGCACGTCCTCCAGACACATCAGTCGAACTGGATCATGGCCTTCACGCATCCGCACACCAAACTCTGGCTTGGTGGCAGAGCCTGAGGTTCTGGCTGTCGGATGATGGTCGAGAATCCCCAGAAGATGTTCGACTGGTGAGGTTGTACTTGATGGCGACAGCAGGAAGCATAGGCAATCTGACCGGGCCCATGCGCGACAGCTTACTCCTGGAGATTACTGAACATGAACTGTATTGGGCTTATTTCTCGAACCTTTCGTTCCACCAAGGCGACTTCGTAGACATGCTCAGGGTCTTGATGACCCCTTACTCATGCGAGGGAAAGACAAAGACATCAGGATATCATATTGGGGAACAAGCTTTCACGTAGAGCAGGCATGTTTATCCTCAAAATACCTACTTGATACTTGAGCTCTCACCTCTACACATCACAACATGGACCACATCCAGCTTGTAAGCTACCAGGGTCCAAATGGTATTCGGGGGATGCCACAACGCACCCGCATCCGACCTGGCCCATCGCGTCACCTTCACGGCCACATACCTACGACAACTTGGGTCTTCAAGCTCTCCACGGGCTCAGCTTCTCCTTGACAGTTGGACAGGCAATCAGGATGCTCGAGTGTCTTGGTTTCAAGAATTCCGACCGTGGAGCTGCCCGCAACCCGTTGTTGCTCGGATCGATCTGGGTGGCAGGTACAATGAGGTAGTCTCGTGAACGTGCATGCATAGAGCTTGCCTCAGGCACAAGAACACACTGTATTGAACACTGCATGTGCAGACACTTGCAGGGCAGTTTTCAATGGGATTGGATTTGTTGGGTGGAATGTCAAAAACGCGGAGTTCCGAGCGCGACCTGTACGAGAGATCTTTCAGTATACTTCCTGCAGACGTGTCCGTCTATGCCAGTCTACGAGAAGATTGAGTTCTGACAGAACGCCTCCGTATCCGCCAATGGTTAATCTTTGCGAGGTCGATTGAGGGGAGACTCGCATAGTGAAGACTTCCGGTGCAGCTGTGGCCAGGGCCGAAGCCCTAACCACCAACTGCAGATTGGCGTCGCTCTTGTTTGACAACCCATCTCGACTGTGATCTTGTTTAACCCCCTCATGAGACCCATACGAGTGTCAAGCACAGCAAAGGTCACGCAATAGATTGGGCCAAAGCGAACAGGTGCATGTGACTGTACAGTATGCCATCGACTGAGGCAGATAGCATCTTCCTCTCCGCTCTCTCCATGGAGATTACCGTCGGAGGAAGAAATCAAACGATCTCGTTCTAGACCGTTCATGCTCCAAACTTGCCAGCCAAGAGATTTCTTCTCTCGAATCACTCCTGCGCCGTTCGGTTATTCCGGTAACGAGCTAAACGGCACTATTGTCGCAAGTGCTGACATGGATTGCGCGGGATGCGACTCCGATCCCTGAAAGGATTGTTCGGTGCGTGGCAGACAAATGACTAGCCTACTATATAGCCATCAGGCGTCTATTGTCCCCACTGTTGACAATAATACGTGAGAGTCTGGTTAAGCATCGTGATATTGACGTGGTTCGGCTGGATGGCTCAATCCCTCAACAGAGGCCCCCCTACGCAGTACAGTACATATCGACCAAAGATAAGTGAACTACGGGAAGGCAATTTTATTCTAGAGCTAAGGGAACTGCTGTATGAGGCTAAGAAAGCATCCCACTGGAAGGGGGATGTTGGAGGGACAGATCCTGGTCAACAGGCCGGCCACTCGACCTGATGCAGGCAAAGGCGCCGGGACAATCTCACGTAGCGTCGCCCCGTTCCTGACATCAACTACGGAGTCGAGTGGAGCAAATCGCCATGAAACCAGTGGCATGCGAAAATTTCCCAGTCCAAATGTAAGCCAGCCGTTGGAGATCCGGGCGGCGAACCGAGCGACAAAGCTACACTCCCAGATCGTGGATTGAGTTGGGACGGAGTATTTAATCCACAGTCACCCGGAATTGACAGTTCACTTGTGGGGAGATCTTGACATATTTGACCCCTTCGACCTTAACATGCATTCCGCGTCCTTTCTCTCAGTGCTGGCCATCGCGACCGGGGCGATTGCAGCGTCGGTGCAGACAGTGCCTGACGAGCTTGCCACCATTGGAGACCCGTCGGAGATCCTGAATGTCTCCTATGCTGTTGGCTCGAGCAGCATCGAGGTGACCCCGGGCGTGCATTTGAACTCATCTGGTAAAGCAGTCCTTCGGCTTGCATCATGGACCATGAATTGACGAAACCATCTAGTCACCCACAATGCACCCACCGTGCATTTGAATGAGACCTCTCTCAGCGGCAGCGGGCCCTACCTCTTCATGATGGTCGACCCGGACATCAACACGACCAACCCATTGTACGTGGGGATGCACACGATGGTGGTCAACCTGACGACCAGCGGCAACACCTCTGCGGAGGATGCGGTCTGCTCCTACTTTTACCCCGAGCCCACCGCGGGGGCGGCGCACAACTACACCTTCTTCCTGTTCAAGCAACCCGCCAATTTCACCATCCCCAAGCAGTATGCACCCTACCTGGCCACCACCTCGAAGACGCCGTACAACCGGATCAACTTCCCCTTGGTCGAATTCGTGAAGAAGACCGCTCTAGGAGAGCCGGTTGCGGCCAACTACTTCAAGGAGGCGGCTGAGAGCAACGCGACGGCGACCAGCTCTGGCTCCAGCAATGCCAGCACAGCGACCAGCACGGCCACGGGAAGCGCCGCTACAAGCACCCACGAGGGGGCGGCTGCGACAGTGGGTCAGAGTGGTTCTTATCTGATGAGCGTGTTGGCGGTGGTGGGTGCGCTGGTGGCCGCCGTATAGGAGTCAGTATGCGTAGAGAGTGGGGGGGGGAAGACAGTCCGATTGTACCATTATTCTTAAGGAGATTAGAGACAGGGAGGAATTGCAACGTCGGTCATTTGACTCGAGCAAATCAAGTGTTATAACTGAGAAGACTAACTAAGTTAAAGGAGGTGTGAGTGGAGAGGCCAGTCGCCCTGAGCGACGGACGGGGTTTGTCTGGTGTTGGGGCTAATGCAAACTAACTTAGCCCTGGTTCGTCCTCTTACAATAGTCAGTCCTATGCACCAGTCCTCTTAACCCTGCCACAAAAGCCACCAAGGCTTGTCCCAACACGAAATGTCTTAATCCTGTGCTCAAGGGTCCCCGGAATGCAGTCGACCTTTGGCAAATTGCCTACGGAGTCATTTTCACGCCATCCTGTCAAACTCAAACATCTCCTCACGGCACGACCGTACGACATCCCATGGCCGCCTTTTCTCTTTTCCCGAGGAATTCCTGTACTGGCACATTCCCCGAATTGATTTGGAATTCCAATTTGCCTTCTCAAGGGCAGGAATGCCTTGTGGAGCACCGCAGCCATGGCCAATGGAGCGCTTTGGCCCCCAATTGATCCCCTCTGGGCAACCCACGAGCCAGAGTTGGGGACAGCCTCGAACAAGGGGCCGGGCCGTGCGGATACAGTGCTCCGTCCTGTAGTATAGTGACTGAGTAGTTACTGAGGAGTTACTGAGGAGTTACTGGGTAGTTGCGCCATCCCTCGATCCCTGTCGCTCGGCAGTGCTCACTCTCGTATCATAACTCCTGTAGCTACTCCGTAGTCCTGCAGATTAATCCCCCGTCTAGCAATCATCATGTCTACCTAAGACGCATGATTCCTGATTACTCCTGCAGCCCTCCGGAGGGGGGAGGGGGCCAGATCTGGTCCCCCCCCCCCTTCCCCCGACTCGTTAAAATCCAAGGACCTCCCATTTTCCGGTTGGTCAGGCAGTCTGAAGAGTTGTGATTGTGCAACCGGAGCCATGGCCGCTTCTTCGTCTCTGACAGCCGCGCAAGAGGCTGCTTGGTCCCAGTCTCGCCAGCCGGCCATCCTGGGGGTCGTCATCACGATGCTAATTCTGGGCAACATTTCTGTCCCGATGCGGTTCTGGGCGCAGTGGCGCATCCACAAGCGGATTCTGCTGGAGGACTACTGTCTCGTGGTGGCCTTGGTGTTTGCCAACATCGTCTCCGCCGCCCTGCTGGTGGCCTGGTATAATGGGTTCGGATTACATACCTGGCGAGTCGAGATGGAGGATCGGACCATGGGACACTTACGGAATATCCTTCTAGTGAGTGACCCATCATTCCCGTCGTTCTCTACCATTCCTAACGCGATCTCTGTCGGTCTGGGTCACAGAGTTTCTGGATCACCGCCGTCTTCAACGGTCCCTCGCTCTTCGCCACCAAATTAGCCCTACTCTTCTACTACCGGCGCTTGTTCGTCATCTACCAGCGCTGGATCCGCATCGCATGGTGGTCCAACCTCATCTACGTCTCACTATGGGTGGTCGGATCAACCACCTTCTATATCTTCCAGTGCCTGCCTGCGAACTACTATTGGGAGCGTGTCGACCCCTCCTCGACCATCACGCACGGCGCCTGCCCGCACAGCACGAACATCATCGGCGTGCCGCTCATCCTGAATATCCTGTCCGATGTGACCATTCTTCTGCTCCCGGTCATCACGGTGTCCACGCTGCAGATGCGGATGGCCCGCAAGCTGGGACTGGCTGCGGTTTTCTCGGTTGGTGCAGCGTGAGTCTCCCCTGAACCCATCCACCTTGCCTTGAATGCTAGCTGTCTAACACCCTCGAAATCAGTGCCTCCGCCAGCGCCATCGCGCGGGTCCTCGTCCTCGAGATCGGCACCGACGTGCAGTCAGACGCCACCTACAACACCGCCCCCTTCGAGGTGCTCTGCGTAGTGGAGCTGAATCTCGCCATCGTCTGCACCTGCGCCGTCCCCATCGCCTCGTGTCTCCGCATGGCGCGCGCCAAGCGTCCCCGCCAGACCGATGGGTACGAGATGTACGGCAAATCCTCGCAGACCGGCCGCAGTGCCACCAAAACGCATCTCTCGACCATCGCGGCCCACGACAACGCGGCCCTGGGTCGGTCGATGAGCACCGAGCAGCTGCATTACAGCACCGCGACGACGAGCGTCGAGACCAAGGAGGAGGGGCGGTGGGAGAGTGATTCCGCCGATGCGCATCAGATTATGGTCAAGGTGGATGTGGATGTGAGATAAGAATGAGACTTTATTTATTATACATACGCTTTTTTTTTTTTTTTTTTTTTTTTTTTTCAGCAGGGAAAGGGATTTTCATGACACTCGACGGCATCTTAGCATTAACTTATCGCATAATTGAAAACAACTGCATGACTAGTCCACCCTGGTGGCACACCACCACAACATGCGCAGATTCTCGTCGGCGAAGGGGGCATGACGGTTCTGCTCGATCTCCTCGGCCATGTACAGCCCGGCCTCGACCCTCCAGCGCGTGTTCGTGGCCACCCCCACATCGTACCAGAACCCCTTGATGGATTCGACGTTGTGCCGGTAATGCGTCGCCGTCGGGTCCTTGACCATTCCGGTCATCGCGTGCTCGCCGGCCAGGATGCTTCCCATCTGCCGGCCCGCGATGATCGTCCCCTTGCCCTGCTGCTGCTGCTGCTGCTGGTCATCACGACAGAGCCGCACCAGCCGCGTGGCGACCCGCAGCTGCGTCTGGTAGTTCCACATATGGAAGAGCGAGCTGGCGAAGACGACAGAAATCCGGCCCCGCAGCTTCTGGGCAATCTCCCCGGCTTCGAACTCCTGGTCGTTCTCCGTCGCCAGGTCGCCCGCGGCAAAGGTCGCCTGGAAGCGATCCTCGTCCCGAAAGAGTTGGTACCCGAGCGAGATGAAAATCTGCTCGAGGTCGCAGCCGTACAACTGGGTGCTGGGGATGCCTTGATCGGCTAGGTAGCGCAGTTCCTGTGCAAAGCAGCATCCCGCGTCGAGGAAGCCCGCGGTCGGGTCGTGGCGCAGGTGCTCCAGTACCTGGGGGTAGAAGGGGAGGTGCTGCAGGTTGAAAGAGAGGAAGCGCATCTGGCCGATGCAGGCGTACTGATAGACCTCGAAGGCTTCATTGCGCTGGGGGAGGTGGGAGGCGGGTTGGAGGTTAGGCGTGGGGAGTTGGTGGTGATGGCAGCAGAGGGGGGGAGGCAACTCACCACTGATACGACATGCGGAATGACTTCTTCGGGCTTCATTCCGCTGTAGCTCTCTAGCACGCGCTGCGCATCGGGGTTGATGCTCTCCACGTGCTCCTGGAACCAGGAGGGCTTGGGGCGCGATTGACCGTCGGTGGACATCGTGGGGGCTGAATTGCAGAGAGATAGAGAGTCCTGCGGCAGCGAAGAGAGACGAACGGAAGGATGCCGATCGAGATGCCAGAAGAGGAGATAAAAGAGGGCGACGAGGGACCAAATCTCCACTCGGGACAGAGAGGGGGAGGATCTTAGTCGATTGCAACGTGGCTGAGTGTGTCGTAGTGTCCTCTTAGTGCAGATGTGTTATGCCTCTCATTTTCCGGATTAGGGCTTAGCTGAAGCACTGCGCAATCCTGGCCGAGCACTAAATCCTTCCATTCTTCACGCCATTAAGCCATGGCCAACTCTGCTCCGATCTATGCTGATAGGCCCATGACAGCCTCGCCTTATCACCGGTACGGAGTAGCTCCTGACTCTTGCAGCCACTGATTGCAGGTACGCTGCTTCTCTGCACTCTGCACGAGTTTTTCTTCACCACTATCGTGGCCCCCAGTGAAAATTTTCCAGTCCCACCGCGATGTTGAGGCCAGCTATACCCTTCTGAATTCTCCATTTCTTTCTTCTTGTTGCCTGTCCTCCCCGCAACCCCCCTGGCAGAGATCCAGGGATCCCAAAATATCCCTGCAATTCCCCACAGAGATCATTCCTAATGCATCCAACGGTGCCAACCACCCGGGCCAATGGACATGGCCTGTCCACGTCCTCAATTGAGGATGAACCCACGAGTCTACCGGCTATCCTCACAGCTGCCGCCCAAAGCCCGACAGGAATCTGCATCTATGCGCCTGGTCAGGTGGCGGGGAGTCCAGCACGATTGAGCTACGCCGATCTTGCTCGGCGCGCCCACGAGGATGCGTGCGTACTGCTCAATCACATCCACGACCAGCCCGTGGTGCTCATCCACTTGGACAACCATGCGGACAACATCCGCTGGTTCTGGGCGGTGGTCTATGCCGGGCTGCTCCCGGCCATGTCGACGCCGTTGTCGCAGAACGCCCCGCAACGGGCTCAGCATCTGCAAGACCTGCAGGAACTGCTCGAAGCCCCCGTCGTCCTGACCTCCGCAGGTCTGCTCGCTCAATTCCCCGAGCTCACGCAGCCGCGCACCCTGACCATCGAGCAGTTGGGTCACGCCGATCCCAGGCGTGACGCTACGGCGGAGCGAGCGCCACCGCAACCGCGTCAGGGCGATGCGCCGGCGGTGCTGATGCTAACCTCCGGCAGTACCGGCCCTGCAAAAGCCGTCTCTCTGACGGTGCCGCAGATGGTGGCTGCTCTGCGCAGCAAGAGCCGGGCCGAGGCGTACACCCATCGCTCGGTCCTGTTGAACTGGATCGGGCTGGACCATGTGGCCAACCTGCTGGAAATCCACTTGAACGCCATCTTCACCGCAACGGAGCAGGTGCAGGTGCAGGCGCGAGACGTCCTCACCGATCCCTGGGTGTTGCTCCGGCTCATCGAGCGCCATCGCGTGTCTCACACCTTTGCGCCCAATTTCTTCCTGGCGCTGCTGCGGCAGCGGATCGCCGGGGAGGAAGGTCGTGACCCACCCCCGGCCATCGATCTGTCGTCGCTGCAGGCCATTGTCACTGGCGGCGAGGCGAATGGGGTTGAGCTGGCTGCAACGCTCACTCGCCAGTTGCAGCGGCTCGGGGTGGTCGACCCCGTCCTCTGCATCGCCTACGGCCTGACCGAGGCCTGTGCCGCGCTCACCTATGGCAGGTTCGACGCCTTGTCTGAAGCAAAGGAGGGCCACGAGTTTGCCTCCGTCGGCACGCCCGTCGACAACGCCAGGGTCCGGATCCAGACCGCGACCGGGGTCCCCGCGTCCTCTCTGGAGATCGGGGAGGTCCAACTGTCTGGACCGGTGGTCTTCCGCCAGTATTATCGCCATCCTGCAGCCACGCAGCGCTCCTTCACGTCGGATGGTTGGTTTCGCACCGGTGACCGGGGTTACTGGGATGCGGAGGGCCGACTCCATCTGGCCGGACGCGACAAGGAGATTCTGGTCATCAATGGGGTGAACTACTCGCCCCAGGAGATCGAGACGGTGCTCGAGTTGGCGCACATCCCGGGTCTGGTGCCCTCCCACTTCGCCGTCTTCGCCCATCGCCCCTCCGGCAGCGACACCGAGGGCTACTGCGTGATCTACAGCCCGGCCCACCCCGTCGCCGACCCTGTGTCGCGGGATGCCACCGCGGAGAGGGTCGCCAGCATCGCCAGCACGATCCCCCATGTGCGGCCCAACTGGGTGATCCCCGTCCCCGCGACGCGTCTGCAGAAATCCTCGTTGGGCAAACTCTCGCGCACGAAGCTGCAGACCGAGTTCCTGGCCGGGGTCTTCGACGCCAACATGATCCGCTCGCAGGGGCCCATCCACTCGGCCGGCCCCGCGAGGCGCATCGCCCCCGCCACCCCGACCGAGGAAGCCATTGTCACCGTGCTGGAAGAGATGCTGGAAGTCCCTCGCGAGGTGATCTCCGTCGACCAAACCATCTTCGCGCTGGGGGTCACCTCGGTGACGCTCTTCCGGTTCGAGCAGCTTCTCCGCGAGCGGTTAGGGTTCGCCGCGGGGGTCTCGCTGATCACTTTCCTCAACAGCCCCGTCGTGCGCAACATCGCCGACACCATCGACCACGCCACCTCCACGCAATACAACCCGGTCGTGCCCCTGCAGCCCCGCGGCGATCGACCGCCGCTCTGGCTGGTGCATCCGGCCTCGGGCAACGTGCTCGCCTTCCTGCCGCTGGCGCGCACCCTGACCGACCGGCCGCTGTACGGGCTCACGGCGCGCGGCCTGGGCGACCACGGCCAGCTGTTCGCGAGTATCGAGGCGATGGCCGACACCTACTACACGCACGTCAAGCGCACGCAGCCGCACGGCCCCTACGCGCTGACGGGCTACTCGCTGGGCACCACCGTGGCCTTTGAGCTGGCCAAACGCCTCGAAGCCAACGGGGATCACGTCGCCTTCTGCGCCGCCCTCGACTCCCCCCCGCACATTATCCCGCTGGTCCAGCATCTCGACTGGACGCGCGCCGCCATTCGCGTCACCTACTTTCTGGGCTTGATCCCCCAGGAGGCGATTCCTGCGTACGAGGCCGAAATGGCCCACCTGTCGCGCGACCAGGTCATCGCGCGCTTGCTGGCCGTTGCCCGCCCCGCGGAACGCGCCCGTCTCCACCTCACGGCCGAGCAGCTGACGGCCATCGTCTACGTCACCGACAACTTTGGCGAGATGGGCCGCCAGTACGAACCGTCGGGGACGGTGCGGAAGATGGACGTCTTCCACTGCATCCCGCTGCAGTCGGTGTGTGCGGATCGGGGGCGGTGGGTGGAGGAGTATTTGAGCAAATGGCAGGATTTCTCCAGGGAGGAGATTGGCTGGATTGAGTGTGAGGGAGACCATGCAGACATGCTGAATCCGCAGTATGTGGAGGGGTTTGAGCAGCGGTTGAGTCGGGTCTTGCGCGAGAGAGGGTTGTAGCGGTTGTCGTGGTCATGGGTTGAGGATATGGCAACTTGATTGGGAGTTCCAGACTTTTGTTTCCCAGCTAGGTCTCATCTATGTTGAATTGCGCTTGTTCATGATCTGGAGGTAAAATGTACTTGTTGATGTCGGGATACATACATGCATATTCGATTAGAAGAAAGAAAAAAAAGGTCGTGCCCGGGATCGAACCGGGATTACAGGAATCAGAATCCTGGGTGCTAACCATTACACTACACAACCTGTTGCTGTGATACTTGGCGCAATGTAATGTTACATGTACATTTGTGTATACTGGGACACTGAGAAATCTGCATCTTCCTCTTTCTTCCTAGTCATTGACAAAAACTTCTGCACCTGCAGGCCATCGGCTCACAGGAGTGTTTGAAACGGTCAAGCCCACCGCACACACATGCACACTACTTTATGCCGTCTTTATGCATCCCCTAGGCGATGCCTCTGGCTATGCCCTGGCGATGAGATGGAGAAGAGAACAGGGGCGAACATGTCTTAAGCTCGAGCCCTACGCCTTGGCTTCCACAGTAAATCGGTGCCAACCAGGCCGCCAGGGGTCTCAAACCATCTGGAACACCAAGCGTAGGGAATATACAAGTCAACCCTTGCGGACCGCGCGGGATTCCCAGCGCATCGGGATTGATTCCTGTCCGGAGAACCCTTCTTGTCATCTTGGCACCCAGAAGAGTCCTCGTAATAAGTTCCTGTCCATAATCTGCCGCTCTGTCGGTGTCAAGCTGCGACATGCCAAGTTCTTGGCAACGATGATGGGTCCCTTGGCCGCCCAATACAATATGGAGAGGTGGAAGGGGGAGGGGGGGATATAGGAATAAGGGTGTTGTTGAGTCGCGAGTATAAATCAGAGCCTGCGGCTCAGCGTCTCCCGATAAACACCACCAGAAACCTCCCATCACTCCCAAATACAACACAATGCGTGCATCTATCGCTGCAGTCCTGACTGCTCTGCTGCTGGGCCAGGTCGACGCCGCCGGAGTCACGGGGACTGCCTTTGGCTTTGCATCTGGAACCACCGGAGGAGGCAGCGCCGCCGCTGCGACGCCATCCAGTCTCGCGCAGTGAGTGTATTCACGTAGGATCTGTGACTCAAGACTGATGGCAGTGAACAGACTCAAGGAATGGATCACCGACAATGTCGCGCGCACCATCATGATCGACCGCGAATGGGATTTCACCGGCGCTGAGGGCACCACCACCGGCAAGTGCTGCAGCACCAGCACAACCACCTGTTCCGGGGGTACCTCTAAGGGACAAGCCTGGATCCAGGACACCTGCGACCAAGGCACCTGGATCAGCTGCACCTACGACAATGCCGCCAAGTCGCCCCTTAATGTGGGCAGCAACAAGAGCATCGTGGGGGTGGGCAGCAAAGGCGTCTTGAAGGGCAAGGGTCTGCGGGTGCGCGGAGGGAACTCCAATGTGATCATTCAGAACATTCACATCACGGTTTGTGCATCCTCATGCTGTCACCAGCCCGGCTGATAACTAACCCCGGCCCAGGACCTCAACCCTCAGTACGTCTGGGGCGGTGATGCCATCACACTGGACGGGGCGGACAAGGTCTGGATTGATCATAAAAAGGTCAGTTTTGCCCTCTTCTCGCCTTGCAAGCATTGCAATACTTACTAACTAAACCCCCAGTTCTCCCTCATCGGCCGCCAGATGATCGTCAGCGGCTGGAATGCGGCTGGCCATGTCACCATCTCCAACAACGAGTTCGACGGGGTGACCTCGTGGTCGGCCAGCTGCAATGGCAAGCACTACTGGACGCTGCTCCTGCTGGGGGCGGCGGACTGGTACACTTTTGCCGGAAACTGGCTGCACGACGTCTCCGGCCGCGCGCCGCACATGGGGACCGACTACGACGCCTCCAAGATCTACTTCCACGGGGTCAACAACTACTTCCAGAACGTCGGCGGCCACGCCTTCGACGTCGACACCAACATCTGGCTGCTGCTCGAGGGCAACTACTTCGATGCCGTCACCACCCCGATGACCGACAACTCGCTGACCAGGGGCGGCCAGCTGTATACCACCACCACCGTCGCCTCGGCCAGTGACTGCCTCGCCCAGCTGGGCTATCTCTGCGAATGGAACCGCGCGAGTGGCTCCGGCACCTGGCCGGATCGTACTGACAGCGCAGTCCTGGCCCAGTTCGCGAACTATAAGCAAGACCTCATCGGGCACACCGGGGTGGCGACTGTACCGGCGAATGTGACTGCTCATGCAGGTGTGGGCAGGTTGTAAGCCCGGGGCTGGGCTTGGTTGTACGCTAGCTATTCCGCTCATTCAATATCGCACTTAATACAAGACTCGCGCTTTACTTTTGACCAGTCTGACTACCCACATTTCCGAATGCATGAGAAACCCACAGTAGACTGTGATCCTGAACCCTCCCGGCGGCAGGCTGAAGAGGGATGTCATGGTGAATTACGGTATCAGAAACCAGCACCATACAATCCATTGACTTCTACCGAGATAAACCGCATCCAACCCGTCAGTCTACTCCAGCTTGCGGAAGCCCATCTCCTCCCACTTCGCGCGCACCCGCTGCTTGAGCTCCTCCGGGTACGAGTTCTCAAAGTCGGCCGCCTCCCAGTCGGCCCCGGTCGTATATTCCGACGGCATGAGGGCATCAGAGACCACCTTGCCCCCCTGGACGGGTGAGCCGGTGCCGTGGCCCATGTACGGAATCAGCGGGAACCCGCGCACCTCGTCGAAGAAAGTCTCATCGGCGTGGGGCCGACAGCGCGTGGAAAAGGCCCACAGCACCTCCTTGCCATTATACACATCAATATCGTCGCCGACCAGCACCAGCCGGTGGATCGTGTAGCCCGCCTTGTGGTTGAACACCACCTCGCCCACCTTCTTCTGAAACTCCTTGGCGGTCACCTTCATCCCGCGCAGCTGGGTGGTGTCGATCTGCAACGCCACCCAGGTGACCTGCGACTCGAAGGGCGCAAACGCCTCGGTGACGGGCAGCCCGGCCTGCTGGCAGACCTTGCGGATCTCCGCCGCCGCCAGCGCGCCGATTAGAGTGTGGGTCTCGTCAGTCAAGCGGCCGCAGGCGGACATAGGGAGGATGGGGTGGGAGCGGTAGGTTATCTTGTGGACGGTGTAGACCGGCCCCTGGTGGGTGTCGCCCGGGAAGACGTAGCCGTGCATCTCGCCGAAGGGGCCCTCCGCGGCGCACTCGCTGATCGACAGCGTCCCCTCCAGCACGATCTCGGCGTTGGCCGGCACGTACAGCCCGTTGGTGTCGCACTTGACCAGCTCGAGCGAGCGACCCGTCATGGCCCCCACGTATCCGGCCTCGCTGACCCCGTCGGGGATGGGCATCGAGGAGGCCATGATCGCCGCCGGCGGCACCCCGAACGCCAGCGCCCACGGCACGTCCTTGCCCTCCTGCTTCCACATCTGGTGGATCTGCCAGAGGTGCTGCGGCTCGATCACCAGCCCCACCAGGTGGTTGCGGTCGAGCACCATGGCGCGCGCGATGGACCAGTTGGTCCACCTTCCGTCGGGGGACTGCACGACGTGCATGCCGTAGGTCTGCAGGTATTTGCCGCCGTCGGACTGGTGGATCATGGGCACGGGCAGCTTGGTCAGGTCGATCTCCTCGCCGACGAGCGAGTGTTCCTTGACCGGGCCGGTGGCCACAATGGTCGGCTCGATGGGGGGCATCGTGCTGGCGGAGAGCATCTTGTCGAGGATCTCCTTCATGCTGGCCGTCGGGGGCAGGGCCAGATGACGCGCCAGACGCCCGTAGCGGTCTTTCTGGGATTTGCGCAGAGAGCCCGGGGCGCCCAGAATGCGGAACAGGCCGTGCTTGCCCATGCCCTTGAGGTTGTTGAACAGGGGCGCCTTGTCGTCGGTTTCGCAGACGAGACGAGTGATGGCTGCGGCTTCGAGATTGGGGTCCACCTCGGTGTTGATCTCGACCAGGTCGCCGTCCGCCTTCAGGGCCTCGACGAAGGCGCGAAAGGAGTGATCGACGGAGGATTGGGATGCCATGGTTGCTTTGTGAGTTAGTGAGGTTGTAGTAGAGTGGTGAGGATGTGTGGTATTGATGGGATATCGGTGGCTTGTAAGGAGGCTGGCTCTTTATATACGTTAAGGAAGGAAGCTGGATCCAACATCTGCACTCCTGAGTTCCGATAGCATGCGATTCCAGTAGACTCGGCGCCCCATAGTTGAAACAGTTACGCGTCGGGATGCGGACACTCGGAAGTTCGGGGTGTTGCCAGAGACAGACAGCCCAGCTCGCGGTGATAAAGTATAGATGGAATCGACTCTGATATTGTTCTGCTCGGGTAGTTCGGCTCGTTTGTCTCTGGGTATAATGGTGATTGATTGCTGTGCTGATTGGTGAGTGCAGGGTCCCCCCGGAGTTTCATGTACATCAACCGCAAGGCTGGTATGTGTCCAGGCAGTAGGCAAGCACCGAAAGATCGTCAGCCACCGGTATAACGTGCAGCTTCTATTCTATATTCGGCATGCCATGATGGTTCGGGATCCTCAACGGCTGTGGCGGCCGGCTTCGGTTTCTTCGGTCTCTCGGAGCCTCGGGTGGCTTCCAGACTGGTTTCTGCCATAGACATGATTGGCACCAATTGCACAAGGCTTGTCTCAGTCGGGGTTCAGCAGGGGTCCCAAGGTGTGTGAAAGAACATGGTTGCTTTTCGTCCATGCGTGGCATGTGAGTATCAAAAAGGTCCCATTGAAGTACATGCTTGACTGTCCTGTTGATTGTTGGATAGAGAAACTCCATTTAGGCATAAGTAAACTAATGATTCCGCATACCAAGGAAAGAGATTTAAGGTCGACAACGACGACGACGCCGAGGGTTATCCAACACAGCAGCAGGCAAGCCAGCCAGATATCCCCTCAACGTGGCCGCCCCATGCACTCAAAGATGCTCTTCGGACAGCGCTCGTTCCTAATCCGCTCGATACAGTGAGGTCAAGGGAGACCCACATGATTGTAGATGTGGCATATCACAAAAAACGACAACAGTCGGATTTGAACCGACGCCTCCGAAGAGAATAGATTTCTAGTCTATCGCCTTAGACCGCTCGGCCATATTGTCTTTGCTGCCTGGTTTCCACTGAGTTTTGGTACCATGTACCAAACTCCAACGCGAAGTTGCCTACAGGGTAGGCATCATGAAAGATAAAAGGCACGGTCAGTCCTGCCTGCCGATACTGGGCCTTGACATAGGCCATGTACTCCTTCTCTAGACACGAGGTATTGATGCTGGTGATGGGGAGATTGTTCATCTTCGAGATCGCTCGAGGTGTAGATGGTAGGGAAATGGCTTTCGGTTGCGGAGACTATGTTGTAGACGACCACGAGGAATCACATATCAAGATCCCGGTCCTACTTATGCTACGAGCTTTGGATGTCTAAGCTCGAGCTCAAGGGTCGTGTGCGCCGAAACCTCTACGTCAATATGCTCCGCCGAGCGACAGAAGGAATCATCCCCCGAGCTGCGTGGGTGGGATGATGCACCAGGCTTTGCCCCACGCAGATCTAAAAGTCGGCGATGGCCTGAGTCGACCTGCTCGGCGGATGTAGGCTTGACTCTGGGATCTCTACCAAACAAGTGCCGGTTGCGGGAGGTGATATAGAGTTGGCGGAAGGATGCGGCGCAGGCGACCATAACCGCTGCCATGAAGAGAAGGATCGTCAGGATGGTTGACCACAGGTGCAACAGAAAGAGGATGAGAGTCGATGAATGGTAAAAGAAAACTGCGAACCAAGATCACGTACCGGCTCCCATCTCCATTGACGACCAGAAGTAGAACCAGGAGATGTCCATAGTCTGGCTGTAGTCGACGCCCAAAATCACGCGTACGAGAGCGATCGCCATGATCACTACTGTGATGAGGAAGAAGCACAGCAGGACTAGCTTTTGGCGCTGGGGGAGCTGGGTTTCCCATAGGAGAAAAATCGGCACGGAGAGAACTGGTGTTTTGTATGAGAATCGAGAATCAAGAGATTATGGATATAGAACGGGATCAACATACTGAGAAGGTCGGTCAAGATGTCTCCTGCGCAGCTGATGTAGATTATCTGATTGTCTTTATGGATATGGCCGGTTGAGCCGCAATGGGCTGTGTGTTTTGGTCAATAAAGTACTTGCATCACATGCCCTGTTCGGAGAGGATGGTAGGACTTACTCATGATGTAGGAAGTATCGTTGATGAGGCACCGATAATCGATAATCCCGATGCAGACAAACCACCAGGCGACGGTGAAGCCAAAAACAACCCACCACCAGATCCGATGAGTGCGCATTTTCCCGCCAAGCGTGTAGAAAAAGGACAAAAAGGAGAGCTTGACCAGCCAGAGTCCTGAATAGAATAGAACGAGCCAAGCTACCATATAGCCCTGCAGGTGTAGATAGGCATCGAGAAACTCCAGCGTCGGCAGTACTTGACCCCCAAAGACGGGCGAATAATGATACAGCACTGGCCCTTCGACCTGCCACATCACAGCAGTGGCCACCGTGGTGATCCACGCGGCGACGACGAGTGCATCATCGAGAAAGAGTCTTCGGTAAGTCAACAAGCGGACGTAGAGACGGAAGATGATGAAGCAGGAGGCGAGAGCACTGAAGGTCCACAGGGTAGCTATGAATCTTGGAAACGAGATATGGGTGCCTTGTGCCCCTAAAGAAAGTGTGGATGTAGCCATTGTGGGTTGAAGTGATTCATGTTCTCGTTGCACAGGCCCTGGAGAGGGGATCTTAAGCATTCTCCAAACTAGCTTGATTATTGTTATCTGGAATGCAGTGGGCTGACTGCAGTTATTGCAAGGCGGAGCATTCTTGCATTTTGGCCCCATGCACCAACTTGATAGTTGGTTGGTAGTGTAGCTGACATCCATAACTACTTACATAACTACAGTAGTTACCATAACTAAGCTAAGCCTCGGTTCAGTTCGCTTCAGCCCCCAATACTTTAGTGGTGGCATTGCTGAGAGTGCAGAATGTTGAAGATAAGCATGATTGCAACCCACTCCAAGAATCATCGAGCTCGATTTCAGCCCTCGATAGTACTCCTAGGGATTGGTCTCCATGCGACTGGCAAGTGCGTCAACCATTCTGTAGCCATTCTAATTCTCACTTTTTATCTTCATCAGAAAATAAGAAGTATCAGATCCTTCTATTTCTCTACCAGAATGCTCACTGTAGATATCCACACAACAACCTCTTACTAAGATACAGAGCTTTATTTGATAAAATGAGATGTAGGAATCTTCTGATTCCTGTCTTGTCCGCTTAAGTGTTCCATTTCCTGGTTGGGAAATACTTCAACTGTCCAACCACAATCTAATACCATCCCTCGAGGTAATATCGTTGAAAAGATTGGAAATATTTCTTGTCAGGTGATCCACTCCACCAGTAGGTCTTTCGTCTGGTAAAGAGATTTCTGTATCCTTTTTTTCTGTCCTTTTTAGATGTCTTTCTAATCAAATTACCAGCCTTACCTAGACTTGCTTACAAGCATTATGTGAGTTCATCCGGTAGAATATTTTGCAAGTCTGAATAACTAGTCCCAGTTGTATTTTTATTCTCCTAATCAACATCAGACGCCCGTAACCTATACAGGAATTAGATCTAAATGCAGGCGTTGTGGTTGTATATACTCGATAGACTATCTAGAACATAGATATAGACTAAGTCAACAAGAGTGGACCACCAGAGGTTGAGATAGGCATCAGATGAGTAGTCAAATTAAACTTTGACCTGTCTGGATCATCGATCCAGGTCTAGACGCATGACAGCATCATACATGAAGCAGTTGTCCTATGGAATGCCGCATGCAGAAACAAATCCCAACAATATCGACATGTTGACTTCAGATCACGCAAATTTCCGATCACGCAAACAGTGCCCCACTCACTCTAGCCTTTGTTCTGTACAATGGCAACGCAAACGGTCAAGACGGTGAAGATATACTACGGACCGCGGAGTCTGTCGAGTGGATGAGGTAATGATCACATAAAACTCGATATTCGGATGTAACCTCAATGGTTGTGGTTGTGCCTCTTTGCATATAAAACCCTCATACCATTCTTTCATCTCAGTAAGTACATATCAAGACCAGTAATATTTGTCGTCTGTCATACAACAAGCCCTACCATCCAGTAACACCCAGACGAATAGCAATTGAACCCACCATGGTCGACGCAGCCTACTATCACCCTGCCTTCAAGCAGACCTACTTCTTCGGCGGGCGCCGCTACGCCCGCATCAAGTTCACCCCCGGCAAGAATGACGACGAGATCACCTGGGGACCCTCCAAGATCGACGAGCGCTGGCCGTCCCTGACGTCTCTTGGCTTCGGCACTGTGGACGCGGTCTTGCCGGTCGAGGGGAGCCCCGACGAGACCTACGTCTTCCACGGCAGCCGCTTCGCACGCATCAAGGTGGTGCCTGAGAGCAACAATGACACCGTGGTCGATGGGCCGTGGGTGATCACAGACAAGCTCAAGAGTCTCGCCGCTGCCGGCTACGACACGATTGACGCCGCGCTGCCGGTGCCGGGCAAGCCCGGAGAGGTCTACATCTTCCGTGGCACCAACTATGTCCGCATCAACCTCGACCAGGATAAGACGGTGTATGGTCCGGCCAAGCTGTCCGTCGAATGGCCCGCCCTCACCAAGGCTGGGTTCGATTCCGTCGACGCGGCCTTCCCCGTGCCGGAGGACAAGAACGGATTGGCTTACTTCTTCCGGGGAGATCAGTATGTGAAGCTGAAGGTTATCGCGTCTGCTCCCGATGTGATCAATTTCGGACCCAAGCCGATCAAGGATTATTGGAAGTCGCTGGATTGGATCTAAAAGCCTCTGTGCTTGCCCCGCTTGTTTCGGCTTGCCTAAGGAATGAACAACCTAGTATCTTGTCGAATCGATTAATGATGATAATGGGAAAAGCGTTTGTCTTTCTTCAGTTTGTGCAAGTTTAATATGTGTACCGTAGTACCTGCATTCCTACCTACTTGTATCAATTTGTCGAATCATTGATGCCAAGTAAACGTATCTCAAGTCCGTTAACTCCGGTATCGCCGACACGACGTCCTCCGGCGGTATTCCTGTTCTCATTGTCTGCGCTTTTAAGAAAAACAGCCCTCAAGAGCGAGATCTCCATCAGCAACACAAGCAATATGCACTGGGAGTTTGTGAACAGCCACGATGCCGTCTCAGCCACCACTCGAAAGCGCATTCGAAGCCATGTGGCGCGCGGCAAGAACGCAGGCAAAAAGCTCTCTCGTCCGTCCCGACTGAGCAAGGCTCATCCCATCCCAACCAGACTCTGTATCCCTGCCCTCGTTCACAAGCAAAGAGCCTATGAGAATGAGAATGATAAATATTACATTGAGAGGCCCATCACAGACGGTCTCGCCTTCCCCGTGGAGCTAGCTCCCCAAACTCGCCAGATCGCACAGAAGGGCATGTGCGAAGAGCAGCCTGCACACAACTTAGACACGGTGCTGATAGTCTCTAGCCTTCGATTTTCTACGTGATCTGCGCGGTGCTTCTGAATTGTTTCACATTGTTGAACTGCCAAGCGCTCCCATGATCTGGGTCCAGTACATGTTCATGGATGCTGCTTGTGAGTGTCCCACGAGGCCAACTGACCCCTATAACAGCACTGACGAGGACCAAGACCTTCATTCGGTGCTAGCCACCTGTCTCTGGATTGTACCCGGTCTGATATCCGAGCGACTGAGAGCTGCCGAGGCCTTGCGCCATCTATTGCGCGCGCTGCATCTGCTTAATGCCCGGCTGGCAGGCGTGGACTCCCTCTCGGATGACACTGTCGCTGCCGTTGTCGGTATGGTGCACTACGAGCGGCACCTGGGACATTTTGACCGGGCTTATATTCACGTACGGGGCCTGCGACAGATGGTCAACATACGCGGCGGGATTCGCCAGCTGGGATGTGAGCTGTCCAGGAAGATATTTCTGTAAGGCCAATGAATTCTCAGCAACAGGCTTCGCTGACAGGCAAGCAGATGCGATCTTGAGTGTTCTATTCAACTGGGCCGCGCCCTTCTCTTCTCGGTAGAAGAGGTGGATGCTATGAGTTCATCGATGGTCAGAAGTGACCTGCAACACCGGGCAACGACTACTTGGCCGGATCGTCAGCGTTTGGATCCGGGTCTGACCACCTTGTTCCGATACGCAACGGATATTGCACGGATTTATAACGATATTGGCGCCGGAGTCGAGCCGAAGCTGACGTATCCTGCTCATTTCGACATTCTTCTCCCCTTCGGGTATCGGCTTCTACGGTTCAGCCCTTGGCAAGCAGCACGGCCTCCCAGTCTTCTGGATGACTTGGTGCAGATCGGCTTACTCGTCTTTCTGGGTGCATTCCTACGACGGCTGGACCGAGGCATCACGGATAATGTGCTGCTTGCAAGGCTGCTTCGATCGGTGGCTGACAGCGCGGAAGTCGACCGCGTAACTCAGGAAGCGCTGCTGTGGGCTTTGTTCGTCGGCACAGCATCGATCTTCCAGAAGGATGCCCCGGAATGGCTTATCTTGCGAGCTGGAGTTCTCATGCAGGAGCTGACGCTTGCTACGTGGGAAGATACTCTATGCTTACTGCGTCAGTTTCCCTGGGTTAACGCCCTTCACGATGCGCCAGCGCAGCACTTGTGGAAGAGACTGGCTACGTCTTGCATTACGTAGCTTGACAGAAACGAACAAATCCATCTATTCCGATTAAGACACCTCGTTCATTCTGATACTATTCCGCTTAGCATGGTTCCGAACGACCCAATTACAGTGCGAGCATCTCTTCGACACATCCTGGCTGAATCAACTCCAGCTCTTTGGCGATAGCCTCCCACATTCGTTGCTGCATTGTCTTTCCTGCTTCATCCGTCACCCAGGAGGGGACATCGCTCCTGTAGTCAGGTTTTAGCACCAACAATATCCGATCCCCGATCGACGCGGAAGACATACTCGTCCAGCTCGCATGAATGCAGAAGACATCCATGCGACTCCTTCCCGGCCACGGCCCCGTGCAGTAGGGTTCGACTACCATCCTCAGCAGTCCGCCCAGCACGCTCATACAACTTCGTGATCTCCGCCCTGCGATCCGGCGAAGTATTCCGGATCAGCTCCGTCTTGCACAGGCCGGGACAGACAAGGTTGAAGACGACCCCCGTGCGCTCTACCGGCAGCAGCGTGGCAAGATGCTTCACCGCGAAGATCTCCATCAACTTCGACAGAGCATAACTACCACAGGACATTAGCCTCGCGCCGTTTGGAATACTGCGAACCTGACCAGAGAACCTCACCACTGCGCATACAACCTTTCATCCTCCTCAATTCCCACCAGCGGCTGCTCCCATATCTCCGTCCACTCCTCCTTCATCGTAAATCCCAGACGGCTCGTGACGATCACGACCCTCACCATTGCGCCCACTTTCTTCGCGCTCTCCCTCATCTTCTCCCCCAATAACACCGCCAGGAGAAAAGTACTCACCACATTCACCGTCATTCCCTGGAGACGGCCCTCTGCACGCACCGAATCCGTCCTCGCCACCGCCGCGTTCTCGACAATCGCATCAATGCGCGCCAGCTCAGCCACTGCCCGCCCCGCAAACGCTTTCACCGAGTCAAACCTGCTGAGATCGAGGTGCCACACCTCCACCACGCCCGTGCCGCCGGTCGCCTGCTCGATCATCTTCTTCGCGGCCTCGCCAGCCGCGAGATTTCGCACAGCGAGAATAACTCTGCCAGCCCCAAGGGCGACGAGATGCTTGGCGGCTTCGAAGCCGAGGCCGACGTTGGCGCCGGTGACGATGTAGGTCTTGCCCGCACAGGTGGCAGGAGTCGCGCGAAGGGGGAGGTTGCGGCGTTGGTTTAAAACGAGTTGGTCGGTGGAGTCGGACATTTTGCTTCTCTGGAGAGACTTTTGGGGAGTTGGAAATCCAGAAGATTGGACTTCGCATTGCCGGCTTTTCGTTTTCGTTCTGAAGATGTTTGACTGGGCTGGAGGGGGGAAGGGCTGGTCATGATGCTTTATGCTTTATAGGCGGCTTCTGTGGCTCAGCGGAATTTACGGAGATGGATTTCTGAAATGAAGACATGCCTTATGTCCGACCATGAGGTATTTTGATTTCCAAGGAGTAGGATACTACCTATGTGTTGAGGAGATGGGATCGTAGAACGACCACTCAGAGAGAAGCAGCTTGATCAAGTGAGTCTGATACCAATGACTACTACGTACCTACTATCATCCATGGAGTCCACCTCATGCATCAGGGATCTGTAAGTGGATCTTGCTGTGTGTTCTCGCCAATCAGACTAAGTTATCAGGGTCCAGCAAGCAGCTAATTTTTGACCAACGAATCCGAGAGTGTTATCTCGAAATGGTTTAGCTCACTGCCTGAGGCAACAATATGTAGGAATGTACTGTGTATCGAGAAAGAAGCACAATTCGGCGATACGGTGGCTTGCAAACGGACTCGGGGATTAATCAATAGATGGATGGGGGAGATGAGTTTGAACAGCTGTGGCTAGGTAGAGCTTCAATCTGTCAAGTGCAGAGATTCCATCTCCGTGAGTTTGCGGTTTGGGTGTCGCTGCCCACCAGCTGAACTTTGGAGGGCAGCCGTCGAGACGATACTCGATTGTTACTTTGCTTTGGGATGAACACAAACCAAAAAAACTTTGGAGCCTCGGACTGGAAAATACACCAAATAAATTGAAATTCCCAACGCGCACGAAGAATTCAAGTCAGGGCGCTCCAGGGCTTCGTAGCTATAGCACAGTTGAGGTATAAACATCTATTTTGAATATGCACGGCAACTCTCGGCCAAAATGCGAATGTACAGACATTTCTGCCTCTATGAATACATGATAGACCACGAAATCAATAACCTTCCTGATCGTTCCAGTACAGCGTCCCGTGCTGCATCTCGCCGGTCGGCTTCAGCTCCCAGCGAAGGACCAGTCGTGTCCACTGCAGCAGGTGGCTGGCAACCTTGATGTGGCCGACATCCGTCGGGTGGTTCTTCGGGTTGATGTCATTGTGCTGCAGGATGCCATCCGTGTTGAGGTAGTGGACAAATGTCCATCGCAGGTCCTTGAAGTACTCGTACACCCGGATAATCTCGTCTTTGTACTGTATAGTCGACTTGTACTGTGTCCCATGCTTCTCGAAGGGTCCCCATTGTGACTGTAGCACAGTCAGCACATTATTCTCACAGCAAAGAAGCGGGGAATCCTACCATCAGGACGATTTCAGCTTTGGGCCAGACGCGATGGATCTCCTCTACCATGTCGACATAAGCTTGGTAGAACTTGTCACCGGGCACCTCGTTCGGGTGGCGCCAGTCGTTTCCACCCATCTGGATAAACACCAGGTCGGCCGGCTGCTCGGCGGAGTTGTCAAACTCGGGTGGATTGTCGCCGTAAAACTGATGCGCACGGGCTCCAGGGTCGGATGCGCGATTCCAGAACCAGGTCTGTATTCGTTAGACTATTTGCAGTGACACATAAATCGAGGGAAAAGAGTTGTACCATTCCATGAACGCCACCGCCATAGCATTGCATGTCAGCTAGACATACACCGGGGTAGGCCTTGGGAAGAAGAATTGATAAGTATAACCGAGCACAGTGGTTGGGCATTCTGGCAGAATGGGACTAACCGTGATCGTAAACTCAGCATCACCCAATCCCACGCCATAGAGGAAGGACCAGGACGACAGGGTTTCATAGGTGGCGTATTGGCCTCCAGCCAGCCTTCTCGAGTCAGTATCCAGATATGCGCTGCGTAGGCGCTGCACGACTCACGAGCCGCCGATGATTTCCACCTTTCTCTTGTAAGGAGTGGGTTTGGTGATGTAGGCGTCCTTCGCAACGGACACACCGGCCAACTGGACTGTGCAGAGGATAAGCACGCGAATGGTCTAGGAGCAAAGGGGAGACTTATCCCAAACCCCAATTCGTCACTGCGAATCATTAGCCCTTGGCACAAACAGGGTGGATTGTCACTGCGCACCTCGCATTTCGAAGACATTGGTCTTGGTATCGATGTCGTCGGTGAAGTCATCGGGACGGATAAATTGGTAGGTCGCATCGGCCGTCACGTTGGAGAATCGCCAGTCCAACGATCCAAGTCTGACCCGTTGTAGTTGGTATCGAGGATGATATTGAGAGGGAGGAAGGGAGGGTGAAGGAAGTATACCGATAAGCGACGAGGACGCCGTTGGAGGTACTGGGGCCGAAACTTAGAGCCAACTGGAATGTGGAGTCGGAATGTGTCAGCCATGAATCACCATTGGACTTCAGTTTACTTCAAATATTAAAGGGTCCAACCTTACTTGTTTGCCGGAAAACTCAACCTTGATCCCAGGGGCTCTACGCGCTCACAATCAGTTCATTCGGTCGGTCGCATGCCACTCGAGCAGGACAGGACTACCCACGACCACCCTGCTTTTTGATTAGCTTGGTTGCACTGGAGACCTTCGCAGGCCCGATGGGGACTCACAGGAAATGTGATTGCTATCCCAACGGCCTTTGTAGGCAATTTCCGGGACGCCCGCGTCGTAATTTCTCCAGGAACTGTCGAGTTTGATGGGGGATTGCTGGCCGGGATAAGGGTCCTCGCGGGGCTGCCCGTTCTGCAAAATAGTGGCAGTCACGGGCCAGGCCGGGAGGAAAAAGAACAGCACAAGGAAGAGAAATCTCATAGTTAGCACCAGCCACGAGTAGAGGTGAAGTTGACAGTGGCAGAAGGAAGAGATGAAGCCATGATGAGAAGCAGACAAGTCACCCTCCAAGACAATCAGGGGTGCAGCCAAGCCCAACGGTGCAGTGGCGGCCTGAGGACTGAGGCGCCACAATCGCCAAGGATGAGGTGATCGCTTATGCTGATTGGTGGGTGCGGATGTTCCTTTTTTGCCTGAGATCTACGGCAACGAAGCACTCTTAACAAACATCACAAACACCAGGAACTAAGTAGGTACCTACTGTATCCATCTTCTACTCAACATTCACCAGGCATAACACAGCCGATTTCAGGTTCTAAAGCCAGCTGATCAATGTAGTCAATCTTCTGACCACTCCATCTCACTGGTCACATCTATCACCTCGACCTTTGCTGAGAACTCCAACGCTTGAAGGGGAAGAAGGTACAGCTCGAAACTTGATAGCTCAAGCTGGACTTTTAGTTACAGCACTCCACTTGCTAAGCTATTCACTTTGTAAGTATGCCGACCGACTGCGACAACGGAAGATCTGCCAAGCGCATCCGAGTCCCCGAGAATGAGAGCAGCAAGTAAGAATCCCTCTTCTTGAAATTCTTAACCTACTGACTCGAGGCAAGATTTCTAGGAGATGTCATTACCATATTAGTTGGAAAGGAGAAACAAGCTTTGACTGTGCATGAATGCCTAGCTCGGGCATCCTCGCCATTTATCGACAGAGCCTTGACAGCCGCTTGGGCCGAGCATCGCAATCGTACAATCAGATTACCGGACGATGAACATGAGATCGTGGTCTTATACGTGCATTGGCTTTACTGCGGCAAGCTTCCCGTAATCAGCGATGCTTACAAGGTTGAATACACCCAACTAGTCAAGGCATATATCCTTGGGGACAAGCTACTGAGCACCGAGTTTCAGCACAGCGTTATTGGAGCTCTGATTGAGCGACGCACAACCTTTATAGGTGGGCGACGTTGCGCTCCCACCGCTGAAACAGTTGCATATGCATACTGCCACACGATTCCTACCTCGCCACTCCGTCAGCTACTTGTGGATATTAGAGTCAACTCCACAAATCCTACCGAATGGCTATCAGAGAATAGGTCACTCTTACCCGCGGATTTTCTAGTAGACCTAGCTATTAAATTATTTGATTTGCGCCCGGATAGAAAAGAATGGAAACTCAAAGCGGCCGACTATTGTCGGGTAGACGCTCACCCCAGCGAGACACCTCAGGCGGAGAGACGGTCTAGCGAGCAAAATACTACCAAGCTCTGATCACAAAGCCGGGGCCTGGAGATTCATTTCTGCACACGCTTTTGGGGCCATGCCTCCTGTGTCTCCAGTCTCTCTCTAGCGAACTCAACTCGTCCTGCATTCTGGAGCGCGTCTGCCGCATGAAATGTGCCAGCGGAAATACGGGAGCTGCGATTATTTTCATCTTCTGGTATGGGCATGGGCTGTAGTTGAGCATGGGGGTCTTCATATCATTTCACAAAAGGAGGTTAGCTCAAATGCAACGGACATGCTGCTTCAGCTTTGGGATAGCGGACTTGTAAGTTCACATCCTTCACCAATGTCGCTTAGAGAATGGGAGCTGGTGCTTAATCACTGCGCACCATCCGAATCGACTGAGTTCCGTGATTGCAGGCCATACTTGCAGTGTCATTCGATTGTTTCGTAAAATGAGGTTTAGCTTTGAGATGAGCGGTCAGGGTGAGTTTTTGCTTGGATGCTTCGGCCACGCATGGGCACACTCGCGCACGCATTACTGTGACAGAAGCGCATCTATTAGACTGGGCATTCTCCCTGCGTGCTCTCTATCCCGTAACTTGGATAAGAGCCGGACCGAGCGATGACAAGTTCGATGAGAGAACGACTGCAATGAGTGGAGCAGAAAACGGGGAATGAAGCATCGGCCGCCCAGACCCTGGATCTTCGCCGGTCGGACTGAGTGTCGGGCCCCGGTGCTCCGAATGACCGATGAGACTGCAGTCCATGCAGTTGAGCTAGGGGGCTGGCTACTGTTGGGTACTAGTAGTTGGTGCGCATGATGAATCCGGAAAGGAAGAGGAAAGGAAGACAAAGTAGAGAAAGAAGGAATACCAGCACTATGGTCAATATGTCCAAACTGGAAGAAGTGATGGATGCCTGCAGTGTCAGGCTGGAAAAAGATGCAGCTGCAAAAAGATATGACAAGAGTGGGATTCGAACCCACGCCACTTGCGTGACTAGGAATATTGCTCATGAGAGCGAATATGTGTGATCAGGTTGCCTGACCCTAGCGCCTTAGACCGCTCGGCCATCTTGCCTTGTTGATGTATTGGCTTCGATTCATTGCATATATACCAGGCTGTACATAGACTTTTGCCGCTTCATCGCTTGTCGAGCATCCAATCGGCATAGCTGTAGAACACTACTATATATCTGTTTTGATCTATAACAGTCGGTCTGGACATTGCTTAGTCCAACTGGCCTTTTTGCAGGGTGCTACTGCTGCTGGTGTCAAGGTTAGGTGAGGACTCTGTCGAGGGCTGCACCTAAAAGAGCAAGATATATATCTCCAAGTACTATCCTGCCTAGGCTCTCGTCGTTAGATGGCCTTGTTACAGACCAGATCAGGTGACCGCTATAATTCAAGTTGGTAAGATTCCTCCAAGATCTCAGCAACTTCAAAGCCCCCCAAACCCCATTTGCCATGACACGCAATCGTTGTACGTCGTTGGCGAACCACCGTCATCCTGTGGAGATGGTTTGATGTGTTGCGGCAAAAGACCCCTCGGCGAGCCATCCACATGACGACAGCTTACGGGCTTCGTCCTCCCACCAAATCAAACTCCACAATTTGCAGAGACCAGCCAGGACATGGCGTTCAGTCTGACTCGGTACCTTGCGACAGGGCCGAGGAGCACCGAGTATCTGCAAGCCATTGAGTCTATACCGCTGTCTTGAACCAACTCATCCTCTGGACTGACCAGAAAAGAGATACGAGTACAGGCCTCAAGTAGAAAATAGTATAAAGCCTCGTAGATCACCTGACATGATTTCTTTCTGCGGCCGTTACTTAGTGACTGTTCATTGCTTGCCTTCTCGAACAGATCATCCGACATGCCTGTTCTTCCTCAACTCGAAGGCTCAACCTTTAATGCCGACCTCCGTGACCGCCACATCATCCACGACAACGCAGCCCACGACCGCAACGGCAACCCAGAAAAATGGCGCTACGAGATCTGGTTCTTCAACGAAGACAGGGTGATCTACGCTATCCACGGGGGTCCAATGGCTGACCGCAAGAACTTTCAGGCTGCGACCTATCAATGTATCCGTTTTGGAGAGCTGTGGCAGGTGAACTGGCAGGAGGAAACGGGGACGATTTGCTCCCTCGTCCTCGACATCCCTAACCAGCGATTGAGTACCCTTCTGGGCTTCTCGAAAAGACATTGGAGGACAGAGAACGAGGCTGCACACGGGGACAAGCGCAACGCGGAGGACTTTGCCCGCTGGCGCGAGTTGGCCAAAATCGAGTCATCTCAGGCGGATCGGATCCTGCTGAGCGAACAGGCGGAGATCCTCGAGGATTCCCGGGGCGTGGGCGACTTAGAGCCCATCGATCTGTCGTGGCAGACGCTGTAGAGGAACCGAATCAACTCACAGTTATGCATGTATAAAGCTACATTGACATGGATAACAATGCAGCCAATGCAATCCTGTAGTTAAGGCGCCAATGCTGACATGACGCCCACTGGACTTGCATCCTGGCCACCCCAGAGACATTGCGTACAACCCCGCACCATGTCCAAACGCTTCATGCATGCATCATGACACTGCGATGATCGCCCTCGGTCTGCTCGGTCTTCGGCCTTTGCAAACCCCGCAATTCCCCATATTTATTAGGAGCCAATTCTTCCAGGTTACTGCTACCACCAAATGAACCGGAACAATTCGACTATAGGGATCCTCCTCTAGAAATGTTGACCATCATCTGGTTTGTACTTGGCTGCCTATTCGCCGTGCGTGTCCCTTCTCCACCCACAGTCATCACTAAGTACTAGTATTGACCCAGATATATGTAGCGCTACCTCTACCGCGGACTGACCAATCCTCTCGCCCACATCCCTGGACCAACCTCTACCCGATGGACCAGCTTTCTCCTTTGCTACTATAGCCTGAGAGGCGAAGTGGCCCAGTATGTCCATAGCCTGCACTGCAAATATGGTACCGTTGTTTATCCTGCCATGCGAAGACCCTTACTGACCTGCTAGGTCCCGTGGTCCGTGTCAGTCCCGACGAGGTCGACATCTGCGACACCAGCGCCGTGAAGGAGATCCACCGAACGGGCAATGGATATCTCAAGTCCCAGTGGTATGTCGACCTCACTCCTCGAGGGCGTGAAAGCACCTTCTCCACCGTCAACCCGAAGTTCCATGCTGCTCATCGACGGCTGCTGTCGGCGCCCATTTCCGACTCGACCCTGATGACCCGCTTCGAGCCCCTCATTCGAGCCCGAGTCGGCCAAGCGATGGAGGGACTGGACAAGGAGATGGCAGCTACCGGGGCGGGCGATGTCTACAAGTGGATGCTCTTCATGGCAACAGATATCATCGGGGAAATGTCCTTTGGGGAGTCTTTCCATATGCTGGACTCAGGGAAGGTGAGTATCCTTGATGAAAGCCCAGGAGAGGGAGAGAAATGGCTCATCGGCCACAGAAAAGCCATTACAGCATTGATCTGGAACGAATCTCGTACATGGGGATCATGCGCGCCACTTTTCCCACCCTAGTGCGGGTGGCAGCCATCCTGCCGCTGCCCATCCTCCGGGAGACGGTGAAAGCCACGAATCGTCTGGAATCCTACGCTGTCTCTTCGATCAACCGTTATCAGTCTTCGTTGAGATTGAACCCGACCAATCCCAAACCGACCCTTTTCACCAAATTGTACGATGCCGGAGAGAATGGACTGTCGAAGGATGAGATCATCGGGGAAGCGCGCACCTTCATCATTGCGGGCAGTGACACCACCGCCGTGACCCTGACCTACTTGCTCTATTCAGTGTGCCAGAATCCGCATATCCGGGACACTCTGGTCGCCGAAGTTGCTCAGCTGCCGATCGACTTCACCGATCGGGATTTGCGTGGCTTGTCGTACCTGAACCATGTAATCCTGGAGTCACTGAGACTCTACAGTGCGGTCCCTGCGGCGCTGCGTCGTGTCGTGCCTTCTGGTGGTGCTCATTTGGCTGGTTATAGTCTCCCTGCCGGGGTTACGGTGGGAACGCAGTCGTATTCGCTGCATCGCGACGAGAAGATCTTTTCAGATGCTGAAACGTTCCGACCCGAGCGGTGGGAGTCCCCCACTCAAGCAATGAAGGATGCTTCGTTGCCCTTTGGTGGAGGATCGCGTGGTAAGTTGGAGATGATGCTTATTGCTCCTTTTTCATTGAAAAATGTGCTAATGGTAATGATAGTCTGCCTAGGAATCCACCTGGCACGGATTGAATTACGTCTAGCAACCGCCATGTTCTTCCGTCGGTTCCCCCAGGCGCGTGTTTCGAGTCGCGATGGGATGAGCGAGGCAGATATGGTAATGGAGACGTTCTTCCTGATGGCACCCAAGGGACATCGCTGTTTGATCGAGGGAAGAAGAGAGGGAGGGGGAGGGGGGGGTTGCACCACAGCAGATTGAGTCTTGAGAGATTGTAAAAGTACTGTAGATGTACTGTAGTGTTGACTGGACTGGCATAGGGATGACTGCATAGTAAACTGGACTAAGATCTTCCCCGCATTTTCCCGTGTCTTTCTTCCCAACACTGGCTTCCCCCGCTTCAACCTCTTAACAACAACAACACCATCCCATGGTACACAACACCACAACACCACACATAGTCACACACAACACATCATCCACAACCATGTCAGACACGACCAAGCCACTCAGTGACCGCGAGGCGCTGGCCTTTCGACAAATTCCCACCATGATCTTCTCCACCGCGTCCAACCCTCTGACCGCGCCTCTGCCGCCCGACCCCAGCGCCACGACTCCGCCCCTCCGCGCAGCCGCCCGCTTCGCCGTCCCCGGCAAAGCTATCATCACCGGTGGTGCAGGCTCACTCGGCCTGACCGTCGCGCGGGCTCTTCTGGAGCACGGATTGACCTCGCTCTCTCTCCTCGACCTCCCCTCTACCTTCACCACCTCCGCGGCAGCCCTCACGCAACTCACTACTGACTTCCCCCACGCCCAAATCCGGACCTACACCGTCGACGTGACCTCTCCTCCCAGCGTGGACGAGACCATCACTACCGCCGCCACAGCAATGGGCGGGATCGACTACCTCTGCTGCTTCGCCGGCATCGTATGCAGCGTCCCCTCCGCAACCACCACCCCCTCGCAATTCACCCAACTTCTCGACGTGAACCTCACGGGCTCGTTTCTCTGCGCTCAGGCGGCCGCCAGACACATGATCGCGCAAGGCACCGGGGGCAGCATCGTCTTCACGGCCTCCATCTCGGCGTACGCGACCAACTTCCCGCAGCCGCAGGTAGCGTACAACGTCAGCAAGGCCGGGGTGGTGCACATGGCGCGCAACCTGGCGGCGGAGTGGGCGGTGCATGGCATCCGCGTGAACAGCGTCAGTCCGGGGTACATGGATACCGTGCTGAATGAGGGGGAGGGGCTGCGGCCGTTGCGCGAGATCTGGGCGCAGCGGTGTCCGATGGGGCGGATGGGCGATGTCGAGGAGATCACGGGGCCATTTGTGTTGTTGTGTAGTCCGCGGGCTGGGAGGTATATCACTGGGATGGATTTGGTGGTGGATGGAGGGGCGATGACTTTGTAGACGGAGGGATGGATGACGGCTGGACTTCCGTCTTGCCCTGACCGTGCTTGAGAGACGAGAGATTGTGCTAGACGCTTATAACTATGATGTTAGCCTATTGATATGGCGGTACACATGCTTCTGACAGCAGGATTACCACGACAAGATTCTGAACGGGGAACAGGTTTCGATACCATATATGGCTACCATAACCACCAAGAAGCCATATGGCCACCTCGCACCGTAAACCGAACTGTCATCGTCATGAGAAATAAGGGACGACGACAGTGGCATCGGCTCTAGGCCGAATAAACAATCCTGATGAGAACCCCTCGCCTATCGAGTTATGCCATCCATCGTGCTGTTAAGTATCAGCTGATACAACAAACAAACGCATATAAGACGACGAAACAGCAAAATGCGTCCCTCAAGATCCATCCCCCTGATTCTACCAAGCAAGACTACACTAACCGTACAACATCAACATGGCCCGACTCCGCCTTTCCCATGACTCCCCCATCGACCCCTCCTATACTCCCACAGCTAGCATCACCGCCCTCCCCGCCACAACCCCAATCGAATACATCCTAGCTGTTCTCGAGCGCGACGGCGACATCATCCTCCATGACCTCGTCACTCCCATGGACCTAGCTGCCATCGCCACCGAAACCCAGCCCTGGAGCACCCCGCGCCGCCACCTAAACCCTCAAGCCCAGGGCGACGTCTTCTACACCACCTCGCCGCAGACCAGCCTCATCCCAGGTCTGGTCGGCAAATTCGCCACCGCAGCACGTATCTACGAGTACCCAGTGCTCGAAGCTCTACAGACGCGGGTTTTAATCAATGAATGAACAGTCGTCCGCGAAGTGTGCTTCGAACCCAACCGCATAGACCCCATACTGAGCATGAGCGCCTCGATGAACATCGGTTACGGTCCCCATCAGGCCGAAAAGAGGAGGGCCACTGCAGGGCTGGTCGGCTGCCATCCGATCCTATCGCGATATTCTCTGGCTGATATTACTATCATAAGAATTCTAACAACATCAGTAAGCACATACGACCACAGGGTGTGGAAAATAGGGCTTCCCGTCCGCTCAGCCGTACTCAAGCCACACGCCGGGAGGTTAGTAGTTGGGTGGGTGACCACCAGCGAATCCCTTCTGTTGTATGCTTTTTTATTTTTATTTTTATTTTTTCTTTCCAAAACAGTCAGAGATGACTGACTGGATATCAATCCAATAGTAACGGAGCATTTAATACGCGCCGTGGCTTGTTGAGGACGCTTTGGCTCACGTCCTCAGGCCCAGGCCCGGCGCTCAGCCTTGTCGATTACCAGCTCCATCTGCACGTTCTTCGAAGTCAATTTAGAAACATAGAAACACCCCTCAGATGCATAGCCCCCTCCCTCCCCGTATTTATCTAGCCGGAATGTTGTCTCTCTTTCCCTCTCCAAATCAGTTGCAGCAGATATCTTTTTGTTTTCTGCTCCCGCAAAGGTTACCGCGGTATGGGTTCTCACAAGAATCCAGAGTGCGAGAGGACTATGCGGCCATCTACCCCGACGCGTACTACTATTTATCCCAGCCCTCCTCCCACGCCCATCTCGCCTGACAAGCCAGCCATCCCTACCCAAGAAGAAAAGCCCAAGAGAGCCGTAACCCCCCCCGACGAGAATGACGACAAGACCAGAACAGGCACCCAGAACTCTTCCCGCAATGAAGAAGATCCAACAGCGGAGCCCGCTGAACTACCCCCATGGCCTACACCCAGAAGCATGGACATGTTTCTTACATCACTACTCGGAGACAATACCTGCGGGGGCCGGACACCAAATGGTACACCATGTCGAAGATCCCACCGACATGTGGCCAAATCTGTGGTTAACGAGGTGATCATATCCTTGAAGAGCCTGCCTCCGTCCTGTCCCTCTTCAAAGCTGGCAGAAGTACTGAAGAAGCTTGCCTTGTCCCTTCATTGCTCTATGCACAGGAGCGAAAGGTCGCTCGATACTCGGGTAGAGGACTGGCTCACTGAGTACTTTCCCCGTCCCGGCGACACGATAGTCCTGATCAAAAAGGCACTCCGAAAGCATAATACTAAGTGCAGTGGGACGAAGGATGACGCCAGTTTATGTCAAGAGCAGATCGGGGGAAGGCAAGTCCAGGCAATACAGTTGATCACAGACAGAATCTTGGATCCCACGGTCTATCTTCACGACGGAAGGCTGAAAGTCTGGCTGGAAAGATTCGGCCAGAATTCTCTTTGTCCCCAGCATAGAGGCAAACAGCTCCAAGAGCAAGTGGCTAAGTTGAGCGCAGCTGTTACGAGCGCGCGAGACTTTCAGTTATTGTCAGAAACAACCAGAGGCATTTCTGAAAACCAGTATGAAACAGAAGAACCATGGCAAGGTCCGTATGGCCCCCCAATCCCAGGCTTATATTTATTGCCTCGGAAATCAAACAGAACTATCTCTGACACTGAAACAGCTCCAGGTTATGATACCTCTCCACTCCGTCTCGTTGCAGATCTCAATTTGGGCATCGAGGGCGGCGAACTGGCCAGTAATTATCTTCAAACGATCAGCAAATGTTTGATCCCGCGAAACCCCAAGCCAGGCTATGTCTACGCTTATACCGTGAATGAAAATGAAGCATTCATCAAAATTGGCTACACCACTCGCGCTGTCTCCGTGAGGCATGCAGAATGGGAATTTGAATGCAACCGGAAGGTCAGAGGTCTTTATCCTGATTCGACTGCCACCGGCGCGCAGATCCTTTATCCCCAGCTCGTTGAAAGCATTTGCCATGCAGATCTCCGGGAAGGAAGTGTTCGGGTTGACTGCAGCGCCTGTCAAAAAGAGCATGTGGAATGGTTCAAAATTTCTGCGCAGAGGGCAACTGATACCATTGAAAAGTGGTCTCAGTGGATGGATCGGGTGGCCTGTCGGCCCAACTGGAAAAATGAAGTGAAGGCGAGGGTGCGCGGTACTTCAAACCTTGCAGTATCGTTGCACGCATTAATGCAGCTTTCCCCAGCTACTGGCAAGTAAAAATAGCGGACAATCTGTCTCGATAACGACGGTCTTTGACCCAGGCTTGCTGTCTTTTTGGTGTACTCCGTGTGGTTTTATCCCATTTGATGTTATTATTTTGGTTGTTATTGTGCATTGCAGTATAAGTATCGGCCAACCTCTTGCGAACAGATTCTATATTATGCTTCTTGTCTTTGCTATGTATTTCTGTATCTCTTTACAATGCGCTTTCAAGCACTGATCGATCTCTCTCTGGAATTGTGTGTGTTGGGGACAGGGCTTTTATTTCAAATTAAGTCAAATAACAGATACCTTGAGAGCAGTCGAGTGACAAGTCTCTGGGATTTTTCCCCTAAGCCTCATGCTGCTGTATGTTTGGTCTGTCTGTTTCTTCTTGCTACATGCGACTTCGCATGATTTCAGTCCACTGTACTCAGCGGCATTGTTTTGCCACGAAGAAGCATCTGGTGTTCTAATCGGCCATATCTCTCTCCGAGGCAGTTCTGTTAACCCTCTGTGCTTCGTCCGATAAGGCTTAATAATAAGACCGTCAGGCAAGCATCACTTGCGGTGAGTATATCTGACCTACACAGGTACGAGGGAGCCCGGGGTTCATATTCTTCCTGTTTCGATTTTGTCAGTTGTGTCGATCTGAATTTGCTCAAGCATTACACGATGGCCCTAATCCTCTTCGTGTGTGGCTCTAGCGATTATCTCATAAAGAATCTTTAGAGTTCAATTTGGGTTCTTGTGTCTATACTGTGAGTCCAGATTGGGGTACTTTAGAAAGAAAAGGAAGTTGGGTATTTCTCTCCTTCCTTGGCTTCAAATGTGCTACAAAGGATAATTCTATCCATATTCAAGGTAGGCACAGTCTCCCCTTGGCTAACTTCTGACATACTTTCATTCGTTCTCATGAGCGAAACGCTCCTAGACTGTATCTTAGCTCAACTCCCAAGACCACGACAGTTCGCTAGAAAGAACCAAGCCCGAGGCTTGCCTTGACAAGGAAAAAGGATTGACCATCCACGACGGCTGCATCACCATCTCTCTCGATTTGCATTCGGGGCCAAAGGTCTTTGTGTACACATCTGGTGCCCGAGGGACCTAGATAAGGGTCTCCTCAACGGCAGCCAGGGTACCGTTAACAATGGCACCCGCGTGGTGGCGAGCGACCAGACCATAAGCGAACTGGTACCTACAGAACAATCAGCAGATCAGCAGCCGGGACTCCAAGCCGATCGGGGCCAACTTACTGGTCGAGCCAAGGGAGGAGCTCGGGCAAGCCAGGAGTGTTCCGCCAGTCGCGCATCAGGTCGCACACAATACCGAAGATGCCCATCAGAGTCACACCAGCCTTCTCCATACGGCGGTTGGCATCGATGGCCAACTTCGCATCGAAGGTACCACTAGCCTCGGTGTTGGCATACACCTCGTATCCCTCATCAATCAGGGAGAGGGCCAGGAAAGCAGTGCCTGAATCGTTGGTCTCGGGGTTTCATCGCGGAGGTGGAGATATATTTGCCATGCGTGGGGGTGCGACTTACAAACTTCAGTGACGATACCACCAATGATCAGCTGCTTCTTGCCAGTAGCCTTGACGGCAGCCCGGAAATCAGCATTATCCCAGGCATTGACCTCACCCTGACGGCGGATGAAGGTGGCATTGGGGTGCATGTCCGTGATCTCCTTGAGGAGCAGACCGTTGGGGCCAGTGTCAGAGGAAGAGGTCAAGACGGTGGGCAGGTTGAAGGCCTTGCCAATGGCGGCGTGGGCGATGATGTTGTTGCGGAAGTCGTTGGTGCTGTAGTCGCGTACTAGCTGGGTGAGACCGACTTGATGGTCAATCACGAGGAGGGCCTGTGGTCTGGTTAGAGCCTGCGTTGGTGTCGGATGTATGTTCTGGTCATGACTTACCGCATTGTCCTTGTCGATGCGGTTCCAAGCCTCAACAGAGGAGACTGCAAGAGTTAGGGTCGCGAGAATGTTGCTCAGACGCATTTTGAAACTGGGAAGATGCTGCTGGACTGTCCAGATCTTGCTTGATGGGATACTCGGGTTGATGAGTCTCTTGATGATCCTCTGTTTTACGGGGCGAGAAGCACCTCTTTATAGTCGCGCTTCCTCCATGGATGCCGAGAGTGTGCGATGGTGAAAGCGTTTGCTCAGCATTGGGTCATAATTGACAACCATCTACATCCATCTCAAAGCGATAGGAACTCGTATCCCAGATGTCTTGGCTGCAGCCTGAGGAGGAGACTTGGAGCCGGGGATTAGGGCTAATGTGATGAGGGTGAGGATATGAGGATATTATGATATTATGGAAGGCTTATGGGATGGTGACTGGTGGGCCTTGGCGCTGACCCTCGAGCGCCCGCAAACCCCACCATATCCGAGAACTGGACCGATCCACCCAATCATGCGCTCCACAGATACTGCTCATGGACCCCCGAAGGAGCAGATACAATGACAGACAAGCCCCAATTGGAACAGCACTAACGGATTGGGAATGTGGTCCCTGTTAGTAAGTTGACGTTTCATTTCGTTGTTGTTTAGCAGAACCGCCAACCCTAAACCGGTATCCTTCTGTCTTACCTGCCCCGTCTGGTATTCCCGTATTACGACGTGATGGTGGATGCGGGGATATCTGCTCGCAATCTAACGGCCATTCTCGCGTGAACTTCGCCAAGAATGCGGCGTTTTGGAGGGGGATCGCATTCTTGGGTTATGTCCAATCTCCCATTGTAGGTGGTGGCTGCGCCAACCATGCAGAACTGATGAACGCTTTGTTCCCGGGTTGTGAATGCCGTGGCCGGGTCTTGATAATTTGGAGATCAGCATCTGTCAGCATTTGTTGTCCCTGCATAACAGGGGTCTTCTGCACACTAGCCCTAATTCAGGCTAAGCGGGATATCGCCTGCAGAAATGGGTCGCAAACCGCCCTCATCTCATTTCATCACGAAAAGCAGATCCATTTGGTGTTATTTGCACCATCCGCCAGCAAGAACCTTACCTCTATGGGTTGGGCAGCGCCGTCAGGGTGTCGGAGTCTTCCCGACAACTATCTGGTGCTCAACCTATGATACTATACTGTACTTCCTGAGGAGTCGGAGCCGGGATAGAGTAATTTAGAGTAGATTACTTTGTCCGCTATGCACCTTCCTCTGGCTGACAGCGAAGCTGCGATCTGATGCCGGATGAGACCCGGAAATTTTGCCATGAGAGAAACTCGGCCCGTGGCGATCATCAGCGCGATACGAGGCTTCTCCCTCAACTTCTCCGACTCCGACTCTCTGCGTAGAGAAGTGAGCGTGCTAAGCTGTCTAGGGATGATGAGGACCGAAGTCAAACGATAGATTAGACCCTCTGGCATGCCCGTATTGAAATGGACTGACTGTGCCAGTGCAATGTCCAATTGGCTCCAATATACCAGCTAGATGAGAGACAAGTACCTAGTTAATCAGTGCTCTACCCGCGTCTTATCCGGTGATTTATACTCCAGAGGGCGATTTTTACACTTGCAGATGAAACATCCATCACATGCCGCTCGGAGGACTTGCACTTCTGGGTGTCGTCTCACAAGAATTATGTCTGAGATGCACACCGTTGGCTACGTTGAGTGAATACTAAAATTGAACCGTGTTGGGACAGAACATGGTACATCAATTGCAAATTACACGATAACTAAAAGTATATCATAATTTCCCAAAAAGAAAAAAAAAGGCTCAGACTAGTTGAACCAGATTATCGCCCGATCACTGAATATCAACCTTGGTGACCATCACCACATCCGATTCGACCTTGGGCAGCCGCACGCTGAGAATTCCACTTTCCATCTCCGCCACAATCGCGTCGGCGTTCAATTCAACTGGGTGGGCAGCACTTCCCAGGCGCACCTTGCGGTCAAAGGCACCAACGCGACGCTCATCCAGCGCCAGGGTCTTCAGCAGCTCTTCGTCTCCGGGGCGCTCAATGACACCGCTAATGCTGAGCTCGAACTTGCGAGGATCCCATTTGACCTCCACCGCGTCCTTCTTGGCGCCAGGGAGAGAGGCGTGGACAATGAAAGCGTCGGGGGTGTCGTACACATCGACTTCGGGCTGGAATTCAGTGTGATTGTTCTCGTCGAAGCCAAATCGACCCCATGGTCCAAAGCCGGGGGAGGGGCCGCATCGTCCGCCGTGCTTGAATCCGCGCATGTGCTTGCGTCCTCCCCAGTAGGGGTGGGGTCCATGGCCGCCACGAGGACCAAATCCGCTGTGGTGACCTCTGTGAGGACCGAAGGAGTCAGCAAAGCTGAAATCTTCGTGAGGTCCAGAGCCTCCCCGAGGACCAAACCCGTGGGGACCTCTGTGGCCGGGGTGAGGACCATGACCAAAACCATGAGCACCTCGGGGTCCAAAGCCTCGTGGACCCGGACCAGGGCTATGGCGACGACCGCCAGGGCCACCCCGTCCTTTGCCGTGGAATCCGCCGCGCTTTCCCTGCTTTCCGTGCTTGCCGTGACCTCCGTGACCGTGGTGCTTGGGGCCGCGAGGCTCATCATGTTCGTCGTCGTCGGAGCTGTCTGAGGATGACTCCTCTACCAGCTCAAGTTCGTGGATAGTCTCTTCATCGTCGTCTTCCGGGGTGGGTTCGCGGTGGCGGCGGTGGTGGTGAGGGCCTCGACGTCCGTGGCGACCTCCGCGACCGTGCCATGGCTCTTCGTTGTCGGTGGCTTGATCTTCATGTTGACGGTGATGATGGGAGTGAGGGTGAGAGAAGCCGTGTTCCTCGATGTTGGCGATAAAGTCCCAAAAGGGAGCAGCTTGGTTGAGTTGGCGTATAGAAGCCATGTTGGTTTTTTTTAAAACTGTAATGTGGATGTAGTGGAGGAAGAGAGGGTATTTGAAATGAAGGTAAAGATAGAGATAGAGATAGAGATAGAGCTGTGTTGTGAAATAGTGAGAGCATCCAAGTCGGTAGGTCTACGTCTTTATATAGATATCCATCCAGGCAGCGATGCTGGATCGTCTGGTTAGAGTTTGCCACCGCGATATAGTTGTCGTAATGCGATTTACTCCATTGACTCGCCACAGCAGTGGCTGCTCGGAGTTATTGCGGAATTCGTATTTCCCGAGCCCCGGAGAGCATCTTTCGCTCGGAGATAGTAGAACGCTAAGCTTCTTACGGAGCAGCGACCGGTCAGCGTGACTCATCTCCGAGCCCTTGTAGGCCTTAATTACCAGATGCGGAACTTACAGCCGAGTCACTCCGCCACCTCAGCCACCTCAGCCACAGTTGCGACACCCCCCGCATGTCCTTTGCAGGCGTGCAGCCCTATCCCAGCAGACTACGTAGTTTCTTGAGCTCGAGAGCAAGATTAGATCCCTGTTTGTGGCGTTGCCATGTGAAAAGGACCTCCGCTGAGTCACATCATCCACCAACGAGAGATCCAGCTTCCAATTGAGTCAGAGACAGCCTTGCCACGTCGGAAGTCCTTGGCTGGCTATTGGTAGTCGAGAAAAGTTGAAGAAAGCTACACATTCTCGCTTCGGACATAGCCTGAGTGTGAGCTTGGGTTCACCACATTTTCCTCGAGCTAACTACATAGGTATGGAGTACACTGTAGGCATACTAGTTAGTTAGTGCAGTGCATGATGGTACTTTGGCGCATCGGGAGATCTAAGCCCCGCGTCTGCCTGAGGCAGCGACCGCATCTCTTAATCTCCGAAGGCTTCAGCCTCGGACTCTCTCTTGTCCACAACATGCATCCAATCCATCCACCCATCCATCCATCATCTTCCCATCATGTCCACCCCCGGAGATTCAGCCTCCACAGCCAAGCCACAGCGACTTCTGTCCTGCGTGCATTGTCAGCGGCGCAAGATCAGATGCGACCGGAATTCGCCCTGTGCCAACTGCCTGCGTGCTGGCGCCGACTGCGTGTCCGCCACGCGCCAGCGACGTCGCCGCTTTGCCGAGCGTGACCTGTTGGACCGTCTGCGCCATTATGAAAACTTGCTGCGTCGGAACAATATCGCCTTCCAACCCTTACATCCTTCGCGTGACGACCCGACCTCACCCGGCGAAGGTGACCCATGTTCACGCAGATCGGAGGCGGATCAGTCAACAGATGCGCAGCCCAAGGCAGTGTAAGTGACTGGGAGGCTACAAAGACGATCATTTGATGCAGCCGGCTCATCTTACTCATAGTAATGCGTGGCATGCCATCAACCAAAGGGTAAAAGCAAGCCACTGATTGCGGTCGGTTGCACGGACACTGATGTTTGATGCAGACGGTGGATGCAAGTGATGCCGGCCCTGATGGTGAAGGGCCCCATGGTGGCCTCGGCCAGGACGTGAGTCAAAACGTGATTATGACGACCTGGAATCATATGTACCAGCGCGATCGGAATAATCATCTCTTGTTCGGCCCTGCAACTACCGACATGGATCTGCCAGCCGCACACCCCGACCAGGCCCGCATCTTTCGACTCTGGCAGACGTATCTGGATAACGTTGACCCACTGCTCAAGGTCACTCACTCCCCGACCCTGCAGTCTCGCATCATCGATGCTGCAGCCAATCTAGCTCAAGTCCCACCAGCATTCCAGGCACTCATGTTCAGCATCTACTGCATGGCTGTGCTCAGTATGACGGACGACGAGTCTCAGAGGACGCTGGGTGCCACTCGGAAAGAGAAACTCGCTGCGTACCAGCTCGCCTGCCAGCAGGCGCTCCGAGATTGTGACGTTTTCAGATCTGCGGATCGCGACAGCCTGACAGCCTTGTTTCTCTACTTGGTCCGTTCAATGCAGAGTCCCGGCGGACTGACGTGCTGACGTTCACAAGGTGTCTATACGGGCGGACACCGACCCTCGAACCTTGTCTTCTATGCTGGCGGTGGCGATCCGCATTGCTCGACGTATGGACCTTGACCGAGAGGCAGCCAACGCGCGCTGTCTGGCGTTAGAAGGGGAGATGCGTCGCCGATTGTGGTGGGCTCTGGTGCTTTTCGACAGTCGGAACTGCGAAATGTGTGACTACCGACTAGTCCCCTTAGACCCCACCTGGGATTGTCGGCCCCCATCCAATATACATGACTTTGACCTCCGGCCTGAGATGAAAACACTGCCCACAGGCCACGACCGACCGACCGAAGCGGTCTTCATCGTGGCCCGGAGTGAGATTGCGGACTTCATCCGGCACAGCCCTTGCCACCTGGATCTTACCAACCCAGTCTTTCACCGCATGGTGGACAGGTCGCAACATCCCGGAGACTTGGTCGATCTTGAGGACAGTATAGAGCAAAACCTTCTCGCCTCCTGCAGTCCTGATAATCCTTTACAGTACATGACCCTGTGGGCGGCACGCGGAATGTTGGCGAAAAGTCACCTCCTCAAGTACTGCACTGAACAGGCGAAAGCCACTGATGGGTCCAGTGAACAGGCGCTAAATACTGCTCTAACACAGGCTCTCACTATGCTCGACTCCGACACGAGACTGATGACTTCCCCACTTACAGCAGGATATCGATGGTCTTTACTCGTATATTTTCCCCTGCCGGCCTACATATACATCCTCCGAGATCTGCAAAGACGACCGGAGAAGCACACCGACTCAATCTGGGAAGCAATGGGCAAGAACTATGAAGCACGAAAGATGGGTATCATGGCGAACGAGTCCCCGCTTTTCGTGGTCTTTGCGCGTCTCGTGCTCCAAGCCTGGGAGGCGCAAGAGATAGCCTCCTCTGACCGGAAGCTGCAGCCACCGTGGATGGTGACGGATGTTCGCAGAAGGATTCTAGAAATAAGAGCATCCTTTGCGGGCAAGAATAATCTGGGACCCGCAAGTAGCAGTCCAACACCCGCTGGAGGACCGCACGAACCTCTTAGCCCAATGGCGGCCAACACGGGCGCTGGGAGTCATGGCTCCGCTGGTGAACCAGACCTGCCAGGTTCCACGTTTGCGGATGCCCTCGACTATGCTTCCCTATTTGGTGCAAATCAGATGGGAGTTGATCTGAACCAGTTGTACCTGTCTCCGATGGACTGGATCTTTGGTCAGCCATAGCCTCACCGGAGCACTCGGTGGATTTGTCTTGCACATTCATGGTGAAGTCGAGGGACAAATGCATGAAGTCAGGACCATCGGACTTGTGGCCTTGTGCAAAAGCCGTGGTGTTTGAAAATCATCGCTTATTGTGGTGGGCGCACTCGTACTGGCTCCAAGCTGAAAGCTCAGCGAGAACACCGTCTATCATGTTCAAGATTCGTGGATCCGGTACAGCTTCCGCCTAATGAATGAAAGCCATCCCACCCGCGAAGATACAAGGCTCATTATTAACCTCTTCATTAATCTAACCTTATGTCACCATGCCGTGTGCCCCCCGTCGCAGACCGTGGTACTTCCCGTCATAAAGCTACTGGCGTCGCTCATGAGCAACAAGGCCAACCCCCGGAACTCCTCTGGTCGCGACAGACGACCCATCATGTTCTCCGACTCCCAAATTTCCTTCGTCTTCGGATCCTGGTCGATGACCATCTGTGCCATGGGCGTGACGATATGCCCCGGACACAGGGTATTGACACGGATGCCGCCCTGGCCCTGCGCATCGACCCGGGCCCATTCCATGGCGAGACTGCGCCCAAGCTGAATCACCGCCGCCTTGGAGGAGTTGTAGATGGACGAATTCATTCCCTTGTTGGCGATCAGTCCGCTCATACTCGCAATCAGCAAGATCGAGCCGCGCGTCTTGTGCTTCAACATCTGCCGCCCGGCTGCGGTCGCCGTGTAAAATACGCCCTTGTAGTTGGTGTCGATGATCCGCTGGATATCGCTCTCGCGGTAGTCCAGCGCGGTGGCGACGTGGTTGATGCCAGCCGCCACGATGACACCGTCCAGCCGGTGCTTCCGCGAGGCGATGCTGGCCATTATCTCGTCGGAGCCTTTCTTGTCTCGGACGTCAAAGCGTTGGTAATGCAGAGCCCCACCGAAGTCGGGGTTGGCGCGGGCGCGGGCGGCGTGGAAATCTTCGTGCGGGTCGGCGAGGAGATCCAAGCAGTGTACTGTTCAGGAGTTAGTTTTCTCTTGATTGATCGAGGATAGAGAGATTGCGGAGTCATAATGACCTTCACCCCCTGCCTCGACTAATGCTTCCGCCATGGTCAAACCCAGCCCTCGACCCCCACCCGTGACCGCGAAGACTTTGCCCTCGAGGTTGAATTCCCGGAAGCGTTGCTGCGCCGATCCTTGTGGAGGCGTCCGCTTGATGCTCGCTGCCGACTGGGTGCTGAGGAGTCGGATGCCTCGAGCCGCAGTGGGCCGAAGAGCAGGTGGAGTGTACCAGAGTGTCATTGTTGAATGCAAATGCGAAACGAATGTGTCTATGAGGTCGTGAGGTCGTCGATGGTGTTGTGTGGGCTCTTGTGGCATGTTGTTGAGGGTTAATATATGGCCGGCATCTACAGCCGGGACGGAATCGTCGGGCAAGGAAGCTGCAGTCTTGGCGATGAAGCGATGAAGACATAGTGAGATGCGCTGCAAAGATGCAGGAGATACAGAGATGCAGAGATGCACGATGCACGATGCAACGCTGATGACGGAATGGTTACAAATGGTTTGGACCCAGTTGGCCAACCTTATTTTGGTGATCTGTGCCTGAAAACAGAAAACAGAAAACACCGGGGCGGCAAATGCCGACATCCCCATCGGACGTCATGTTGAGATATGCTGCAGCCCTTCAGATGACACCATCATGAACTCAACACCTTGCTATTCTAGTGACTTCTACACTGTGCTGACCGACAATTCCCTCTTCGCGACTCCAGTCTTATTTCACACGAATAGCAGGTCAGAAACGAGGTATGGCCGCCGCAAACACCTCTCGAGGATCATATCTGCGTCTCAGCTCCACCAAACTCGCATAATTCTCACCAAATACCCCGGTCCATCTGCAACTCATCCGGTGCCGTCAAGGATATGTATGTAGCGGATAATTGAGTCTCAGGGTCTGTCTTGGTCAGCTGGTCCTAAAAGCCCTGACCCCACGCCAATGCAGCATCCAAGTTTTGTTCCTCCTGCGCTCCGCAGATAATTTCGAACACGAAGTGGCCCTCCCGGGCTGTGAAAACGGAATCGGGTTCGGCCTGAGCGGACGGGGTGCCTGTGCGCAGTTCATGTAGGGAGAACAGGGTGTGCGGATGCCCGGGTATTTTCACCAGATGGTTGGTGATGACGGCTAGGATTTCCTCGGTCAGTCGCTTCATGTTGATCGTCCACACGCGGCCGCAAGTCTGTAGTGGTACCATGCGATCCATGTCGGTCAGCCAGTGGATGGGGGGGGGGGGTGGGATGAATGCCATTGTGCGCCACCGGTGCGAGCGTGCATATCTTGTCCGCCCATTCCATTCCAGCCTCGATGTCGGAGGAGGCCCATACAAACAGGACCATCAAGGCCTGGCCATGAGTTGTATTGACGACACTCTGTTGCAAGGTGAGTTCGGGAGGCATTCCTGCCGTACCCAAGACCTGGTAGCCCATGTTATACTGTCGGATGACTTCGGGAAGGTCATCGGACTGGATTGCGATTTGCCCCCGCGAGAGTCTGCATGCCATTAGGGCTGTGAATCTAAGCAAGATGGAGGGAGATATACTCGTTGAAGACGATGGACCGGAGTGATAAGCTCTGAATGACTCCAAACGCTCCTCCTGCGCCACGGCGTGCCCTGAGTAACTCTGCGTCGGCCTGCATCAGCTCCCCCTCGGCGTTGATGACCTTGGCTGATCAACTCCTAGGCCGAACTTGGAACTGCATGGCTCGTAGCCACCGTACAGCGCCCAGCCAGTGTATCCGACCGTGGCAATGGTTCCTACCGCGGCGGCCAACCCATGCTTTTGAAGCTCGCGCATGAGGTCTTCAACGGTCGCATATCGGTGTGTTAGGTGCTGCGTCTCCTCCGCGGCGTTGACATCTGCTCCTCGCTCGACGAGCCACTCCAGGACGGGGATCTGAGCATGGTCGCATTCGTCACTCTGGACTTCTCGACCCCCGTGCGCATGTGGATGCCAACCCGGGGGACTTTTTGCCTGCTGATCGGTGCAGCGGATGGCCCCATTTGATATCTGCTCCTGCGTCCAGAACTGGCGGCCAACTCGAGGGGAGTGATGTAGATTGAGGCGGCGTAGAGGGAGGGAGGGAGCAGAATGCAGAGGTATTGCAGGATGTAGGGGCTCAGCTGCGAGGGCGATTCGGCAGAGATGCAGCGGGTGAGGGAGCCGATCGTCATCACTGATTATGATTCATTAGTCTCAAGAGGGTACTTTCGATCTGTTATCGAGTTTGGCATACTGATGGCGCCCATGACGAATACGAGAACGAAGCGACCTCGATATCTCCATGTCTGATAGCAATGTAGCAGGCTGCTACCCCCCGAACAGCAGGGTCGCGACTACTGCAAGCTCAACGCTGGGCTGGAAGCCATAAATGTTGATACTATTACCCATATCCTATTTTCAAAAGGACTGTTCACACATAAAACGATTAAGCAATTATGGAGAGACCACGGATGGGAGACAAAATGAGCGTACTGAGTGACAGATGGCAGACCACTAGGGACTACCAGCTCACCACGTCTTATCATGTATGCCGCATCTTTCTCTGCTGCCTATCCCTTCCACCCGAATTCGGTCTCTCAACAGTACGGCTTAGACTGAGCTCCTGTATCCAATTACATTCTCTTCGACATAGCTTTATTTCGATGAAGCAGATGCGAGACCGAGAACGGAAGCGAAAGCGAAAACGAAAACGAAGCGGGCCCTCGCTGAGCTATAAATAGCACCGCCGCGCAATAGCGATCACAGCCTGGCTTTGGCGGAGAATCGATAGATAACATCCCCGAAACTCCCACCAGGGAAGACATATAGCCACTTAAATTCCTCGTCGCTAGTATTCATGACCGAGTGTTCCGCATCTCCAGGAATGAATACAGCTGTACCCTTCTCGACAGGGTGGGACTGCCCATCAATCGTCACCGTTGCTCGACCTTCGAGGACATAGTACAACTCGGCTTGAGTGTGGCGGTGGGCGCAAAGACAGCCCGTATGCGGAGGGCAGACTGCTATCCCAGCAGACAAGTCGCTTGTTGGTGTGTTGGGTTGAGTAAATAGAGTACGCCAGGTGAGATCGCCATGGGAGGGATCGGGGAACGATTCCGAGGGCAGAGCAGAAATAGCATTTGGAGAGAAGATGACTGGCTTGATTTTCAAAGGAGACATGGTGCTTCAATGTGTCATGTCAATGCCGTGCGGTCTACGACATTGAATGGGCAATGCGACCGACTTTATAGGAGACGAGACAATTGGACGATGAGTGCAATCTCGTGGTGAGAAACAGTCCCTTTTCCGGTATAAATATGCGGAGAAAAGAGGGGTTTTTCTGTCTGAGCTGCAGATACCACTGCATTATCAGGGACAGTTAATCTGTTTTAGGCGATATCTGCCTATCCATCGAGCCCTGAAGGTACCAATCGGCCTGTTGCGCTACGGATGCAGCGCACAAGAGCATTTGCATTGAAGCATGCCTGATCCCCGCGTCGCACTCTTCGCCATCGGCGTCAAAAGCACTGGACATTGATCCGACCTATGCTGCTTCGGCGACTTCTGGTCGCAGTTTTTGCGGTCGCTGCCTGGCTTGAGCTTTCCGCTCTTTACTGCATATGTCTATCACAAGTTGAATTGCGGTTGGAGAAGCTTCGTGCTGTTTCTAAATTGGATTGAGAATTGGATTGCTTGCACCGACCCTGCTCTGGATCAACGGGCCATCGGTGCGCAGAAGAAGTCAGTATGCGACCCGAGTGTAGGTTCCTATCGAGCATGAAATCTCGTCGAACGCCAGAGACCATTCAGTATTGACGCAATACTTGCTCATCCTCACGGCTACCATTGACTTATGGTCTCATCGCGTCTACACAGCGACCGGGGTGACGCGGCGGTTCTTCCTCGCCTCCTTCACAGCATCCGTGGGCGGGACTCTGCTATATGGAGTTCGATACGCCAGGCTCGTGCAGGAGGCCAAAAAGGTGTATGAACATGGCAATTGCTGAATTGAAATTCTCTGTACCGTGTCTCTTCGCATATTACCCTCTTTGTTTGAGTACTCTGATGTAGAATGTAGAGTATGTTGGCGCGGCGGAAATCTCTTCCCGCAATACCCGCACGCAGGGGTCTTGGGGCTGTGGGGCGATGCGCGATATTTTCCACATTCTAGACGCTCTCGAACTTTCTGAGCGGCCACTCGTTATCATTGACGCACCGAAGGGCATTAGATTGAGGCAGCTCATATAAATGAAGGTTGAGTGGACAGGGTGAGGTTGTTGAACTATGCATGACCACCCTAGCAGACAGCCGCTACGCTTGCTGAGTGGTATTCAGTACAGCATGGACTCTGCAGGTATGTCTTCGATGGCACACTGTATTTATCAAGTGAGTACCGTACATGCCAGTGAAGCTAGTTGTTCTGCACAGACTGGTACATTAACAACCCATCAGAGCTCGGATGACGACAGTCGTCCCTCAAGCACAGTCTCCGACACAAACTCACGAATATCTTCACCAGAGACACCGTCGCATCAAAAATCTGCAGACCCTGTATTGCTACACTACAACAAATTAACAGGCCTCGACAGCTCACCCACCTCCAGACCATGCACACACTCGACGGACCGCCCGAATCCGAGAGTAAGCCGCCCGATCACAGGCTCTTCTTCGCATAACCCATCAGCCGCAACGGCGCGAGAACTCAAGAGAAGCTTCCGAGCATTGTCCTGTCACCATCAGAAACTGCAGCAAAAACACGCGGAGTTGATGAAGAGGTGCCAAGAGAAAGACCATCAGATAGCATGTCTCAATGCGCAGATCGGTGTGCTGGAAAGCGAATTGTATCTGACGCGGCTCGCATACAGCGATGATGCCTTTGATCCGCTCCAGACCTCGTTGAATCAGTATGATATCCGGCCAACAGGGGATGCGGCTGGCAGAGAACAGTCTTCCTGCGACGTTGCCATGACTACGCCCTAATCATGATGGGCCTTGGGACTTTGAATGCCTCGGCTGCTGTCGGGTTTGCCATTTGCTGGACCGAGAGCGCCGAGCCAATCCCGAGCATATTCCGAGTTGTATCGTCCAAGATGCATCTACGTGGATTAAGGTGAAAGTTCGGACTTGCAACTGAGCTCTTAACCTGAAACAGGGTTCGGGCTAGTCTGTAGCGCTAGCGACAGATTGCCTGAGTGGGGCTATCTTTTCCTGCCCTCAAGGTTTGTCTGTTGTATGAGTACGAGGGAGATGAACAACCAGACTGGGAACAGTCGCATATGCTATACCGGGCCAATTATGGCCGCGAGATCGCATCCTGGCCCGAGTGGAGAGAAAGGGAATGTAATCTGATTGCGACACGTATCAAGCCATTCGTCATGGAACACATACACCGTTATCCTATAAACCCCGTCGGTGATGCACACCATCGTCGCCTGCACCGAGGGGGGTTGACCTGAACCTACAAGGGTTTCTGGGCAGCTACAACCAGAAAATCAAATATGGGGTGGATCTCTCCTTTCAAGGACTCGGCTCGAACTCCAGCATTGAGTGCATCGACATCCTCGGGCTTCCAGCCCAGTACATCGATGAAGAGCTGCGCCGTGAATCCCTCGACCCCCTCAACAAAGTTGATTCGCATGAAACTGCCACATTCCTTCAGTCGGGCATCCTTCGGCCACGGTCCGATGGGTAATTTGAATTTATGTGTTTGCACATTCGCAAAACCAGCATCGCGGACCCAGCCCTCAAACGAGGGGGCTGGATCCAAGGTCTGCCCGACTCTGGCCCCGCCTTCTATCAAGCCTTCCATCATCTTCACCATCCAGCTATCGGGTTTGAGGCTGCCGTCCTCTGAGTAGAGGGAGTTGATCGATTCTTGCAGTTCCAGCCAACCTCCTGGCACCAGATTGTCATAGCATTGCTGGATCAGCCGCGGCCAGTCCCGGATGGACCCGGCCATGTATCGGCAATGAATGTAGTCGTACGGCTTGCTCTCTACCCAGTCCTTTTCCACATCGTCCACCACGAAATGCACGTTGGGCGGCACCCAGGAGGGTTGAATCGGGCTCAGGTCATTGCCGACGATTTTCGCGATCGACGGGTTCTCGTCGCCCATCTGGATTGCCCACAGTCCCGTGCCGGTGCCGATGTCCAGTATTCGCTTGCCGTTAGGGTCGATAGGCGCCAGGAACAGGCGATCATTGAGCAGTCGGTAGAACACATGATGGATCATATCCAACCGGTCCTGTTCGGGCTTGTCGTTGGGGAAGGGATAGCTCCCGGACTGGTATGCGTGATACCGGCGGCCATGCCTGTATTCATACTTTAGCACACTCGAGCTCAGCGAAGTGGTCGATGAGGATGTGCCTGCGAGACTCGGATCATCTTCCTCCACATCAACTTCAATGGGATGGTCGCTTGCACGATGAGCCATGTTGGGTTGGGGTGCTAGGGTTTCATTAGATGGGAAAAAGCACGATTGCAGGGGGGCCCCAGGGCGTGTGGGAATTGTGACAGGGGACAGGGAAGATACGCATAGTCTGAATGGCACCACGTTGCCACTCACATGGCTGACGGAAATTCATCTTTTTCCGCGCCGTTAGTGCATGAGACTATCCAAGATGTAGTTAGTGAAGCCCGAGTCTAACAGTTAGTGTGATCCTGTCATCCTGTCAGAGCCTATGTGGTGCTTATCATGCATGAATTGCTCCACCTTAGGAGGAGTGCTGATTGGACTATCATGTACATTCGTATCGAGTGAATTTCTGCTGATAAATCCCTGAAGAATAACTAAGGAGTACTGAAATGCCGTGATCCACGAACTGCCACCGAGGATCATCCACTTTGATATTTCAGACCACGACTCCGCGACTGAAATTGCTCCCATCGCTGAAATATACCAGTAGCGCAGTCCATACGAACCCTCAACAACCAAAAATACTGCTAGACTCCATAGCCCCAATGGACTATTCAGCCACGCAAATGATTCCGGCAATACTGTTAGCGCAGAAAGGCGAAGACCACCGTGCAACCAGACCCGAGAAACCGAGAGACCCTAAGATGTCAGTACATAGCTCTTAGTGCCTTGTGCAGCAGCTACAGGATCTTGTACTATAGAGTACATGAAGCACCGCGTATCCTGCCTCGGCACAGCCATTGGCAAAGCCCCCCGACACTCAGCAATAGCTGGCAGACCACCGCTCCTCAAGAGTACGCAAGAGACGGGCCGATCTCACCGGTAAAGAACCAGATGACCGGTCAGAAGTGCGATGATCTCAACGATGAGAATTAAAGTTTTCAATGGCAGATTCCGCTAGACAAGAGGCCTGTGGTGCCGTTCTTTGAGAGCATGCTTGATAGCAGCGTAGATGATTGCAAAGTTAATTCCCAGACTGACCTGGGCCGCGGCCTGTTCGATGAGACTGCGCGATGGGTCAAACAGGCCTGATCCAATCTTCAAGCAATGTTGGAACAAAAAGTCATAATGGTCATTGCATACGTCTGGTCTCGGAAGGAGACGTGGACCATGCTGATAGAGTTAATCGTATAACCCAGCCCCATGCCGAGGACGAAGAGATCAGCGCTGGGCTTGACATCTTGATAGGCTTGAGGTGCCTTTGTGGCCTCGAATCCGTCTATTTTAGTGAGCGGTTGGTCGATGAGGCGATGAGCGCAAATCATGGATTCTCGAATTCAAGAGGCCTGACGCTTCTCCAGTCCTGGGTCGAGTTGACAGCCACGGTTTTTGCAACAAGCTGGCAGATCTTACGAATTCAAATTCATCAGCAGTAGACACCTCGTGCGACATGTCATGTCAGAGGGTTGGGAATTTGCAACCTCATGTTATGCAGACATCATGAGGTGTGGCGTAAAATCTCTGACTTTGAGGATTTGGGGCGAGGTTATCGTCTGCTGCCCTCACAATGTATACTTAGATGATAGCCCAAATCCGAAACTCCAGAATTATTGCTTGCAGCTCATGAAAGGGGAACACGTTTGGTCGGCGAGTGCTGGTTAGACGACTCTAGTAGAGGGTTATTGCACAAAGGTGGAATCCGACCCCATGACGGATTGATCGATACGAGATACTTGTTTGAAGGCACTGGCTGACTGAAGGTTCGGGTTTCGAAAGTATGCACAAAGTATTTCAAGTCAGTCGACCAGGAAGTGCGCAAGTCAGATGATAGAAGAGCCTGCTCGAAAGCCATTTTTATCGATCTAAATTCTCTATTCTATACCGACTAACGTACTGGCGCAGATCAAAACCTCCTCTCATCTACAGTATCTGCGATTATGAACTGCTTACTTCTCTCCACCGCCGAGATTCATCGCTGCACTGACACAGGCGAGATGACTGAACGCTTGAGGCATGTTTCCGATCTGCTCCCCGGAGGAAGCAACCTCTTCCGAGAACATGCCCAGGTGGTTCGCGAACGACAAAATGCTGTCAAATTGTGAGGTGGCTGTTCTCCGCAGCTGTTTAAAGAACTGGTTATGCGGGAGATATTCCTTGGATCGAGCAGCCTAAATTACCCCAGTTGAGAGATGCGTTAGATGGGGAACGGACGAAGAAAACGCATCAGATTGGGTAAGACATACACGCATCATAGCCTCGACCAGCCAGAAGGTAACCATTAGGAATGCCCCTTCATTTCCTCCAACTCCTGTCGGGTTGGTTAGTATCCTAGCCATCGAGAGCATTACGCACTCCCGAGAATTTACTTACCGTCATCAATCTTTCCTGTATCATATCGTGATACCATATTCGCGACACTCAGCCCTCCACGCGCCGGGGGTTCCATGATCTTCTGGATGGTGCTCAAGAGGCGCGGGTCATTGGGCGCAATGAAAAAGACGAGCGGGGCAATGAGCACTGCTGCGTCCAGGGCATCGCGATTCTCGTAGCTCATGCAAAAGAAGCCTTTTTCCGCGTTATAACCCTTGGTCATGATTTCATCATACAATTCATCTCGTTCCTGCATCCATCGTGCTCGCCCGGGACAGGGCAGATTGGAGCGCTTCTCTGCCAGTCTGATGCCGCGATCCAACGCCACCCACAGCATGATCTTGGAGTAAACAAAGTTTTGCGGAGGTCCGCGGACTTCCCAGATGGATTGGTCTGGCTGGTGGCGAACCTCAATCACAAAATCCACCATGCGACGAATGGCGAGCCAGTGGTCGTAGGAGATATCTGCCGCATGCTTGTTGTAGAGATAGATGCTGTCCATGAGTTCCCCGTAGATGTCGAGCTGGACATGAGTCGCAGCCCCGTTGCCAATCCGGACCGGTCGGCTGCCGCGGTAACCCTCGAGATGATCGAGTTCCATCTCCGGAATCTCGCGTTCGCCGTGAATGGTCACCATGATGGGCAAGAAGGGATCTCCCGGCTTGGCGGGATGGGATAAGGGTGGGAAGATGCGATCGAAAATGAAGTTGATGTACGACTCCGCCTCCTCGGGGTAGCCGTTCTTTAGAAAGACATAGACGGTGAATGCTGCGTCGCGCACCCAGGAGTAGCGATAGTCCCAGTTGCGGCTGCCACCAATGTGCTCGGGGAGAGAAAAAGTCGGTGCGGCCACGATAGCGCCTGTGGGTTTGTAGGTGAGCAGCTTGAGCACCAGCAGACTTCGTTCCACCTGCTCGCGATAATGTCCGCGGAAGGTGCACTTGCTTGTCCAGTCAGACCAAAAGTCTCCTGTCGTTCGCTCCAGGCGTTTCAGCTCAGGAGCCAACAATGAGGCACTGGTGGTGATGGATTCCTGATCGTGCAGAAGTAAAGTGATCGACTGACCCTCCCTCAAAGTGACCTTGCCGACTAAACCAGTGCCCAGATGACCGGGTCTCTCCGATAGTTGCAGTTCGGGTTTCAGATGCGTGTCTGCAGCCGATTCCCCATTATCCACGAGGAGACTAACTTGAAGTCGCTGTCCCGCGGTCTGAAAGTGTACCCGGTGCACTCCATCACCTTGTGACAAGTGGGCAGTATGGGGGTCGCGGGCGTAATTGAACGCGGGGAAAATCTCAATATCGATCTCCATCTGGCCCCGAACGCATTCGGCTTTGCGGATCAGACCGGAGCGACAGTTATGGGGCTGATCAGCGATTCGGGATTGAGCGCAACGACACCACTCAGGCAAGTCTTGGACTCCCAGCACTGGAGGCTTGGGTTTGGTGATGGGGAAATAGTCGAGAATGTTGATGACTCCCTCATCGTGGATCCAGCGGGTTTCCAGCATGTTGGTGTAGGGGCGATAGCGTTGTTTACTCAAAGGATTATGCAGACCACGACTGGGAGTGATGGAGAAATGACCCCCCTTGCTCTTGTCCAGGATGCGACAGAAGATGGAGGGCGAGTCGAAGACCGGCCAGCACATGGAGTCAATACTGCCATTCTTGCTGACCAGGGCACAGGTGTGCATGTCGCCCACCAGGCCATAGTCTTCGAGGCCACAGTACTCCTTGTGGCTTTGCATGGATGGGATTGTGTCAAGGATTGTTGATGATGGTGAAGAGAAAACAATAGATGAAAGGATGTTGTAGAGAAAGAAGAAACTTACCTCACAGACAAGAGAGAGAGAGAGAGAGAGAGAGAGAGAGAGAGAGAGAATCTCAGACGGACAGACAGAGAGAAACAAAGAATACAAACCACTCGGAAGGACAGTCAGGTGACGTCACCACCCCGTATTCCCCCCGTATTTCCCCCGTATTCATTGCTGAGCCCCACAAGGGAATGCATATCATATCATATCATATCTATGTCTAGATTACAGTACGGAGTACGGAGTACTACTACTAGCATAAGGTGAGGTATGTTTGTATGGAGTTTGTTTCAACTGGATGGGTTTCCAATGCATCCGCACCGTCAGCTACTCCTCCTCCTTCTCCTTCTCCTCTGCTTCCTCCCTCAACCTCTTCCGAACTGCCCCCTGCACCTCGTGTACAATGGATGCTGCACTTTTGACCTCATGAATCAGCCCAATGGAGGCTCCAGCGTAGGTAGCCAGTCGGCCAGAGGGACCCCAGCCACTATCTCCAGCCTGCAAGGCTTGGTCATGTAGCTCTCTGAGCTCATCAAACGGGCGCCCCTGTTGGTGGTCGATGAAGGACTGGTTGATGATGGTCCGGGGGCTGTATTCAGTCGGCCAGCCCGTAGTCCCACGTAGATGATTGTACACTAGAGTCTTGGTCGTGGAAGCAGCTCCATCACTGGCGCGTACGATTTCCTGCTGGTATCCGCTACTGATGCGGGCCTCTTGGGAGGCGAGAAATCGCGTCCCCATCACCACCCCCGACGCTCCCAAACAGCGAGCAGCGGAGGCACCGCGCCCGTCAGCAATGCCTCCTGCAGCAAAGAGAGGGATTCGTCCAGCCACCAAGTCGTCGACCTCGGGGAGCAGAGTGATCAGCCCCAGCCCATCGTGAGCGCGACCGTGGCCGCCGGCCTCGGCTCCCTGCACGACAATGACATCGGGCCATTCCTGGCCGCGCAGCAGCTCCCTTACTTCAGCCAGAGTCCCAATTTGAATCCAGATTTGGGTTTTGGCGGACACGGTGCGAATGCGACGTGACCATAGCTCGTAGTCTCGTTGGGGATCGCGAGGGGCGTATAGCCATGCGGCACACGGCTTGTATCGCTCAATGGCGGCGATGGCCGTCTCCTGGTCATCGCTCCACAGCTGAAACCCCACTCCCACAGGAAGAAGAGGAATTTTTGACCACGGAGGCGATTGCTGCAGTGATTTGACCCGGTCGGAAATCTCTTGCAAATCGGTCAGGAGATGGTGGGTTTGGACTCCAGGGCCCAAAAACCCGAGGCCCCCCGCCTGTGAGACGCTGACTGCCAACGCCGGGCCCGCCATCACACGCATCGGGGCGCTGACCACAAAAGGGGCCGTCATCCATGGATAAGTGCGGTGCAGGAGTGATGCCAGATGCTGAGAGTGACCCATGATTATAATAGGAGGGAAAAATGATGCATGATGGATTGAGTAGACGTATTACTATCTTTATAGAGGGATGAGGTGGAAGATGACGTTTCGTCTGCGGATATTGCGGGATCGCCCCTCCCGCCAATAGGAAACTGAAAACAGAGTGCTCTACTTACTACTACCTTGAGATATAATGCATATAATTTATAATTGATCTACACTATATGGTAAAGACACTGCAGAATTCGGATTAGGACTATCAATATATATAGGTTATCAAGAAGTACCTCTCAAAATGACCTCCAATTAGTACACCAAGCCACAGTCAATCTTATAATATAATTATATTCAGCCAAGAAAGTATCCCTATCCACCCTAACAAAGGGCATTCTTGCCACAGGCCGAATTGCAGAAAGTAAATAGTCCAGAGACTTCGCAGTAATAGCTGATAAAGTATTGCAAAATTCACTCTGGACCTTCTCAACCCACACCACGACCAACATATCAAGCACACCCTGACCGGAGTGCAATCCTCGATCTCCCTCTCTACAGCTCCGGTATATCATGATAGAATCCAAGCTCCAGCATCCGTTATTCCCCACAGCTCGTATGCCTCTACTATCTTCTCCCTTTGAGGCAGTCTTTATCGCAACCCCACATTCCAACCACTTCCAAAGCGCGCTTATGGCCCTAGAAGCGGGAAAGCATGTCTTGGTCGAGAAGGCCATACGGTCAATGCCGTACAAGAGCGGGATTTCTTAAGATCCGCAGAAGAAAAGCGTCTGTTCCTCATAGATGGCTTGTGGACCAGGTTTTAAACCCGCGGGTTGTGCATTTCGCGAGGTATTGAGCGAGGTGGGCAACGGGTGAAGAGTGTGGGTGGATAATGGGCTGGGAATGGATGTCGAGAGCCAATTTTCGGCTGGGAGAGAGACTGATCACACTGGGATTGGCGGGCGGAGAGCTGCGGGATTATATATATCACCTTCTGACTGACCCAAGTGCTGTGCTGGTATTGACTGCTTTTATGCTTTCAGCGGGGATCTACTCGTTGAGTCGGGTGTTCCAGACTCTGGGTCCACAAAGGAGTTATACACCTAGCTTATTGACATCAATCATGACCAAGCACGATGAAGCAGAGATCAACAAGCGTATCGCTAGCCTACTCAGGTTTCTAATCCACAAGGGTTGGTCTGATGGACCTTCATCAGACCTAGGATGGGGCCCGGTAGGCATTCTGATTGGCTGGTATATAATCTACAAGGGTTGGGTCTAATAAATCTTCATCAGACCTAGGATGGGGCCCGGTAGGCATTCTGATTGGCTGGTATATCTCCAGATACAATTCATCAGACTAATATAATATAATAGATTAGAAGAGGAAGTAACTAGCTAAATTACTTAAAATTATACTAGATTATAGAAGTATTACTTATTATTACAGGATAGATGGATTGTACTGATTGAAATATACCTTTGAATAAGAAGAAATAGCTGGAGAGCTATTTTATCTATTTATATAAAATTCTTTTAGATATGTGCGAACTAAGCTAGCGCTAGTTTAGTATATAGTATGTAAGGCCTCAGGCACCAACTGGTGCCTAAAGCTGAGCTCTATATTAGGACCTGGGTTCTATAATAGAAGCCCCCCTCTCCTTCCTTATCTCTCTTCGTGGTTTGTATTTGTATGATTGGTGGTGTAGGTTTAGGGTAATAGTTCTATACTTTAGTTTCCTTCCCAGGCGGTGTTATGGCTGGTTAGTAGATAGTATAAGTACAGGTAGGACTTATTTTATTTACTATTATTTTCTCTGTTGTATAATTCCTCTTAATCTAGTAAATCTGATAGTTCTCTAGTAAATAGAACTTTCTTCGTATAGCTTATATAACTGGTTCTGGGGATATAGTTAGGCTTAGCTATTAGCTTTATATAGAATATATAAAGTACTATATAAGAAGACCATCCCTCCTCTAAGTTAGTTCTTTTTTTTTTTTTTTTTTTTTTAAGTATCTTCTCTTTCTTCTTAGTTTGTCCCTCTTCTACTTATATAATTTACTATTATCTCTTTCTTCTACTGCATAATGTCTTCTTTTTCTAGTTCTAGAGCTGATAAGTCTAACTAATTAGATAATTCTCTTAGTTCTATTTATTATAATTCCTCTTAAACTTCTACTTCTGTCTTTAATTATAATTTACTCTTTATTTCTGTGTGCTATTCAACCACCTATAATACTTATACTAGTAATCCTGAGTATTGGGTTACTGTATGACTTTTAGTATATAGAAATAAGGCTTTGCTTTAACTTTATTATACTCAGGACTAGTAGCATGTTTGGCGCTTTTCTTATTATAAATTTAAGATAAGAGCTGATGCTCTTACTATTGCTTAGATAAGGTAACCCAGTATTTCTATATAAAAAGCTAATATTATTAGATATATACTAGGTACTCCTCTTATATTAATAGCCTTCTAATTATATCTTATGATTTAGTTGTGCTATATCACTGCGAGTATAATAATTAAATAAAATTTCAATAGACTATTTAACTATCTAAATAATAGAGAGGTGCTTGTACTGGGTATAAGTTTAAGAATTATAGTATTTATTATAGATACTATGATCTGGATAAGTCTAAGTATAAGTCTATAGCTATTACTACTCTCTCTTATAATATTATTAAAGAGTTGACTGACTGAATATAGTATATAATAGAATTTAGTTTAGTAGTAGCTGATTTTTTTTATTAGATTAAGCAAAGCTTTCTCTAGTTAGTTTAGAGAAATAAGAGATTTCTTAATTTTCTTTCTTTTCTTCTTTTTTTTTATTTTTTTTTCTTTTGATTTATAGAATTAGAACTAAAGAAGAGTTATTAGTAAGTAATAGTTTTTTATTATTATTTATTATTATTTTTTTCTTTTCTCCCTTTTTTTTTTTTTTTTTTTTTTTTTTTTTTTTTTTATATAATATTAGTTAGGGTTTGGTGGGGTCTATAGCTGCCATCTTGCGGCAGCTTCTGTATTATTAAGTACTGAGACTGGTTCCTAGGTTAGTTCTATATAGTCTTTCTATTTAACTAGGTACTATAGTTGATTCTTTTAGCCTCTTATTATATTTTATTTATTAAGAATCTCTTTAACTTTATACTCTTCTTCTCTATTAACTATTATAGATAATAGTTGTGTATCTTCTTATAGCTGTAAGAGCAGTGTATTATTGGCTATAGGATAAAGTAGATTAATATAGAAAATAGAATAGATTTCTTTTAGGATATCGAGTCGTACAGTATATAATCCTATTTTTTCTAAAATAGTATACTTTATATTCTTCCAGTCCAGCTTCTTGCTCAGGTAGTTTATTTGAATATTTTGTAGATTTAGCTATATTTAATTACTCTTCTAGTACAAAGGGGTGGCTTAACAGGATTTATTAGTCTATCTCTCTGTAGTCTACTAAGTATAGGTGATGGCATCTTAGGCCTAGTCTAGAGTATTATATATCTTCTGTATAATTACATCTCCTTATCAGATAGGACTAGAGGAGGCTATTTCTAGATCTATACTGTATATAGTCTCTTAGTATATTATACTCAGCTTGTACCCGTGGCTTAAGAAAAATAATAAGAACCCAGTAACTGTACTTATATAGCTGTTGATTACTAGTTCAGCTAAAGATAATAGTTTAATCTAGTTCTTCTGGTTATAATTTATATAAGCTCTTAGATAGGCTTTGACTATACTATTTATATATTCTATTACTCTATTAGTTTAAGAATAATATACTATAGATAACTATCTATTAATTTCTAGTAGATTATATATTCTTTTCCACATCCGGCTAGTAAACTGGATATCTTAATCTAATATTAAGATTCTTAGTAGCTTATATTATTTAAGAACTATTTTAAGTAGTATCTTAGCTGTAGCTTCTATAATAATCTTCTTTATTATATAGAGTATTATTTCTTTTATTAGCTTATCTATAACTATAAGAAGATTTATATATGACTTGCTATTAGATAAATTAGTAATAAAATCTATAATTAGCTCTTACTATAATTAGTCTGGTATTAGTAG